GAAAAAAAAAAGTTTTGTTTCTGCGGTAATTACGTACCAACAATAATGGCTGCCGTTGTTAGCTGATTTCATTCTACTTGTCCATAATTAATCGTGAACATAATATAACAACCATCATGAGTCCCAGAGAAATGGTTGCAAACACCAAGGATCACCCGTGCATTTTGACCGGTACATCCGCTACGACTTGTTGCGATTGAACATTTCCTGATTCACGCACTGTGAGGCTCTGTAGCTTTTTTGGTACACTTGGCTGGAGATCATGGCATCAACAATGGCCTAATGGGGATCCGAAAGAGTGCACCATATGAGCGATCCAACTCCACAGACTGATTGCGATTAGATAGCATAAACATGGATAGTGACTCGCATGAATGAACCAGGTGCAGGATCGTGAATGGGTCGTGATGATCTTCACAATACGGCGGGTATTTTGTCAAACAAGTTTGTTCGTGTCCGACCCGAGTCCCGACAAGGGATACCGGATTTCCCCCGCATCTTAAACTGATGTGGTGTTTTGTGCTGGCCCCGACGCTAACATATGGCGTCTTAATCTTGTTATCATCAACCAATCAGGAAAGAAATCACTGGCCGCGTAGCTCAGCGGTAGAGCATCTGATTCCAGCTTCCCTAATAAGGAGGAATTAGAAATTCCAGAAGGTCATCCGTTCAAATCGGGTCGTGGTCAGCTTTTTGCACTTTTTGTCGCCGATAGATATATATACTATGCCATTCTTATAACAACGAAATGGAATGTTTATTTTCTTGATTCACGATTTCCCCCCCCTCAATGCCATTGGGGCTACGATGTCGCTCTAGATGTTCGTATAATCATGAACTGCATGCTAATAGGTCATTTAGCGTTCAAGATTTTGTGGCATCCGGTAGCGTTGGAGCCGCAATAAGTCCTTTCCCTTTTCTGAGCCTCGGATCTTGTCCAGATTTGGATACTACTTTTCGATTTTCATGGTCTCAGCATTGATGGACCATATTGCCTTTTTGCCTGCATAGTTCATATTGGTGGTCATTTACCCAAGTGGCTTTATTTCCTCCGCCCAGCTAGACATGTGCGCAATGGAGTAGCAGAGCATGCAAACTCAGGGGAAGGCGGATCAAGATCTTAGTGTGGGATTTGACTCTAGCCATATCAACAGAAAATGGCGTGCATCAATGTGCTGATCATTTGATCATTAGTAGCCGGACGATATAAGCGGCCATGGCATTCTCATTTCGGCTTTTGGTTCATGCAGCCACGTATGTCGTGTTCTGTTATGCGTCTGCTGACATGCAATAGGTGCATCTATCGGTCCAAGATATGAGAGCACCCTTTGTGGATGATTAAAAGTTGGAGAAGGGTGTTGCATCAAAGGCGCATATAGTAGGTAGGTACATGATGAATTGCGTGATGCGTCAAGACTCTGAAGACTGCCGTGGTGAACTCGACATACTTATGGGCCGAAAAAGACGTTTTGATGATCAGGCAGATGAAACAATGCAAATCTTTTGAAAAAGACCTGTTTTGAGTAAATGGGCTGAACTTTTGACAGAATTTGAAGGATTTATTAGGTCTCAATTTGGACTGAACAATAAAAGATCGACAGGCTCGGACTGAGGATCATCTGAGTGCATCCCAAGTTGTCGGTGAGTGGTCAGCGGTGGTAAAGAAACAAACAAAACAGGCTAGCACCACTCGGTAAACGTTACTCCCGGCTGGGGTGGAATGCTTAGTATAGAAGCCAGTGCCCCGGATGCTGGGTCTTCCGGGACCGTGGGGCAGTTGGAAAGCCACTGAACAATACCGCACATACCTACGCGGAACCCTGTTTCCCATCCGATTTGCTCTTGTCAGGTTCCAAATTGGAATTTCGGTATGCCCTCGTGGTATTGTCAGTCTGGCAGGAAGCAGACGCGGCCGACATCCTTCGACAAATGCAGTCTAGTTGAGGGGTGACAAAGCGGTGCCCGCAGTCAGACTGTTCGGCTTGAATGTGTTCCGTTTCAAAAGCAGTAAATCAGTGGGATTGCAACGGAACATCTGCTCTTTTATTGTGGTACTGATGTGACAATTTGATGGACATGCGGAATTTTCAATAATCGGATCCTTTGCAAGCCGCCTTGCTGTGCGGTGAGCAGATGTTCCAAAAACAGTCCCAATGGGAGTCGTACCACGTGAAGCAGGTCTTGTTTGTAGTCAAGACATGTGAAATTTGCATACCGCTCGAAAACATTGTTATGTTGTCTTTTCTACTTTCCCATCCGTTCACTATCCATAAGGGATGGTACTAATGTCAATTCGTTCCCCATCACTATAGTGAGGTGTAAGCTCGACCTACTATTTACGCGCCGGAATCTTTCGTTTGCAAGTCTTTCAATTTGTGGGTTGGCCAGTCTAATAATACAGCCCGTCACCCACTACCTCGCCGGGCCGTGTTGTTTGTTTCATGCAGCTTGTTGATCTGCAATCTCTTGTTTCGATGATGGACTTTTAGTTTATAAAGGCCCAGAAACACAACTCCCTTGAACTATAAGCGTCTGAACTATAGATGTCTCTAGAGTCTTTCGGTCGTCCAATCCACCATCAAGCCACACGGAAGGAGCCTTCCATAATCCTGGTCAACTTTTCCGATATCACCTCATCCTCTACACCTAAGTTCTCCTAAGCGAACCGGACTCACCTGCGCCACTGGTCATATTGATCTAGCGAACCATTAGATCCCTGTGTGTTCTGGCATCTCTGAGGGCCGGCCGAGGATAATAAAAGCCATCATGGGCACTTCAGAAACGTTAACATGTCAACAAAAAATTCATGAAAAGGGACATTCATCAGCGAAACCAGTTTCTGGAGTCTCCTCAAGGTCGAGCGGGCCGATCATGTCGACAATGATTGGATCATCAGCATTGGCAGTCTTGCTTCTAGCTTCGACATTCCTTACTGGCCTATCGGCACAAAACATCAGTGCAAGCGTTGACCAGCCGAATCCAATCGCTCAAATGTACCCGGATCTCATCAGTGGCAATCTAAATGGAACGACCATGATAATACCCATTGCGATTGCGCAAGCGCAAAGCCTTGTACCAGAGTATCCAATTCTGGAATCTGTATACACGTCTCTCCTGCCCACGTTTCCCGCGGGCATGTATCCCTTGGTAGTCACGGTCAAGCACGACCACGATATACAATTGGCGTTGTATAACCTATCTCTAGCGGATTTTACTGTAAGTTGCTCTACTTCTGCGTCTTGCCGTAATCCAGGATACCATTGTTTACCTCTGGCTAACATGACCTAGCGAGCGGCTTTTGAGTTCCCTTTCCTAGACCTCAGCGGGGATGGCGCGACGCCCTTTCGCCTCCAAAAGACGATTCTGATCACGGCGAGCAATCAAATCGCCATCGAGGGAGCACAAGGTTATGACATTACCGCATACCCGGCGAATTTTGATCCGCCAAATGATGCATACCGATCTGATGGGGATTCGGGCACGTATTTTAGTGCCAATGGCGTACGGAACGGCTCCGATATCGCGAGATACATGACCATTGCAACCCAGTCCACGACTGGGGGCTACACGGCGAATCCTTATCCATTCGACTTTATCAAGAACATCACCAATCAGGTGACATTTGCGGCATCGAGTCTGTGCGACGATTACCAGTTGCTGTACAACACATCGCTCACGGCAGCCCCGTTCGAGCCCAAGCCTGTCATTGGTACGGTGACAGCGTTGCTGGAGCCATTTGACGCGCCGCAGTCATGGACTGGCGTCTATGGCTGGCAGTACGCTGCGGCGTTCTTGGAACCTGTCGCTCCGGCAGCTTGTCCATCGGCCAAACGATGAGGTTGTTATTCGGTCGCTTCGATGGGTAGGAAATCATGATTTGGCGTTTTGGATTGCCGCAGTGTTTGAAAGGCACAATTTGAGTTGGAGATACCCGCTGAAGTTTGAACGTTCAGCACCTCGCACTAGCTCCTAGTGCTCCACACGGAGACTTGCTGGGGAGGGAGAATGCAAGTACAGAAACGTCTACGCATGCACAGCTGCAAGTCTAGGGCTCGACTAAATAATATGGTTGACGCCTAGCTGTTTTATTAAGAATGCTATTGCATCTGGAATCAATGGGAGAGTGAAAGTGCATCGCCTTTGCTTGCTAGTCTGGCTCCCAAAAGGGAAATTTGAAGCACTGGATAACTAGCACCGCTAATGACTGAAAGTCGAACTGTCAAAGCCCCTTGGCAATTGCTCCTTGCCATACTAACCTGTGCCGGAAGACTGTGACACCAATCAATGATGTACCAAAAAATGAGCAGACTGTTGAGACTAGACAAAGTCAGACATGCGCATTGAAAGTCTGATCCAATTTGTTTTCAGATGTGAATGAGATTGATGAATACCCAGTACTAAGCGAACATGTCGAGGCCCCTCACTAAACCTGACGATGATTCTTCGGCGCCAATTCCTGCCAGAAGCGGTATAGTTACCAACTGAGCATTCTTCCCCGCGAAAACGGACCATCGGGTCTCCCATGACCTGAAATGATTCTACTATTGGCGGGGAAAGACTCAATATTTGCCCCGTCTGGCGTCCGTTCTATGGTCAAAAAAGTCTCTCTGTTCAGGAAGGGGGTCAGAAAAAAGAGTTCGTCGCTTCAACCTTCCCAGCTTGTCGCCCGCAACGACAAGAAACCTCCAAAGAAGCTCTGGAGTGGCTGAGCAGTCGTCTCGAAAAAGGCAGACAGAGCCTGCGGTTCCAACTCGACGAGCATGCGTATCGCCGCGCAGCCCCATCATAGATGGCTTCGCAGCCGGCCAAGAGGGTCCGCACCGGCTGTTTGAAATGTCGGGTTCGCCGGAGAAAGTGTACGGGATCCATTGACTTCTCCCATTGCCGGAAGCCCGACTTTTTGTGCTGATCTGAACTCGGGAAAATTAGGTGATGAAGGCAAACCGCGGTGTCAGCGGTGCATCGCCGGTGGCTTCGAGTGTCAGTATGGAACGCGATTGTCGTTTCTAGAAAAGAATGCTTTTACCGTGAATGAATCCTCATCGCCGACAAAAGCGGCACCACCTACGCCAACTTATTGCAAGGTCAAGGTATTTATCCTTCCCTCCAACCTAAATCTACCGTCACTAATGCAGGATATAGTTTGTGGACGACAATGATGAAGCATCGCCCACGCAAGAACCACAACCTCCTCCTGCACATGAGGAGCCGCCTGTTCAAAGTATAGCGAATCTTTCACAGGGAAAGGATCAAGACACGTCACCACTGGTCAATGTTTCTCAGCGTTCTTTTCACGATAACGCAGGTCATTCGAATGCGAATGAAGGAGAACAGCCAATCTCGTCCTTTGACAGATGGAGTCCGGAAATCCTGGCTTCTCCCAGCACAAACGGCGGGGACCAGATAGCGCTTGATGCGCTCTTGTCTTTGGGCAATGAACATGCGACAGCCTTTATCGACCGGAACGTGCATCGCAACTCGGTCTCATCTGCCGGCTTCCATGGTTCCGACAGGTCTATCATTTATCACGACCCGTTGACGAATCCTGAGGAGTCCTCATACGATGCGCCTTTTTCTCCAACGTCGCCTCCTGTACCGGGCCCTGACGTCCCAGAAGAGTTGGAATTCAGTCTCATGAAGCATTATCGATATGAAGTAGCACCGTGGGTAAGATATTCCTGCTTCTTTGAAAATCGCTTCTCAATACTTACAGCGAATAGCTCGACATATGCGACCTCGCGCAAACCTACGGAATGGCTATTCCATGTCTTGCAACCGAATCACCCGCCATCCTCCAAGGACTGCTGGATATATCTGCAAGGTCTCTCAAGGCCATGACCGGTATGGACAAAATGTCGCATTTGAATAGTGCCATACCAGCCGGCATTAGCGAAATGAATGCCGAGCACCGACTTCTCTGTGCCAGTCTCTGTCAAGCAACAGAGCCCTTTGCGCAAGATGTCTTTGGGGCCGATAGCTATGTCTATGCAATGACCATGGGCATCGCTCACGACTTATTACTGGAAAGACCAACGTCAATATCCATGGCTGCCTATCATGTGTTGCTTAGGCTTGGTGAGTATTCTCAATCGCATGCTTAAATATTCTGGCTTACACTGCATACTAGACATGGGAAAGGCATTAATCAATGAACTTCCAATTTCGATACCACTACATGTTCCCGAGATGACACATTCACCATGGCACAAGACAGATTCGGCCGTCCACATATTCCAATGCGCCAACACGCCTCTCTTCCTCTGCCTCCGAGCAATGAGATTCTGCTGGGGTGACCCCGCCGATCGTATGGGTCTGGCCGGCGACATGGTCAGCGCATGGCGGGACATTGTAGACCAACTCAACGCGTGGTATAGCCAGCGACCGCAAGAGTTCCTGTCCATGGTGGAGATCGAAATGGCCGACGACGGATTCCCCTTGATCCTCTTCACCAGCGGAGCCGCCGTGTTTGGCAACCAGCTTTACCACACGGCCATGTTCCTCTTGCTACGACATAAACCGCGTACGGTTATGCTGCCGAGCAGGCATCGTTCCTCTACAATGTCGACGCTATGGCATGCGAGACGCATTTGTGGAATTGCGCTCAATAACGACAGGCGCGAGTGCTGGGACATGAGTCTGGTTGCGTCGCTGCTGGTTGCAGCCCGGACCATGACACATGAGGCGCAACATCATGTCCTGCTGGCTGGTATAGACAAGGTTGAAAGGCTTACGGGATGGGGTCTGAGTGTCATTAGAGACATACTCAAAGCTGAATGGGGTCTATGAGGTAGCGTCTGGCTGGACCCTCCCATTTACCATCCACGAGTGAGAAGATATACTAAAAGACCAATGAAATACTACATTCAAAAAAGCCCAAAATCATCCACTTTTTGCTCCTCTCTCGAAATCCTAACTGCAGCTCGTAGAGTAGAGAACGCCCATTCACGCAACTCAAAGACCGCTTCGACATAGCCAAAACCGACCCGCATATTCATATATTTTATACGAAATCTGGAATTCTTCTTTGAAAGAAATAGTAGCTATTCGGTCTCTCTACAATTGGAAGCTGTGCTTAACAACACGTGCATGTGAGGCGCCAGGAAAATAAAAGAAAAGAGCCTGCAGTGGTACAGCTTTTTAACATACCAGCCAGGCGCATGGAATAATTACAGGTTGTCGCGCCTACCTCTAAGGTAGTACCCTCTGCAGGCATGGCGGGGTAAAGGGCTGGCTCACGTGCGAAAGCACAGTCGGTGAGGAAGGCTCTGCACTCGAGGAAGTCTCTTGGACATGCATCTGGCGCGGATCTTCCTGAGGCCGAGATGGGGTCGCTCCAAACGGGACGCGCATTTCACATGTACCTAGCTCTTACACTAAAGTATGAGGTACCCTGCGATGGTACTTCGCTGATGCATCTCCTGTGTAGCCTGGTGATTACTTCTCTTGAGAAAGCGCCAAGACAGGGTACCTCACTTCGTGCATTTCCCATTGGACTGCTAAATGCGAGTTATCGGGCTACTCACACTCTTGGCCTCACTCACACTCTTGGCCTCACTCACGCTCCTGGCCTCAACAGGCCTAGTACTCCGTATCAACATCCGCATCTCCTTACACAATATATAACCATATATTTGCTCCTGTAATCACAATCTTGGGAACAGCTTTTATCAATACTTCAACTCTACTAAGAAGCAGCATTCCTACTTTGACGAGATCAGTCGTTGAACAGCTCGGTTCCATCTAATGTCGTTCTCCCGAAACTTATATTCCTACGGGACTTCTGACTCCGACACCTACGTGACTTGCAACTCCGACACCTACGGGATGTCAAGTTTTTTCCACCTTCAGGATGTGTCCCCATCGTTGTCGCTCGAACCCGTCGACACTTTCTTCTGCTCGATCTCATTCTATTATATGGGCCGAGAGCTTGAACAGGAGCTTGAAAAGGCTGAGCGGCAGCGTGACCGTAAAGGCAAGGAAGTGGTGTCGCTCACGTACAAGCGAAAGTTGGAGATGATGCAAGAAGAGGTGGAAAAACTTCTGGAGGCCATAAAATTGCTATACAAGGCCATTTTGACCATCCTCATTATCCTCGCCTCTCTATTCCTTTTCATCTTCAATCCGAGTCGGTTCCAAAGACCTAAACATATCACTTGCGCCACAATGCCATGGTCAATATGGCCGGCGCTGGTGATACTTTGGGGAGTCTGCTGGATGTTCCACAGTCCCTGGTCGCCCTTATCTGCAGGCATCGACTATGAAGAACTCACCAATCAAGTGTTATACGAATTCACAGCAGCACCTCCGCTCGACCCCCATATTGGAAACGAGTTTGATGTTCAGCACGGGCAGCTCTGGGCTGATGATTACGAACTTGGCCAATTGGGGAGCTCGACTACTTTTCAAGCACCTTTTACCATTACTGGCGATGCAGGCTTGCATTCGAAGGGACCATCCGATCTAGTCACTTCAGATCCCCAACAGCAGGATGCACAATTATCGTCGCCATTATCATTGTCCCGTCGTCATGCGGCGTATGAGAACCTCTCTGCTGTTTCAGAAGCATCGCCACAAGGGGAGCAGTCCAAAGCACCTATCTGTTGCACGGAACTAAACTGTAAAACCTCATCTAGGACTTTCAAGACAGACCGAGAGCTCCAGCGGCACATAAACTCTATCCATAAGCAGACAACCAGTTTCGCGTGTACCGTTGATGGCTGCGATCGGGGCACCCAGAATCCTATCAATCGGCTCGACAATTTTAGACGGCACATGCAGAGAGTCCATAGTCAAGCTGGCCAGATACTTGCCATACCAGTACCAGAGACTACTCCCAAGGGTCAAAAACGCCAGGCCGATACTATGTCCCCCTTGGTGTCTAGGCCTGAGAAGAGACATCACCGGACAGAGGATGCGCCAGTACATACTGATGTCCAAGGTAGTCCAGAGCCTGGCGTTGACCAATCAGTCGAGGTCGCAAGGCTTCAAAGACAGCTTGGAGATGCCATTGCGAAGATTGACTTGTTAGAAAAGGGAATTGACACTCGAAATAAGTTAATTATGGAACTTTTGACGGAGAGGGCCAAGGGTTCCGATTGAATCTGGGGAAGACGAGTTTCTTTCCGAAGGGATAATGAGATATAGGGGTCATCATATTTGGGGAAGATGGTGGAAAGCCTGATTGAGGTTATTTTGTATCATATCCAGACAAATAGCTTTTCCTTTATCCAAGTGCGGTATCTTTACACAGACAGGCCTGTCCACGTCCTTTCATCCGTTGGTGAAAAGAGATGACCATGCCGCAACCATTTGCCATTTTTTAGTCTTATAGACTGTAAAGGCCGTGACACAATTGAAGATGACGCTTTCGATTTTCTCTATCGGGCTGCATTCGATACTCCATGTCTCTTCACCTTGTATCCCCACGCAGACTCAAGATCCGGTATACGCCAACAGGAGCCCCATCCGGTGGTTGCTTCGATATTCCAAATCAGCCGTACGACGATCTCGTGCTCCGATCGGTGGCTCAGCAGTCGACCGGCAAGCCAAAGGGGCTGTATCGCATTATTAATGCACCCATGATGCGGGTTGGCTAGGGTGATGCCGCATATTCTTTTGGCATGCCACAGCGTTGAGCCGGTCGTGCCAAGGTTCATGGTGAGCTTGAGAGGTTTGGGCATGGAGCTAAGCATGAGTATACATGCTGTGTGATGTAATTGAGTAGATGATATGGCTGCCCAGTGGACGAATAATATATGTGGGAAGGGCTTGGTGTCGACAGTTTTGACGGGGAGGAACTCTTTTGGTCGATGATTGAGCCAGCTCTGGAGCTCGTCCCATAGCGCTACCCAACGAGTGGTGAAAGCCTCTCCCGTGCATCCATTTTGTTCGCCCAGCTCGATGAAACGAGTTCGGTCTGCAATAAGCTCGCAGGTTTTAGCGCATAACCAGACGGCATAATTTGCGTGCATATCAGGCCTTTCAGAAGTTTGGAAAAGTGCCCGCGCCTCATGAGGCTCAGTACCCGCCGGCAGCCACTTTGCCGGGTCGAGCAATGTGCTTTGTGTGCCATCAGAAATCAGTGCGCCGCATACATCTAAGCCAGTGTCAGTAAATTTGCAGTCTATACTCGAGACTCGTTAAGTTCATATCTCCATACCCATTCTTGTATAGCACCAAAATACTGCCTGCAGCATCCCACCGCTGAAGCCGTGAACACCAAAGGTGGTGAACAGCGCAGCGCAACCTTCAAGATGGCGTCGCCAGTCTTGCGCGCTGGCCGACATCATCTCGAGACAACATAGGACGACGCAGATGGGAATAATCTTGACATCTCTGTCAGCAAGGAGAGGCGCCAGAGACTTGATGGCCTCCTGGTACAGCTCGAGGCTATCAAACGAATTTTTGCGCTTTTCCTTGCATTCCATTTGTCGCGCCGAGAGTGCTAGTATGGCGTATAATAACGGCGGCGAGGCCTGGGCCAATGATGAAATTTGCATGCCAAAGACGCGGTCGCCATCAAACATGTCGAGCTTGCATGTTTGGTTAGATGATTTCAAAGACGCATTCATGGTCAAGAGCTGCTCACCCATGGAGCGACCTGCTCTACATAATTCTTGAGGTATGTTACCCTCTTGCCGACGGCCAGTATCTTGGCAGTCTCTCTCCGACTCTGCACATCGCCGAGATGAAGTTCATGAGTTAGATTGACTTCCTCGGGAGCCGGACTTCCCTGTCGCGTCGGTGCGGCAGATTGAGCGGTATTGAAAATGAGCGACCGCAACTCTTCCTTGTACGTTTGGTAATCCTGATTCAGCATAAACTCGTCGGGACGCCATGTCATGGACGGCGACGAGTGGTCTGGGGAGACACCGGCCGGTCCATTTGACCCAAATGCTCCGCTCGTCAGGAAAGGGGAGAAGCTGAGATCGGCAGACAGGCCAGAGGCTGCGGCCTGCCACATGTTGTCGCCATCGACCTGCATAAAGTCCATCTCGCTGGCAAAGGGAGGGGCTTCGTCGGGAGGGTCACCGGGAGCGGCCATGATTGGGACGGTACGTGTTGGGCATGCTGCACCCGGTATATCTTCTGCTATTGAGTCCAATTGCAGGCTCCTCTTACTGTCGCATCCTTCCTAAAACAGCACAACTGAGGGTTGAAAAGAAACGAGACGTTAATTGTCCACGTGCGTTACGATCCATTAAAACACCCCCGCCGGCGGATCATCTGGGGCGCATCGACACCGACAGTCTTAGTGGTCGATTAGTGCGGAGAGGGCCTGTCCGATCGGCCTCGGCAGCAGCTATAGCGCCAGGATGTTCTCTGTTGCTGCTAGCAGCATGAAATTCAGCCACGGACATGAATTTATCTGCGAATTGTTCTCATTACGCAAATATTCACGCTACTACGAAGTCAATCTTAAGTGGAGTGCAATTTATAGAATATAGTAATATGTTTTTTTCATTTGAATTATTTGATATCTTTCTTTGACATCCTCAAGTCTACAATTCAACAAATTCATGGCGGAGCAATTCGTCCTCCTTAAGATTATCCAGATACGACAGGACCTTGTTTGTCAAGGACTCTTCGTCGAAGCCAAAGTACTTGTATACCGACGTACCAGGTAGACTGTGACCAAACCGTATCATGCACACCGCCGCGTTCGCGTACCTCTCCCAGCCGTTGGGGGCATAGGGCTCAATGACGACGGCAGGGATGCGGTGCCGCCTCAGCGTCTCTCGCCTGTACTCGCGCGACTGTTGCTCAAAGAGCCTCCAGCTGGGGAAGCTGACCACTCTGGTCTCGACGCCGCGCTCCTTGAGCCTCTTGGCGACACCCAATGCATGTGAGAGCTCGGCACCGACGCCGATGAGGGTCAACTGGGCATGTTCGTTTTCCTCGAGGACGTAGGCGCCCTTTAGGACACCATCGCGTCGGGTCTGCTTGAGCTGAGGGAGCTTGTGCCGGCTCGTAGAGACCATGGACGGCGTGCCCTTGGCCTTGATAGCCGCAGTCCATGCACCGGCAGTTTCCTCGCTGTCTCCGGGACGAATGTATAGAAAGTTGGGCAGGGAGCGGAAGTACACGGCGTTCTCGATGGGCTGGTGCGTGGGGCCGTCCTCACCCATACCAATCGAGTCGTGCGTGGCGTGGTGAATGACCTGCAGGTGCTGGAGTGCGCCCATACGGACGGCGGGCGCTGCGTACAAGTAGAACATGAAGAATGACGATGTCACGGGGATGATGGTGCCGGGGTTATAGGCGGCAAGGCCGTTCGATACAGCGCACATGACGTGTTCGCGAACACCAAAGTGTATATAACGACCGGCATATGTTCCGTTGATACCACAGGCTGTGTTGATGTTTGGCTATATCCATGTATTAGTGATGCACAAAGGAGAAATGCGTGCGACTTGCTTACGTTTTGGAAATCCTCCTTTCCTGGCCAGATCATGTTTACGGATGGAGACAAATCTGCAGTTCCCACCATGAAAGAGTCAATCTTCTCAGCAACGGGGTTGAACACCAAGCCAGATGCAGCACGAGATGCAGTCTCCTTCTCCGGGAAACTCTTGGGGATGAGCTGCTCCCATCCGGTAATCTCTCCTCTCATTCTCTTGTGGAACCGAGCAGCCAGCTCTGGATACTCCTTGGTGTAGTCTTCAACGAGCTCATTCCATGCCTGGACATATTGCTCTCCTCTTGATGGCAGCCCTTCGAAAAAGTCACGTACTGGCTGGGCAATGGCAAAATGCTCATCCGGGCTAAAGCCGTGGGCACGTTTCATATTGGCAACATCTTCCACTCCAAACGCAGCTCCATGTGCATCAGCCATGCCCTGCACCTTGGAGCCGAGGCCAATGATGGTCCGAATGTTGATAAATGTGGGTTTATCCGACTTCTTTGACTTTTCCATTGCATCGGCAATGCCCGCAATATCGAAGCAGCCGTCGATTATGTCAACGACATTCCAGCCTGTCGCTCGCATCTTGGCATTGATGTCTTCCGTGTTGGTCAACTGTGATAATCATGTAGTTTAGCGTTCGTCCAACCGCAAAAGAAGACTTTCAGATGCAACTCACGTCGACTGATCCATCGCAGGTAATCTGGTTGTTGTCATACATGACAGTCAGGTTGTTGAGTTGCAAATGTCCAGCTAGTGACAATGCCTCCAAACCGACACCCTCCTGAAGACAGGCGTCGCCAATCATGCACCAGGTGTGGTTTGAAACGACATCGTATCCAGGTCTGTTAAATGTAGCGGCAAGATGTTTGGTCGCCATGGCGAGACCGACGGCGTTGGCAATGCCTTGGCCTAGCGGTCCCGTCGTCACCTCGATACCCTCGTGCTCGATTTCAGGGTGGCCGGGGCACAGTCCGTCGTGTCGTTGCGAGTGGTACGACTTGAGTTGGTCAAATGTCATGGCCTTGTACCCTGTGAGGTGGAGGAATGTGTATTGGAAGAGGCATGTGTGACCTACAAGTCGTGTTAATCACCAACTCCTGCATGGTGGGTGATTTCTCGACTTACCGTTTGAAAGAACGAATCTGTCACGGTTAAAATAATCTGGAGAATGCGGCGCATATCGCATAACATATTTCCATAATGCAATGCCAATTGCTGCCATGCCAATGGCACCTCTTGGAAGTATTGTCAGTTTTCTTGAAAAAAAAATTATCGGCTTGCGACCTATACTTACCCCGGATGGCCTCCTCCAAATTGTTGGCAGAGGTCCGCAATGAGTAGACGAAACGACTTCAACACCAGATCATGTGAAGGCTTCTCTCTCTCGATCAGGTCTTCCGTACTGATTACATCTTTCTTGGACACTGGAATTCCCGAAGGATTCTGCGTCTCGTTGACCAGACCAGGCACCATCTTGCTCGTCGTGCGCAGAAGAAAATGAAATCGACCTTGGGGAATCACAAGCTCTGTTCGTGGCCGACTGACTGAATGACAAGTGAATCGATTGTATTTGATTTGTATGTATGGTTGCCGTCTTGTAATGGATCTTTATCTTGACCGCATCTCAAATAGTAGCTATGTAAATAGTCTGAACTCCAAGAGCACCGGACAACCAGACCTATCGATTTTCATATCATGTACTCAAACGCTAGAATTCGCAAACAATTGGTGATGGTATCTGAAAAAGGACAATCGAAGCGCAAGCGGAACCTTCTTTAGTGGTCCGGGGTCCCCAAACCGCGGGGTTCGCATTGGTATCCGCATCTTTTAAAGCGTGCGGATATCCCGCGTCTTCCCAAAGAGGCAATCTGTAGCACTCGTGGGTCGAGCAGACTGGTCCTGTGGACATGAATTGAGGTTACATCCTTCCGCATACGGATGACGTTTCCATTTGGTATTCGTGGATTGGCTTCTCCGGCAATGCGAAGTCGTGGGTATTGAGGGCATGTGGTACGAAATGGAGCTTCCAATGCCAATGATATACTGGCATGCGAAATCCCGTTTCTACCCTCGTTGCTGGCACCAGCTGAAGTTAAACCCGTGAAGTCACCATACCAATAAAATTGAGGAATCTTGTGTTTCTGGTTGTAAAAAGCCCTATCATTACATACGGAGCCACAGCGAATTCCTTCACAATGACCGTACCCAAAACTCACACGATCGCAGAGAATGGGGTGAATGGTGCTGCCAATGGGGTCGATGGCGGTCATCGTATCAAGACGTCGCATCCGAACCCCTCATTGCTGGTGACAGCAGACCATCAAATCAAAATGGCCGAGGCGCCAGTCGAAGAGCCTGGCCCGGGAGATGTGTTGCTACATATCAAGGCGACCGGTATTTGCGGGTATGTACGGGCAGTGGTCGCTGTGGTGGATGGTAACCTGACTGATCGTGCTTTTCCAGTTCGGATATTCACTTTTGGAAAGCCGGCAGAATAGGCTCTCTGGTTGTCGAAGGGGATTGCATCCTCGGCCACGAAGGCGCGGGCGTCGTGCTCAAGTGCGGCGAAGGCGTGACAGACTTGAAGCCGGGTATGGACGATGCGACAACAGAGCTACTTGAGAAGCCTCAACTAATATCTAGCTAGGTGACCGAGTTGCGGTCGAGCCTGGTGTGCCTTGCGAGAAGTGCTTTTTATGCCGCGAGGGTCGTTATAATCTCTGCGACGATGTAGCATTTGCCGGTGTTTATCCCTACGCCGGTACGGTGCAAAGATACAAGGTGCATCCGGCAAAGTGGCTATACAAGTGAGTTGCCCACTTGATTGTTGGCATATTGGCAATGCAAACAGGAATGATACGGACTAACTCGGTGCCAACCCTAGGATTCCGGATAATATTACCTGGGCAGAAGCTGCTCTGCTGGAGCCATTGAGCGTTGTTCTTCATGGCGTCAAGACTGGAGGACTCAGTCTCGGAAAGCCGGCATTGATCTGTGGTGCTGGTCCCATTGGTCTCATCGCCCTCGCAGCGGCACGAGCTTCCGGTGCATACCCGATTGTCATTACGGACCTCGAGCCTAAACGACTGGCCTTTGCACGCGATTTTGTACCTGGTTGCATAACCTATCAAGTCGACAGGAAATTGTCGTCGGAAGAGAACGCACAAGCTGTGAGGCGTCTATATGGAGATAATGAGTACTCGGCCCCACCGACGGTTCTCGAGTGCACTGGCGTTGAGAGCAGTGTTGTACTAGCTGCCCATGTGGTGCGCCGAGGTGGCGTTGTCTGTGTTATTGGTGTCGGTCGCGAAATCATGAATAATCTGCCATTCATGCACATTTCGCTTGCAGAGGTAAGTTGGCGTTCCTCATGTCGAACAATTGGTGATGACCTCTTCTGTTAACATGTTCTCAGATCGACCTCCGATTCATTAACCGATACAGAGATACGTGGCCTGCTGGCATCAACTGTCTTGCCGGTGGTATCCTGGATCTGAAAAAGCTGGTTACTCACGAGTATCCACTGGAAGAGGCTTTGGAGGCGATGAATCTGTGCTCTGACCTGTCAAAGGGCAGCATCAAGGTGCAGATTGTAGATGACGTAGATGCTCAGATCATCTAGATACCTAAGGAAGACGCGAGCATTTAATAGACCGAGATACCATTTTTCAAATCGTGGAAGACAGTTTGCAAGAGTTCTAGTTGACATATGGAAGAAATTGGAGTACATGTGGCATGCTGTGGAGAGATTGTTTTTCTTTCCATTTGGTCTTTGAGCCACTGTAATCACCATGGTCGCAAAATGCTTGGAAGGCGGGACTCCCACTTGTAATTTCTCAGGTGTTGGCGGGCAATGGGAGGACAGGGCAGCTCAGTTAGTGAACTGCGCCTAAGCCAGTCCGCTATGTTCTACGCAAAAGCGCTAAATGTGGCTCCTACCTCCCCACCCTGAACGAAATCTTGGTCTGCTATCAGCTCCAGTCACTTCCAAGCTTCTTTCAGAGCATTCCCACCAGGCTGACAGTCTTGGGCAAAACTCTTTCATTGTCTTCGTGAAAATCACCAATGCGCATTGCATGGAGCAAGACACATCGAGATCAGAGCAGCCGGTGCGCGCTTCTGAGCTGCATAAAACCTCCCGGCGTCCGCGTGCCAACACTGGCCCTCGCTCCAAGCGTGCTAAATACACGGCCATAGCTTGGTATATTCGCCCATCAATTTACTGCAACAAATCGCTCGAATCACTTAGCTGACGATGTTAGCGATGAATGCAAGAGGCGCAAGCTAAAGTGCGTCCAGGAGCCTGGTATAACTCAATGTAACCGGTGCAGAGCAGGCAAGGTGGACTGTAGCCTTAAGGTCAATGATGATGACGAGATTGCACTCCCATCCATGCCAATCGATGACCGGTTAGTGAGACGATCCTCAAGGACTGCTTCGCCTGTATTGTTGACATGGGCGGTTATAGTATACGCATCGACAAGTTGGAACAGGAAGTTGCCAACCTTCGCCAGCAGGTGACTCGTCTTGCGAGCTTGTTGGACAAGGGCCACACACCGCGGAATGAATTTCATGCCGTGGAGAGCGCGTACACACCTAGCCAGGCGTCACTTTCGGCTGCCGGTGTCAAGGAACGCAAAGAAGTACAATTTGTCGGAACGACTCGGCCAGCTTATGCTCTCAATGTTGCAAAGGCAACCTTGTCAGTTGTCGACGAGCCATCGGACAATTCGGGTTCTGAAGCAGAGGATGCCTCGATACCTCCACATACGCACAGTCCTGCCGACACCCGGGATCCGTCGCAGGACCCTTTACTGACAATGCCCGTCTCAATGATCTATCGACTATTGGACGTATTTCGTGATGAGATTGAGCCTGTATATCCTTTATTGGATACGTCAAGCTTACGATCTAGGATGCCTGAAATGCTCAAGCAGTTTGAACAGGAACAATCTTTTCAGTTCGATGGAAGAGTCAGCCAGAAGGACATCCATCTTCTCAAGATAGTTCTTGCTACAGCTCTCGTTCTTGACAGCCATGAAAAGACCGAGCTGTGTGCGCGCCTCATCAGTTCATTTGAGGATGACGCCTTGCGAATCACCTCCCCGTCCGATGTAGATCTCCAAGAAGCTCAGATATTTGCTATCATGGTGAGTCGTTCCAATTTAGAGGTGACTTTGCTTTCTGACTCCTTTGTATAGAGCATATACCACTTCCATTGCGATGAAGAGCTCCTGGCTTACCGCAGCATCGGCATCTCGACGCGCATGATCCTCGAGCTGGGTCTACATCGTCGTCGTAGTCTATACGAGAATTATCCAAATCCCGCCCACCGGTCTTTGGCCATTCGCGTTTTTTGGTGCATCTATGTCCTCGATCGAAGGTGGAGTTTTGGTACCGGCCTTTCATTCGCACTGATCGACCGCGATTTGAACCCACCTGAACCGGTGAGCGTGTTTATTTATCATCTTTGTCGTGACCGCGAGCTAATTTCAGTTCGACACAGTCGCCAGACATGCCATACTTCTATTGCCTTGTGGCTTACGCGAAACTGTGTTCGAAGGTGTGGGAGGCGATTCCTCATTACGGATCATCCCATGAAGCTATGCCCCCAAGCACAGAATCGTCTTTGGAGAGCGACATACAAGAATGGTTCTCAACGATCCCTGAGGATTTGTACCTCACCCGTGTGGATGCATCACCACCTGCACAGTTGAACCCACCGGATCGCAATCTTTTCCGTCACCTTCAGACTTTACTCTACCTTCGTGGCAATTATATACGATGCCTCATACACAGGCACCATGTTGTATCCTCGGCTGCTATTGCCAAAAACCCTGTCAACGCCCGGCTGGTGGTGAGCATTGCTCAAGACACCATTCGAATCTTGGTCACCCTCAACGATACGAGTGATATTTACTCCAAGCATCAAGTGGCCTACAACTACTTCCTAATCAGCGCCATATCGATCCTCTTACTGGCGGTCTGCCATGCGCCCGCAGAGTTCGCACAGGGCTGTCGCCAGGACTTTTCTACCGCCATCAATCTCGTGCGCGGATTGTCCCAGATCAGTCTACAAGGGCGGAGATTATGGCACAGTATTCGTGGTCTGGTCGCACGACTCAAACAGGTCGGAATCATTGATGCCTCATCTACTTCACATGAGCCCCCAACTAGAAGAGCTCGAAGATCTAGTCAACAGGCTGTTCACAACTCCAATCAATCATTGGCTCAGTCGCCCCAGACATCGATAATTCGGTACCCAACCAGCGCGACCGCGCGCGCGACTCACGACGATGGGCATAGCACGTTGGAATCGGTCAATTTCCAAACGACCATGCCCGACACGAATATGATGGGCGATGAACTAATGGGTGTCTTTGACACATTTGGCGCTGCTTACATGGAAAACAGCCTTGAAGCAAACCCACAGCAGGCCACATCCCATTTTGACGATAGCCTGTCTTTCCTGAACCAAGACGTCAACGACTTTTCAGAATATTTCATGGGCCTAATTTGAGATATGAATCATTAATTATTTTTTCTCATTCATGATAATACTCGTCCTATTCTAGGCTACCAAGTACGCATAACACTGTTCACTACAAATCTATGGCGTGGCACCTTTCACAGCGACGATCTCACGGGAAGCTCCTGCTTCTCACAACACCCGTTCGCCAATTTCGACACCAAGTCCTTATTCGACGGCACATCGATAGCAGGGTTCTTGGTGAAGAAATCACTTGGCGTGATGTGCAGCTCCAGCATTTCAACCGGCCTGTCGAGTTAGTACATCTTCTTCCTTTGCGGGGGTACAGGGAATACTCACATTACCGGCCAGTCCTCGACACGAGGATTGTGGGTGAGACCAAAGGAGCTCCAGACGACGATATCTTCGTCCTCGACATTCTCACCTCTCGCCGCAGCATCACCTAGACCCTCTGATTCTCTCGTGCTCTGAAGAGTGAAGCGTCCTCCGGCGTAGAACTCGTTGTCCTTGTGCTTTGTCACCCACAAGTGGTGCTTTGCGAACTCGGCGCGCTTCGACTGAATGCAGTTGGGGTCTGCGAGCAGTAATTGCGTCGCTGGTGGTACAATCTTGTATCCAACGGGTGTTCCGCTAACAGGATTCAATTTGTTGCGGTTTTGGATCTTGAACAGGCGATGCCTTGAAGGATCGGCGTCAATACCAGCCGACGTCTTGATCGGGGTCTGTACGACCTCGTAATAATTACCCATGGGGTTCGTCTCTGGGTTCATCGGCACCGGCAAGCTCTCCTCCTGCACCACGGTGTTCTTGTGACCGTCGATACTGGGGTCGATTCTGACGCAGAATATGTGCTGGTGGTTTTGTGCCAGAGCTCCAGGGCTGACAATCTTTCCGTATTGGCTCTGCTTGCCTTCGTCGATGTTCACGACGGAGACAATACCAGTTGCTCGAACCTGGACCGTGATGGCGCCGGCTTGGTCGAGAATGTAGTAAAAGGCGTACTCATAATTTGCCAAAGTAATGATGAACTGGAAAACAAGTTCGCGGCGTCTGGTGACGACAGCGCGGCCAGTTCTCCAGTTGGTGTGCTTCCAACCAATACCGTTGTCTTGCTCATGCAGACATACAACATTCTTGGCGACCTCGCCGGTTCCATCGGGTCCAGTGGTAACACCATCAAAGTACTGTAGTCGCGTAAGTCATGTATCCAGAGAATCTCCCTTCAAAAAGCATTTAACTCACCCTGATCACACCCAAACAGTCACATCCAAGGGTCAAGTTGTTCGCACAGTTGCCGGCTCCGCCATCGCCAAAGTCAAAAGCCTGCTTCCTGTGGTATGGTTCTCTTGGATCGGCGTAAGGAACGGTCTGTTTTGGATCAGCTCGGTCGCTCGACGAGAAGGGTAAGTATCGTGCTTACCATTTCACTCAAACTCAATCGGTGAATGATGGGGCGGCCTTGGTATGTCACATCGTGAAGGACAGCGCCCTCCCTAGTGTTGAAGCTGAGGCGCATACGCCAGTTTTGCCATTCGACCAAGTTGTCATCTGTCACAGTAAAGCTCTGACAAATTGAAATGAATTAGCCTTCCAATCTCCGAGTTGGCACAGTAAGTCACTCACGGGACCATCAGGTTGCACGACGTGCAGTGGCTTGAGACCTTCTCTCGGGCCCTCAGGTAGGAGTTCGGGTATGTATTCGCTGGCTTTGCAGTGATCGATCACATTTGCCTTTTCTGTCCTTGCGGTCAGACTGTCACCCTTACCGCCAGTTGCCAGCTCCAAAACCTTGACAATCTCCTTCTTGGCCCAGTCCATGATGGGGATCAGCGGCAGCGGGAATGCATAAAAGTTTGAGTCTGGGTTTCCACTGCGCTTGTCCTGTGCGAATAGTAGACCCTGGAAGTAGCGGCGTCTCTCCTCAGTGGCGTCCATACCACCATAGGGCCATGGCTCCTAGAAATCACTGGTCAAAACACTGTACACCTAGGTATGTGGGATCCTATACACGATGCTACTTACAATCACGACCTCAAAGCCTTCCGGTAGTCTGAGCTTGGCAACCTTGGACTGATAAAGAGGTGACTTTTGACATACATCGATGAATGTCATGAATTCGTGACTACCACAAAAGTCAGTTTTGCACTCAAAAGTCCGTAAAATGTGAATGAACATACATTGTCAAAGCAGCTTGATAGTCTGAGCTGATGACTTCGTGGGAAATTCGATCTCCAGTACGCAGATCGATGACTGACTCGTGGAATACTGGAACTTTGTTGCCCTCGCCAATGACATCGTACTGAACCTTTGCAAGACGTGGTGGCCGCGGGCTGCTGTCTGATAGTTGGCCCGAGTGCTCAAGGTCCAAGAATTTGATCAGCTCGGCCTTGGGAGGCTCCTCGAGAAAGATCTCGCGAAACTCGAGGACTGCGCCCTCGTGCAGCTTCAGTGTGTAGTCACGAGCAACATTTGTCTCGTCGACGCTAAGCTGCTTCAGCGGGTGAGGGTGTACTGAGGCCATTGTGAACTGTGCGCCTGGGTATATGCTGGTGGGGTATATGTGAGTAAATCCTAAAGGGTCGAACTTGGATTCTCTCAAGTCCACCTTAAGTATCAACTTCTTGAACTTGTGTCGTACCGTATTTCAGAAGTCTACAGCCACATCTTGGGAGGGTCCAAATTGTCCAATGGCTGACCTCATTGAAAAGTCACTATATGCGACTCGGGACCCTAATGGTGGTGGCCAACTGCGTTCCGAGACACAAGCCGCCACAGCTCGGAAGTCCTCGGAACGATACATACTCAAAGCTCGGAAGGGACAAGGAACGAGCTCGGAACGTTCCGAGTCTGATCAGGGCAGCCACATTACTGCATCCCTACTAGCAAACTTATTCAATGAAACTCTTATTCTTCTTATCATTGAATTAGATAAGAAGGACGATATAGCAGCTCGATATCATTGGGTTCATAGGCCTGGACTAGGCACCTTCTTGTCGCAACCCCTGGGCCGGCACTCGAGCGCGCCCTGGCGAACCCCCAGTGTCCCCCACAAAGACACGAATAATGATGGAAGAAGACGGCAGGTTCGTATCTGCTTATCTATAGATCAGAGATATAGGATCGACCGTGAAGATTTATTATCAAATAAGAGATATATTTTACGATATCATAAATAAGTTTCCATCCGCTTGATCTTACGATGGTCGAATGAGTCGAGCAGCATAGTACCGGACTCCCGAGTCAATAAGCCCCCTTTCACAATGTCAGAAGTCAAAGAAGTGCCTAATAATACTGAGCTGAAGCGCCAAGAGTCCTCGGGCCACTATGTCGACGGTCAGGAGAGACTGAGCTCCGAGGCGGCACGCCTGGAGCAGCTGGGCTATGCCCAAGAGCTCCCGAGGGAGTTCTCCATTTGGTCCATGATGGCACTCTGTATGTGTCTGATGGCCACTTGGGAGGCTCTCTCGGCTGTTTTGGGATCCGCTATTGTTAATGGAGGTGCTCCGTGTCTCTTTTATAATTAGTACGTATTAGCAATTCTCCTTGACAATTTTGTGAAAAGTCTCAAATACTGACGAGGGTACTGTTGTTACCATTGATAGTGTACTCTCCTTCATCTGTACCATTGCCATTACCTGCTCCCTGGGCGAGATTGCGTCGATTTACCCTACCGCCGGCGGTCAATACCACTGGGTCGCGGCCCTCGCCCCGTCCGCGACCAAGTCGGCCGCCGCGTGGTTCACCGGATGGATCTCAATTGGCGGCCAGGTTGTGCTCACGGCATCGGCAGCCTTTGCAGCGGCTCTTCAGATCCAAGGACTCGCTATTCTGAATAACAATGCTTATGTCCCGGAACGATATCAGGCCATGCTGATCTTCTGGCTCATCTTGGTTTACAGTGCTGCCATGAATATTTGGGGCCACAAGCTCCTTCCGAGTGTTAATCTACTCTCTGGTAAGACATATCATTAAAGACTTAAATTGGAACTTGCTGAGACCCTGATGTAGCTGTTCTTCACGTTGTTGGTTTTTTGGCCATCTTCATCACGCTGGCTGTGATGGCACCCAAGAACACATCGAGCTTCGTTTTCGCAGAGGTAATGAACTCTTCGGGATGGTCCAGTGATGGAGTATCATGGTTGGTCGGACTCCTGAGTGCCGTGTATCCTTTCCTGGGGTAAGTGTAGTTATGCAGAGTTGAGAGTCATGGCGGAAGGTTGTGCTTGACTAACATGGCCTCTCTTTCAGATATGATGCCGCTTGCCACATGGCCGAAGAGATCCCCAACGCCAGTCGAAATGTCCCAATTGCCATGGTTGGTTCATCCGTCGTCAACGGTTTGATCGGCCTCGCATACTGCATCATACTTCTATACAGCACTGGACCAGTTGACGACTTGTTCACGACAGTCACAGGCTTTCCTTTCATGCAGGTTAGTACTCGGAAACACGGATGTTCCTAGATTTCTTGTGTCTCCTCCCATGTATTGATGAAACTTTTAATTGGCCGCGATCCTGACATGATTATTTCACAAGATCTTTTTGTACGCCACAAAATCCAACGTCGGTGCCACGATCCTCTCCCTAACCATCACCCTGACCGCCGTGGCCGCCACTGTCGCCGGCGTGGCCTCGACCTCGCGCACCGTATGGGCCTTTGCCCGCGACGCCGCGACGCCGTTCCACCGGGCCCTCAGCGTCGTCGACGGGCACAACGAGGTGCCGACCGCCGCCATTGTCGTTGTCACCGTGTTGCAAATGCTGCTGGGATTCATCTACCTGGGCAACTCGACCGCCTTTAATGCCATTCTCGCCATGGCCATTATCGGCATGTATCTCTCCTACGTGCTACCCATTTGCTACATGTTGGTGCACGGTCGGCCGCGTTTACTGTCTACCGCCGACTACGGTCCCTTTCGCTTGGGGCGCGGACTGGGCATTGTCTGTAACGTCATCTCGGTGATTTGGCTGGTGGTGTCTATTGTCTTTAGTACATTCCCATCCGCCATGCCAGTGACGGCCGAGACCATGAACTACTCGTCCGTCGTCATGGCCGGATGGATGGTGTTTGGTGCTGCCTATTACTTTGCCCGTGGCCGGAAGAACTTTCGCGTTCCTGAAGTGAGGATGACCAATGTCGTCGTGGGTGTGCAGCTGTCGCAGAAATAAGGGGATACTAGTCATACTCATGTCTCCAATCGGGTCGTTTTGGTGTATCATTACTAGATACTAGATATTGTCACGTAGAAATTAGCGAAAATTCTTTGTTGCGCACAAATCATTCAGTTTTCTTTCAGATACACGGCCATGAATCATATGCAAGAAATGTTTAATTATTCTATTTATGCGCCAGGTCGTGGTTTGCCCTGCTTATTTCTTTGCAGCACAGCCATGTCCACCCTCGTTGGCATCCGGTCTCGCGAGACCCAGACAGTTGGCCATCTTGTAAAAGACATCAATATTACCATAGACGCCCCCGAAAGTCTCGGAACACGGTCCCATGGCGAAAACGGCCACGTCTGTCAATGAGTGCACTCCTTGGGCCTCATTGGTCGGCAAAGTGCCATTGACAATGAAGCCATTGGCATTGTCCTTGGGGTTGACAAAATAGTCGTCCGAGGCAAAGCCGCTGGTGTTCGTGGCTGGGGTGCGAGGTGTAGAGTTGCTCACGCGGTAGCTTTCCCGGTGATCGGGGTTGGCGCCCATGCCGGCCGCAATGGCATATCTCGGGTCCCAGTTGCTAGACAGCCAATCGTTAGTTTCCTGCTCTCATTCATGACCATTGAGGAATTCTTACACTGGGAAGTTTGGGCCCGTGTTGTAGCTAATGCCGGGCTGCTCAACCGTGTACTGCGACAGTCCAGAGTTCTGGTAAACACCCACAGCGCGGCGCTTCTCACGGTCTGTCTCCTGTTCTGCAAGGTACTTTGTATCCACTCCTCCAAACACGTCAAAGCCATGGCCGTGATCAGCCGTAACGATAATGAGCGTGCTCTCAAGTTCACCAATCTCCTTGAGATGTTCGACGGTGGCGCGGACCGTGTCGTCGAGCTCTAGCAAATCGCCGAGTGCACGGTCATAATCGAGCGTATGCATCTGCTTGTCGATGGAAGCGGCCTCGGACATGAGGAAGAAGCCCTTGTCGCCGCCGCGGTTGTGCAAAATGTCGATTGCCTTGAGCGTCATCTCCTTAAGACCCGGCAGGTCTAGAGCCGGGGCCTTGGCACCGGTAGGATCATTGGTAAAGGACTCGAGGTTGTCCACAAAGACGTTTCGGTCAAGCCAAACGGGCATGGTTGACTTGCAGAAAACACCCAGAGCCTTTTCCGTGTCGGGCAAACTGGCGAGGCTCGTCTTGTTCAGGCTGATGGTGTAGTTGGCTTCGGCAAACGCGGCATAGTAATCCTTTCCTTGGTACGAGCTGGAGCCGGGGTAGAATTGCTCAGCACCACCACCAAAATACACATCAGGACCACCGTGGTCTGTCCACGTATAGTTAGTCAGTGAGTTGAGAGCCTGGTCAATCAGTGGGCCATAGGCATAGCGAGATCGCGTGTGGGCAGTCAGGGCGATAGGGGTTGCATCGGCGAGGAACGCCGTCGAAACGGCACCCCATGCGGAACCCCAGATTCGCTTGAGAAGCTCAACGATGGTCTCCACCTTGGGATCATCGTAGAGATCAGGCGATGAATCGGCATAGACACTGAAAATGTTAGCTTTGCAGTAGCCAGGGAGTGTACAGTATCCTACCCCATGGCATTCACAGTGGACTTGTGACCCGAGTAGAGGGCCGAAGCAGAGTTGGCACTGTCCGTAATAAAGCTGTCGATCGAGTGGGTCTCACAGAATGTCAGCTTCTTGAATTCATGTGATTGGCGAGTGAATTACCATCTGGTGACCAACAACCGGGAACTTGTCCAATTGCATCGTGGACTGGTATTTGCCATTAATGCTCTTGTGACCGAGAAGACGAGCCGCAGTTATCATATTGGTGGTCATGCCGTCACCTTTCACCAAGTCAGCGATTGTATTTCGTTAATTGATGATTTCCTTACCAATGAAGAGAATGACGTTCTTCGCCTTCTTGGTGGTGGCCAGAGGGCGGACAACCCATTCGGCAGTAGTCGTCTCGCCATCATAATAGCTGAGAGTAACGGTGTATGTACCCGGCTCGTATATGGCGATACGCCTGTAAATCTTGGAGGCGACGTTGACGACGGACGGAGTCTTGGCATCTTCGGCGTAAAGATCCTCGTACCATTTGAAGGTCCATTTCTCAATCTCTGGCTCGGTGACATTAAAAAAGTCGGTGATGCTCTGAGCCTCACCGCCCTCCTTGGAGATGGTCACGGTGAACGCATCGTCGGGTACACCATTGTTGTAAGCTTCCGAGCCGTTGACGGGCGCATGGACTTCCAGACGGAGGTCAAAGTATTGGCCTGGCAGGAAGTCTTGCTGATCTGGAGGCAGAACACAACCCAATGTGGGACATGTACCAAGTCGCTGAAATGTCTGGGCCGAGGCGAAGGCCGCCCAGCTCAGTACAACGACTGGACTCAATCGGCTCAACATACTTGCTATAGATCACCAATTCTAGAATACAATTGGCCCTGAGAAGTGAACGAGAGAACCTTGAGGGCAGGTCAGAATAACTTTACAAGCTTCTGCAGCTGGTTATATAGCAACGGGCACACCACCATGCAATGGGAGGCGGGATATAGCCAGGGTTCGCGCATGCATTGCCCACTTGGGTCGATACAATCCATTGGGACCAATCGTGTTTCTTGCCGATTGAACGTGTGGAGTGTATGTTAGTTCTCTCGGTTCTTTCAGCTCATGCAACATCTGATGATGATGGTACTGTTGTCCGCGGAACTACTTTGGACAGGAGATCGCAGGAATCAAAACAGTGATTCGTAGGCACGTGTTGGTGCAATTTTACGCCTCAAAGATGGACAGGAAAATCGTCCCAAATGCCAAGTCGCTATATATGCAGCCAAGGCCGGGGCCCAAAGGGCAACAAGAGGGAGCCATGAGATGCTGGAGGCGATGACGGCTTCCGCGTGTTCTGGGGCTTCGCACCCGTTCTGATGTATTCTGCTCTTCCTTTACGGGACTCAACATATTGACAGTATCGTGTAAAGAACGCTTGACAGGTTCACAATTGGCAGACTTTGGCTGGTGTTCGCCATGAGGATGTCGCGGTGACATGCACATATTTGCGAACAGACTGAACCGAGAGGCCTGGATCACCACCATTTCGAGAATTATAGATGACATAGGACGAGTAGCAACGTGCTCGAGATTACAGTCTTTATTGGTTCAATGTATTTGGGCGAGTTCAGGTACCTGCCCGAGCGGGGCTAACTTATTTTCTTGGCTGTCTTGGCACAACGCGTTGTCCAGTGTGGATCTGGATTCGGATGTGGCGTACACTGAACCGGGATATCATCAACAGACAAGCAGTCTTGGTGTCATGGAATATAGGTTGTCCTGGCAGAGAAAGGAACTCATCTCCGAAGAGTTTCTGGGTATGTCTTTCGCAATCTCACAACAGTCGATTGCGAACCGGTCTTGAACTACTTGGAAAGGTTATGCTCGAAGGCAATGCAATCTTTTTTTTGCTTTCAGACAAGCAAATTCCAGACGTTGAGAGCTTCAACTACCGGTCGCTACGAGCATATAAAATCATATGCGCAGAGTGGATACGACTTGTGAGCAGGTCCCGACAATTCGGGTCAAAAAATGCTAACAAGTAGTGGGCTGTCCAATGTGACGCTACTAGGAGTGACGCGCCTGGCCGTTGAAGCATCCAACTTGAGCCTGGTAAGATCTGCAGCAATGAACCCAAGTGACGCTCGTAGATGCTACAAGTGCCTGGCCACTGCCTTAATCAAAAACTCTTCTCAGCAAAACCATTGCGGTCAAGTTCGGTAGCCGATGCTCCTGGGATGAGTGGACTTTCAGCGTCCACTTCAGGACCTCCTGTCACGACTAAACCTGCGACTTCTTTTGCCAACGTCGGGTCGTCGCCATTACTGTCCTCGTACGCACGCCAAGGAGCCACATTAGCTTTTGGCTGAGAAGCTTCGGACTTGAAGTGATATCCTCGAGTGCGCGGGCGTTCTCCGGTGCTGTGGAGAAGTTCGGGATCGTATACTCGAGCAAAGTCTTCGACCTTTTGATCAAATGTGCCGTCACCAATGGCGGAACGGATCCCTTTAAAGAACTCGGTAAGGACGTGGTGGTTGTGAATCTGAAGTAACGTCCAGGACAACATTTCCCTCGCATCGAGGAGATGGCAGATGAACGCACGATGGTGCTTCGTGCAAGCATAGCAGCTACAGCCATCTGCCAGTGGTGTTACTGAAATTTGGTGTTCTTTGGACCATAGGTTTATGCCCAAAGGCAGGTTGTCAGGACCTATCCTTGGTGGTGCGGGGAATTGAAAGGTTAGGGCAATCCCTTCGTCAGAAACACCATTCATAAAGGGAATTGCGAAGATATCAATGCCCAGTTGAATCTGGCGGAGAATTTCGTGAGGTGAAGAAGGCGAATCCATGGAAAGGCGTGGTAGCGATACCAAAGGAGAGTGGGCTTCAAGATCAGCCAGAGTATCGGCATCGTATACAACAAGTCCTGACAGCTTGTGTGCGTGATCTTCCGACAGGCGATTGAGATATTCCCATTGCAGTGGATATTCTATCGGCAGCGTTGGTGCAAAGACGTGTATTCCCAATGGAGTCAACTCGGTATCAGGGTCCAAAGTCTTGAAAAAGGCTTCGACCCACTCGTCGGTGCGTTCCAGCATGCGACGTAGACGTTTGTTACTTCTGGTGCCCTTGTCAAACGTCAGGTCGGCTAATGGAATGACTATGTCGGGCCTGAGAGACAAGATGTTGTCGCAGTAACGCTCAATCTCGAGGCTTTGGAACCCAGTCGACGTAAGTATAGAAAGGTGCTTGGCTCCATTACCCATAGGTGCTACGACAGCAGGATATCTGCGGGCGCCCATGATCGTGATGATTTCGGAAGGCAAGCCCGTGTACGAGTGAAGCCGGCTGCGGCCACCCTCAGATGCAGCAAAGATTGCTGGGGCAGGTCGCTTGACATATTTTTCTACGACTGATCTCTTAGCTTTGTGATCAAGGGGAGGTGACAATACAGGAGAAACTTACAGTCTTCGATCGCCATATATGCACCTCGGACCTGAGTATGTTTTGTCATCACATCGGTGGTAAGATGAGGAATGGCGCCTCTGGAAGTGATGTCGATGAAGTTGGGCGTCTCCAGCGGTGCCGACTTGGCCAGCTTGAGGCTGCCCAGTCGGGCGGCGACCCCATCGTCCGCCTTTGCGATGTTGAACACCATCTTGCCGGTGCTCTCCAAGTCTCTACTGCCCATATTGCCGTAGACGAGTTGAGATTTGGATTTAGACCCAGTATACACAAGCAGCACCCGGAAACCTCGCAAGCTAGAAGCACTCTGCCAAATGCCTTGCTATCTGTTTAACAATGCTCTGGTCTCTAGGGATAGTTCAAAGTGCTGTATAAGTGAGTGCTCTGTCTGATATACTGATATAGCCACGGCCAGGGGTTGGATCGTCACTATCCTCAACTGGCTGTGAGCCTGTTTGGATTTAACCTCAAGGTGCCTGAGTGTTACCCACAGATTTTTGCAGGCAGAAGGGTGCAAGGCCAGAAGCAAAGCCAGGGCCCGCCCAACCGCTCACCCGCCAATCGGCCCGCTAAGGATCACGTTAGTGGGGTCCCTGACATGTCGACTTCGGGGGTTCTTTGCTACCTGTCAGGGCACAACCTTGGGCTGGGCCCTGGGGAATCCGATCTCCGGGTGATGATGCAGTGGAATGATTTGCATCATCGCCCAATGTTCAACCGCCATCGCAATCTTCTCAAGTGTTGAAAATGTAAAGCATCATTAGGTATACAATTACACTAAACACTTACTATGTAAACCCAGTCATGGGAAAGTTCATCAGAATACCGAAATCGTCCGACTTTATCGGTCTTTACAGCAGACAAAACAAAGCCAGTCGCCGCCGCCGAATCACACCCCTCCATCATTGCACGCTCGCTCGGTCAGCCTGCCAGCCTAGTGCAGGCGCATCTCCATCCTTCTCGCCATGAACCAACCAAGGTGGTGGGGAGCCGGGGCGTACCGACCAATCGACGCCAGAGATCGTCCGCGCCAGGCAATGTCTCTCACCCGAAACGTCCGCTCGAAACGTGCTGGACATCAATACCAACAGTCCACTTCTTCCTGCTTCAAACCTCCAAACTGATGATTCCACAACAGAAAATAGATTGAAAAGAGCAGGCTCTCTTGGTCTATTGCGCCGTCGTAAACATGCCTTTCTGAGTCCCTGACACTCTCTGAACGTGGATTAGACATAGACCTGTCTGGTTTTTTCGAAGACTTGTTACCTCTATTCACTATTCGCTACCCACTGACCGATACTTTGCAGTCCCAAAACTGCCCACCATCTTCTGACACTCGGCGCTGTTTCCCGACTGTCTGAGCATCGTCTGTCGACTCCATTTCCATCATATTCACCGTTGTTCTCATTCATATCGCTGCGCAGGCTGGTGAGCGCAGCTTGGGTCATCAACTTCAACATGAGCGATTCCCGAGCAACAAAACCCTCTGCTGTTGTGACCGAATCAGAGCGCCCCGAAGCCAGCAGCAGTTCCGACTCTCGCACTGAATCCCTGCACCCCGACGCACCAATCGAAGCAGTTGGACACCTAGAAGTCGAAGACGACGAGACACCAACACCGCGCTTCATGCAAGAAGAGGGCGCTTGGAAGAGGTGGAAATGGGTGCCATATCCCGTCCGCAGATTCAGCATCGCTGCTGTAAAGTGGTCAAAAGGGCCTAGAGAGCCCAAAGTATACAAGATCAAGCCTTTGCTTCCAAAAGTCCAGGAAGCCCCCTTGGTTTTGATGGACAAATACCTACCGAAACAAAAGCATCGAGTTTGGTTATTCATTGGCTATGTGGCCATTTGGATACTCACCTTTTGCTTGGTCATGCGTTCAGGGTTGAAGGCTTCGGAGATTGCAGACTATGGAACACCCAGCGACATTGCATGCGGGACAACATACTGGGTGTCTGGGAATCAGTGTGGAACCGATGGCAACAGCTGCAGGCCGTTCACTGATTCAGGCTTCGCTTTCAAGTGCCCTGCCAACTGCGCAAGCTACAAGGTCCTCAACCCCAGAGCCGTGGGCGACCAGGAAGTCGTTTATACGCAACTCGTTGTTGGAGGCCCTTCGAGCTCGGCAAACACGACCAGTGCAATCTATCGAGGCGATTCCTACATTTGCGGCGCCGGTGTTCATGCTGGTGTTGTCAGTAACAGCAAAGGTGGATGTGGCGTTGTCAAGCTCATCGGGCAACACTCCGACTTTGTCAGCTCGACAAGGAACGGCATCTCCAGCGTTGGATTCGACTCCTATTTTCCACTATCCTACACCTTTGAGACGGGAATCGAATGTGAGACCAAAGATGTTAGATGGTCCTTGCTCGCCGTTTCGGTTACCTTTACTGCAGTTCTGTCGCTGGTGACCTCGTCTCCCGCGCTTTTCTTCTTCCCAGTCTTCATTGGAATCTTCTGGCAGGTCGGCATGGCTTCTGATGCTCCGTCGCATAGTTCCGTCGCTGGACTATTCTCAAATATCCTGGGCAAGTTTTTGCCTGCCATGTTTTGCGCTTGGGTCATGTATGACAAGATGGGCATCAGAAGGACCCTGCAAGACTGCACTGCTCAGATCGAGAAGACTGTCTTGTGGCTTGGGGCTTGTTGGGTCGGCGCTCTAACAAATTACACATTTGATTTCATCCCAATCCAAAGACTGACTGGGCACGACCTCGATCAACAACCAGGCGCCAAGGTCGCTCTAGCAATCATTGTGATTGTTCTTACAGCCGTGGCAGTATCGCAGGTCTGGTTCTTCCGGCAAGAGGCACGCCTAACCAAGTACCTGAAGCTGTACTGTTTGTTTGTCATTGGCATTATTATTTGTTTGGTGCTGCCGGATCTTAGCCTCCGAATTCACCACTATATCCTCGCATTGCTTCTCCTCCCAGGGACCAGCATGCAAACGCGGCCATCCTTACTCTACCAAGGTGTGCTCGTCGGCCTGTTTATCAACGGTATTGCACGTTGGGGCTTTGAGTCTGTATTGCAAACATCTTATGCCCTTCAAGGTGATGCGCAGCTTGGCTCGCCGTTGCCAAGCATTCTTACCCCGGCCATCAGTCTGGCTGCGAATGCGACTTCTAACGAGAACGCAACCGCTGCCGCTGCGGAGATGTCATCAATCACTTTCAACTGGCAGTCACCTCCAGCCCCTCAATTTGATGGCATTAGCATTCTTGTCAATGACGTCGAACGATTCAGGAGTTATTTCACTGACGTTGATGCCGAAGAAAGTTTTAGCTGGAGCCGCGAGAGCAATCTTGATCTGAATGAGTACTTTAGATTTGCCTGGATGCAAGGGAGCTCGACAATGGATTATACGAAAGCCGGCATTTGGACTGCGGATGGCACATGGTCGCAAATGGCTGATGGGCCATCCAAGGTGAAGGCTAGGAATATTGACGGCGAGACACAATTTTTGAGATAGGAACCTCGTAGACATGTTTTCTGATTTCAAGAATAGATCTGTCTTTAACGAAAACAACACTTCGGTCCTAAATATGTCCCGGTGACTGAAAATGATTGATATTGAGGGAAGCAACAGGGTGGCTTCCCTTTGATCTCTTATGTGCTCGATCATATATCGCAAGTCATTATTTTCTCGGCCTTTTTTGAACTATGGGTGTGCTCCAGTCACATTCCCTTTTTATTTCCACATAATATCAAGAAGCACACTCGACAGTTTTCACCTTGGCAATGTTCTCCCTCTTTCTTGACCTCAATCCTTGGATCTTGACTGCCACACTCCCTCCAGCGACTTCCTTGAGAGCGAAGAACGTCCCCGGGATCCGATTTTCGACTCTTCGTGCCCAGCGCTCGGCGGTTCTGATTACGAGCGGCGGCTCCGGATCCCACAACTCGGTCTCGTAGCCGAGAACACTGAGATCGGGATTGGTCAAACCTGTGTGAAGCGCGTTCCAAAGACCGCCAAGCCTTTTTGCACGGAGGTCGTCGCCACACCACTCATCCAGATCCTCGAGCCGGTCACCCGCCGCGAACTGGGAGGCCTGGTCCTCGGACCCTTGGCACTCGACCTGGCATGCCGCCAGATACGCATCGCGGGCCTCGCGCAGCCGGCCCAGCCCCCGGAAGCAGTCGCCTTTGTATAGGAACAGCGTTGCCAGGCGGGTATCGGCATCTGCGGTGGGAGAAGACAGATCGTGCATGTCGGTGACAAAGGCGAAAGCGTCGCGCACCAGGCGCAGCGCCTCTGACCAGTCATACACTGACAGCGGTCCTGGCCGCGAGAGGATGGTCTGGATCGAGGAGAGTAAGTCTTCTAGGTCATCATGGAAAGAACTCTGCTCCTCTACAGTCAATGCAAAAGGAGGATAAATAGACATTCTCTCCTATTTACGCCCTGGTGAGAAGTCCTGTTCTTTCTTGTTTCGGGATATCTGCTAAATGCGAAGTACAAGGAATTGAAGCTGCGACGAATGGAAATGATATGATAAGTAAATGCCAACTGAATCGAAAAGTACAGAGAAATGTAGGTCACCGTAGAGAGTGAGCGACCCGAAACGAATGGTAATACGCAGCAATTTTGAAATGAAATCTCAGGCGGTGAGGAAAATACAATCATGAGGCGCTTTTTGTAAGTCATTGATTCTTTGTTTGAAAACGCCCATTGTGGGGTGTCTTTGTGTGATCAGGATTAAGAGGCAAGCCGACAAGGTTTTGGTGGTCATATGACGCAGTACAAATGAAGCAATGCACGTGGAATGGAATGATTCAGATACAATTCAAATGGATACTGATAAAATATCATTTTTGATCAATCGCTATTGAACGCTTCAAATACTATCGCTCACGATGTTTAGATAATTCATGCTAGGTATAGAATTGCCGAGATTCAGCATAAACTTTACCAACTCCCATCCTTGAGGAATGCCTTCAATCTGTCATCGAGCCACTTGACATCCTCTTTGCTGTCTCCAGGACCACCAGCCCTATTCTTATGTTAGTCTGAGGTCATTCTTGGACTCTGTAATCAAGAGAAAGAAAGGATGAAAGGATAGAAAAGGACTTACCAGTGGCCCCAAATGGACGGCAAGACGACACACTTGCCAACACCGGGCGTCATATTCTCGACTTCGATTTCCGAGTCTTCTGGAGGAAAGTACAGATCTGTCTGTCCCGGGACAACAAGAGTTTTTGTCTTGATGCCTTTCATTGCACTCGCGAAATCTGATATGTGTTAGCGACAATCCAGCAGATCAGGTTGACTGCCTAAAGTAGGTAAAACTCACCCTTATTGTACGGTTCCTGGTCCGAGACATCACCAGCTTGCCAGGTATATAGCATGGCAAGCATGTTCTCGGGGTCCTTGCTAAGCGCCCACTTTTCCCACCAGCCAACCATGAAATCCTCCAGATTCTTGTAGCCCAAGTAGGACTCGTGCAGCTTGGCCCGATAAAACGCCTGACTGAAGCCCCAACCGGCATAGACGCGCCCGAGGGCCTTGAGTCCAGTCTGGCGCTCTTCCTCGCTCCAGCCGCGGTACTGCGACGCCGGCGTTGTGCTCTCACCTTGGACCACGCCACCTGATGCCGCCCCCTTGGCGGCTAGCACAGCCACCTTGACACCTTCGAGAAAGACCTGGTTGTGCAGACTCGTGCGGGCACTTCCCAGGAACGGGACCGCCAGGTCACAAAAGTCTGGGTACTGCGTGATCCACTGGTATGTTTGTCCGGCACCCATGCTCCAGCCGAGCACGCAACGGGCATGCTTGATGCCAAGACCCTCGGTTACGAGCTGGTATTGCGCCTTGACATTATCGTAGAAAGTCACTTCGGGCCAGGGGCGTAAGTTGGGGGTATTGGATGGACTGATACTTTGGCCGTTGCCAATCAGGGCCGGGACAATGATGAAGTAGTTCTTTGGACTCAGAGCCATTGCGTCGCCAATGAGCCATTCGTTGTCGGCAATCAGGCCACTGTACCATGTTGGGTAGATGATAGCCGGGTTTGATGAGGACCCAAAGGTCTTGTATGCTATGAATGCATCTGGAATTTCGCCGCCAGACTTGAGCTTGAAGTTGCCCAACGGAAAGGTTTTGATTTCGGACATTTTCGGGTGCTGCGAATGAGTGAAGCGGTATAGCCTGAGGGGATCTGGGCGAATGATGACTTGATTCTCTCCTAACTATATTGTTCTTAATGGCTTATATGATCGATGGCGGCTTATAGAGAGCCCGCGGCGATTTCACTCTTGGATGGATGATTTAGTCAGTCACGATAGGATGACCAAGCGCCGGCGAAAAGTAACAGAGTTGTAAGCACAATAATTTCACAGCAGTATTGTTCCACGATGGGAATATACGTAAATGCAGCCTTTCAAGTGCACCGCGAAATGTCTCCCCCTTGTATCAATGGTGTTTACCCCGCAGATTAGTGATATGGCTTGTCGACGGGCGATCATGCGCCCGCTTCCTTTTACCTAGATGGGATATTTACGATAAGCTTGCCTTGATATACTAGTATAGTATATAAACCATGGTCGAACGCGAAAGTTTGCGCGAAACGATGTAAACTCACAAATACACGGGTTTACCATTTTGTCCGTCTGGAGGTGGTTGCCGCGGTTCGAATATTGTTGACGTCAATGATTAGCAGGTATGCACGATACATGCACACACAGCCCTGCACTAGGATCTCGCTTTAATCTTTTGAGTCTGTGCACTCTTATACTACAGGCTCCGGATGAGGAATTCTAGTTATTTTGGTCCCTTTGTAAGACTAAATGATTATTCCGTCCGAGTTTTACCAGGCAGCAACCGACGATATGTAGAGTTGTAAAAGAAGGTGAGGAGGAGAATATCATTAGGTAAAGTATTGGGACTTCCTCGGCCGGCTCCGCAAACGGACCCGCAGTGCCATGGACGACGACTCACGAGCTGCCGGCCAGACAAGCATTGAAGGGCTCGGAATGTCAAGGTGTGGAGCCGCGAACAGCGCCCCGTATGCCCCTTGCCTGCGCTAGAAAAAAAGAAAAGAACAGAAAAAAAAAATCCAAAAATAAAATTCATGACTCCTCTCTTTCTTCCGTTTACACTTTTTAAACTCTCATCAACTGGCGGCGAAGCCAACCATACCTTTGCCTGATTCGCACAACTTGACTTGCAATACTCACCATCTGGGAGACTTCCCATTGCCATACCCAATTCTAAACCTGCTTCGGGGTTTCTTATATGAATCCCGATCAAAACCATGCAGATGACAGCTGCCAGGTAAATCAAACTGTCCAACCCTCTGGGTTGTTGACTACATCTGAGAAGGACCTACGCAATGAACGCGAACGTAGTATCTCTTCGCCAACCTCCTCGGACTCGGAGGATCGCCATGACGGGGACAAGGATCTAGAGGAACCTTTTCCCGAGGGCGGCTTTAGGGCCTGGCTCGTCGTCTTCGGCTCCTTCTGTACCATGCTGTCGGTCTACGGCTTGATCAATAGCTCGGCCGTCTTCGAGTCCTATTTTGCGACACACCAACTTGCCGACTCCGACTCCTCCACCATAGGATGGATCTTCAGCTTGTACTTGTTTGTCGTCTTCTTTGCTGGCATCCAGGTCGGCCCCATCTTTGACCGCCATGGTCCGAGATTGCTCGTTGCAGTGGGCAGTATTCTGGTTGTCGCCAGTCAAATGATACTCGGTCTTTGCACAGGTAAATAATTGTACTTGATCCAATGGCTTGTGCATTATACTAATCCCATTGGCGATAGAATACTATCAGATCCTCTTGACCTATTCGGTACTCCAAGGCCTTGGTGGTGCTCTGCTGAACGTGCCCGCGTATGGAATCATTGCGCACTACTTCAAGAGACGCCGTGGCCTTGCTACTGGCATTGCTTCTACCGCTGGATCGATTGGTGGCATCATGTTCCCACTATTACTGCAGAGCCTTTTGCCGAAACTCGGATTTGCATGGACCACGCGCATCATTGGCTTCATCCTATTGGGCTTGGCAATTCCGTCCAATTTGCTGCTGCGCACCCGACTGCCCCCTAGCGACAAGGTAGTTTCAGTAATTCCTGACTGGTCGCTGTTCCGAAATCTCAAGTTCACCCTTACTTGTGCTGGAGTGTGGTTCCTGGAATGGGGCCTGTTTGTTCCCCTCACATTTGTGGTGTCTTATGCTTCCGACTATGGCCAGAATGCCAATGCCGCCTACATCCTTCTGGTCTACCTCAACGTTGGTTCATTCTTTGGGCGCTTTCTCCCTGGATTCATTGCCGACCGTATCGGACGATTCAATGTCATTATACTGACGATTTCACTGTGCGTCGTGACCTTGTTGGCATTTTGGCTGCCCTCGGGTTCCTCACATGCACTGCTCATTGTCTTTGTCGTGACCTTTGGTTTTGCTAGCGGTAGTAACCTCGGTCTGTACCCAGTATGCCTTGGTCAGCTTTGCAGTTCGAGAGACTACGGTCGTGTCTACTCTACATCGCTCATGGTTGGAAGTTTTGGCACCTTGACCAGTCTACCGATTGGAGGCGCGCTTCGCGATGTGGGCGACCTACGCCAGGGCTGGCTTGCACTTATTCTATTCTCGGCACTCTCCTACTTCATTGCGATGAGTTGTTTCCTGGGTGTCAGAGTTTTGGCCGTTGGCTGGAAGGCCAAGAAGGTTTTCTAGTGCCCAACGCTTGATGTGCAGAAATACGAGGCGGTTTGGTGCCGAAGAAGCTTCCGCCTTGGATCTAAAATTTGGTAGTTTGAAACCAATAAAAACAATCTTCCGAATAAGACGGTTTACTAAAATGATTGGGCTGATTCTCATATTGAATTGGATTGATAGCGCTATAGACCCGTATGCGTATTCTTGTCGCAGCCCTGGCATCTGCTCGACGCTCAAAATTGTAAAGCTGATGTATGCAGCGCCCCCCTCACCAGAGAATGTTGAATTTCTTCAATCCTCGCTTCGGAGCCGCTGGAGGCTCCGGGTTATCATTCGCAATCTGGATAAAGGTGCGGATATCAATCTCTTTCAAAGGAATCACCTTGGTCTTCTTCACAATTTTGTACCCAAAATAGAGGGCAAAAATAATCGGGATGTTAATGTACGACGACACAAAGACCTCCGTATCCCAGTGTCCCTTGATGAAAGCGGTGTAACCAGACGTCAGGAGAAGCAGGAAAAATGCAAACAGTGAGACCCATGACAGGTACGGCTGCAAGGGAGCAGCCCAGGGCAGCTCCTGACGGTCGATGCCCTGCACCTTGCAGCCATACTGGAAGCGCAGATATGTGATGAGGATAATAGACCAGTTGACGAGGGCGGCGACTGACACCAGGTTGACTAGCCACTCAAAGACCAGGGATGCCGAGGCAGACAGTGTCATGTACGCGAGACAAAGAAACAAAGAAAAGAGGCCAACGGAAACATAGGGTATGCCAAACCGGTTCAGTCGGGTAAAAATTCTAGGTGCTCGTCCCTCTTTGGCCAGACCAAATAGACTGCGAGATCCCGACAGCATGCCCGAGTTGGCTGCAGACCATGCTGAAGTAATCACGACTGCGTTGATGATGGAGGGCACGTATTTGATACCACTGTTAGTCGCCGCGATAACAAAAGGCGACGCTGCTGTCGACGATGCGCTGAGGAGCGATGGGTCATTGGATGCGACCACCAATGTAATCATGAAAATGGAGATGACGTAGAAGAGCAAAATACGCCAAAAGATCCGCTTGGCAGCTTGAGGGATCGCTCGTCGGGGGCACTGGACTTCGGCAGCCGAGATACTGATTGTCTCGATTCCAGAGTAGGAGTAAATGGCACTACTGAATGTAGACCAAAACCCCATAAAGCGTCCCGTCGCGCCAGGAACGTCCAAGTATTGAACAAACAGACCCGGAGTGTGCCAGTACCGGAAGCCAATCGCCTCTCCACTCGGCCCGCCGCCGCAGGTGACGACAAGGGCTAGAATGTTGACAAAGACAATGAGCATGATTTTGAGCATTGAAAAGCCAAACTCGAGCTCTCCATAGATTCTCACAAACAGTGAGCAAGAGATGATGACCAGAATGTTGAAAATCGTCACCCACTGTACACACGTTTAGCTTGCGTTTCTTTTGAGCTCCATGTTCTTGTACTCACAATCGCATTGTTGACCGAAACCCAATACTCGATCAAGACGGCTGCTGCAACAATCTCATTCGGGCACGAGGTCAAGTAAAAGTACACCAAGTTCCATCCCACCGCAAAGGAAAGCGCAGGGTCTACAAAGACCTCCGAGTACCTGACGATACCACCATTGAGCGGGACTAAGGCGCCGAGCTCGCCCACCGCAAGAGCAACGCTCGAGGCTAGAATACCGGTAAACGTGTACCCAAGAAACGCACCGAGCGGACCGCCTTTCGCGAGAGCGCTTCCCGAGCCGAGAAACAAGCCAGTGCCAATAGCTCCAGCTAGGGAGATCATTTGAATGTGCCTCTGTTTGAGGCCTTGTCGGACGTCTCTGACTTCGGCGAAGTGGTCAATGTCGGCGGGAACCGCTTCAATGTCGCCCACATCGCTCTGATACGTGGGCGTCTTTTCATCAGGTAGCTTCTTGTCGCCTGAAGAGGCATCGCGAATGGCCGAGTCCATGACTAAAATTGGAACGAAGTCAACTGCCGGGGTCAAATACTCTACGTTTTGGCAGAAACTCCTAAATATATATAAATGACTGCCGCCTACCCCGCGCGTACCGTTGGACGAAAATCGGTTGCGTGGCGCAACGAGGATTCAAGATTGCTTGTACGATCTCATTCGATAAGCGATCCCATTGTGATACTCACAAGCCCCCCTGATCGCATGATAACGAGTTCAAACAATGATGCAATTTCCCGGGCGCATGTACATGGTTTGCAGTATCTTCGGCCGGATCTCCGAATCACAGTCGGAGTGGTCATGGTATAGTCCGAAACTAGTGGGGTGCCTGATTATAGATTCCAGGGGTTGTTCATCTTATCTGTTTGCTTCGCTGTATAGTCTTGTACTATTCCTCAATTTATGATTCTAGCTTAAAATCTTGCGACAAACGAACATGCAAACTTGCGAATGGTCAACATGATTGTGCGACATTGTAACATCATCCATATAAAGCGCTGATCAGGATGGCTTCGACGGTGGCGACATTTGCCTTTAAGTCAGCCATTTCAATGATGTGCAGGTCGATGACTAGGTAGGTAATATTATTGTATAGTGTAATGCTACATGCACGTGGTTACGCGCAACTAAGTAATAGTCATATCTCTTTTTTTCTTTGGTCTTACCCAGGTTGCTGCCGGGGCCAAGTTGCGCATAGTAATGTGCCGTTTTGAGCGACGCGACGAAGAGCGCAGGGCTATAGTTTAGTCTAGACCACTAAAGCAGGCAATATCACAATCTCGCCAGTACCAATTCTGGTCTTTGCCAAATAATTCGTTCCATAGTCTTTGTCAGCCGAAGTCATCGATGTGGACAAAGACATGGTGGCTGCATAGAATTCCAGTTTGTTCTTTGTCCCAAATACGGACTCGGCAGTCGCGCACGAGTATGGGAAAAACAATTCCCTGCTTGTAGACAATTGTCATCAAAGAAGGTCGAATAGTGCGATTTTTCAAAGAAATCCAAGATACGAATAATTTCGAAATGAAATAACAGTACTACGTAGCAAAAGTAGCTCGAGATTTTAGAGAAAATTTCAAGTTCCCTCGATCATATTCCAAGAAAAGGTTCCTCTGAAAGACAAGTGCCAATCTGCCGCTGCCGATATATATCCAAATACCACTGCAACGATATTCCATTGGAATTCCTTTTGAGGAAAGGCTATAAACCCATTTTGCATCTTATTCTTTCGTATTTGGGATGGCAGCATCGAAGAGATCCAAGCCTTCACGGCGCTCGCGGAAGTCACTTTCTACAGTAGAACAAGTTGTAAACCGACTTGGTATGCGATGGAACGATGAGCAGAAAGAGGAATATATAGACAGTATCAAGGTTGTCGAGCTCAAGCGGCTCAAGGTGCCATATCCAACGGACGACTACTACACGGCCACGACCGCCGCAGGAAGAGACCAATGGGAGAGATTTTGGCACCAGAGGCCAGCAAAGGACAAGCGGGTCAATGGCGGTCAGCGACGACAGATTCTTTTGCTCGATAAATCGCGGCTCCAGTACATTATTCCGCAGAATGAGAGTGTCATGTTTAGGGACGCAGATACCAAGGAGATCTTCATGGTCATCCTGCGCGACTTTATCCCGGATAATGATCTCAGGGAGGACATGATAGCCACGTGCCGACAGATTATCAAGTACCGCCGCGATGATCGCCGTGAGGATCCGGGACAGCTGGTCCATTTTGGCTATACCTGCGGTGACCGCGCCAGGCCTACTGTGGGCCTGGCGGCAAACTGCCGATATATTTCCCCCAAATACCACCGCGAGCTCAATAATGCCTCGCAGGGCATGGCAGGTATTGGTTGGAACATGTTGCGCTCGCGCCTGCCGCAGGTCATTATTGACGATTACAACAACACTATCAAGAACATCCCGGGTTGCCCGCGCATGGACATGGAGCCGACCAAGGGTGTCAAGAATGACCTGTTCTCGTACAACGTCGAGGGAGAAGAGTTGACCTTCAACGAAGTGGGCGACTTGGAGCTCCCGCCGCCTTCAGGCCTGTCGGCGATAAATTATGCCCGCTTCACCCACCGGGAGAACAACGGGAACGAATGGTTTATTGCTGTGACGTGTTTGGCGGCAGACAGCCCCGACATTGGCGGCAATTTTTACAATGCATCGTACGGCATCATGATGGAGGCCGCGATCAACACCGTCTCATGTTTCAAGCCTAATGATTATCACGGCACCACATTGTATGAGATCGTAGTGCCCGACGGAGTGTACGATGCCAGTGATCCGAGATGGCGCATCGATAGTCGTGAGAGCCGTCCCGACGGGGGAGAGAACATTGGATTTGCTTTCGAGGTGTCCAAGGGCCTAGCCAATGCCAAGAGAAAGAGGGATGCTCGGCAGGCTGCGAGACCAGGACGGGGAGGGAAGCGGAACCGGCGGTCTGTGTATAGCAAAGAGCCCGATTCCAACGCTGAGAGTGATGAGGACTATGTTCCAAAAAGACCTCGTTTGCGGTGATGTATAACTTTGTGCCAGACTTGGTGCCATTTGGAGCTGATAGCTGATCAATTTTGTCATCTTTTCTTTTTTCGTGGTAGTCTAGGCAATTTCCGTACGTATATAATATCCGAATTAGTCTCGTCAGGGGCGGCACGCCTTACGCTTCCTCCCGTGACTTTGCGCTCTCTACGCAATCTTGCCACCTGGTAACTTTCATGTAGATACACTCCATTGCAGCTGTAGCGACCAAGCCGGCAGCGAGACCTAACCAAAGACCATTGAGCTTTAGGTTCGGAGAGCCAAGTTCTAGCCATGCCGCAAGGGGGACAGCAAAAAGGTACTGCACGGGGAAAATGATCCAACCAGCGATGGACTGCCTGCCGAGACCCCTCAACATGCCATTGGTACCACAGTTGATGGAGTCAATGATCTGGAATACGGAAACAGTGATCATGGCCTCCGCGCAGAGTTCACGAACGTTACTATCTTCAGTAAAGATTTTGGGTAACTCATTGCGCAACAGGAGCATGACAGCAGCATCAAAGATGCCCACCACTGTAAATACTCCGGCATAAATCGAAGCAGCCCGCCGAGCGGCATCGACCAGCCCGGCGCCGATGAGATGGCCCACACGTATACTGATGGCAACACTGATGGAGAATGGGATGTGCCACGCCGTCACAGATAGAGTTGTGAGAATCGTCTGGGCTGCCAGGCTATCAATGCTGACGTATGAGGTGCTAAAGGTCAAGATCTCAAAGGCAAACCACTCTCCAAGGTTCACGATAGACCCAGCCGCGGAGAGACGGAGCATTGGACCCCAATGAGTGAAAGCTTCGCGCGAGAATCCTCCCCAGCACTGGTGAGACCACTTGGCAAAAAAGACAATATAGAGCAGAAGCAGTATGGGGCGCAAGTTGTTGGACAGCGCGGCACCTAGAGCTGCTCCTTCGAGGCCCATACCAAGCTTGAAGGTGAGCAACCAGCTGAGAAAGGCGTTGACTGGCGTGCAGATGATGAGGACAACCAAAGCCGCGTTGCAGTCACCTTGGGTTTGTAGGAACCGTTTCAGCGCCTCGAACGATGCATAGCCGGGAAGTCCGATCAAGCTCACGCGGAGGAACGAACCAGCCATGACAGCCAGGTGCTCCTGCTTGACGAAGAGAGGCAGAATCCAAGGAGAGCATATCCAAACAGCACCGATCGGTATGATGGCCAAGGCCATGAGGACCAGCATTCGTTGTACGTGAAGACCAACACCATGCAGATTTCCAGATCCGTAGGCTTGCGAACACAGGGTATCCAACGCAGTAGCCATGCCCTCAAAGGTGGCGAGACCGATGATATTCACGGTCGTGAGACCAATGCTGGTGGCCGCCAAATCATCGGAGCTCAGATGTCCGGCCACGAGGGTCGTGATTACGGTAAAAGAATACTGAAGGAAGTAAGTTGCAATCAGGGGAGCAGAATATTCGAGTAGAAGCCATAGTTCTGACCGATCTGTCAAGGGCTGTGACACAATCGACGCCGAGTCTCCTAGAAGAGGCGCTGCCTCATCTGCTTCGACGGCCCGCGAGCCGCGATCTTGTCTTGATTCAGGAGTTGCCATTATCACGCGACATGAGGGAGGATTGTCTTCTGTCAGCGGGAGGCTGTAGATAAGACACGTGCGGCAGAAAGTGTAAATCTCGATGTCGAAGTAAAAGATTTCTCGACAGCCGGAATGTTCAGCCCTTTTTCTCAGAATTTTTATTTTTCAATCAAGGTGCATAGGGTGGATATTGCATTAGCGCTATGCAGTGCACACTAAAGTTGCCGCACTGAGCTAATCCCCAAATGTGTTGATTTTCCCCACTGAATGGACACTGAGCAAGGTGCTGAAGTTGGCCCTTACTTTGTGCTTCAGAGAAGGTTTCGTCATGTTTTCCTTATCTTTCAGTGCAGCATGAAGCTGAAGCATCACATTTACATTTTGATACGCCCTGATGAGATAAAGAGGTTGAACGAGATGGTGTATCTGATCAGTCCCAGAAAAGTATCCATGGTTACTCCAATATCGTCTTGATTACGTTGCAGTAAATGTTCGGAACACAAGTAGCGATATGCGTGCAGCCAACAAGCCAACGATCCAATTCTAAAAGACTTTTTCGCCAATGGTGCATTGCAACACAACCTGAGGATAATGCAAAACATTATGATTGTTTTATAATATTATACCGAAAGTGTGTCAAACTTGCTATAAGCTTAGATACTCCTTGGCCAAGCGTGATCTATAGGCTTGACTATAACTACATAGGTAGGTCTACTATAAGGTGCCCTGCCCAAGTCTATAAGTTCGCATATTACCGCTTTCGGCTCGACTGCTCGCCTTTATCTGGTGGCGATCCGAGGTCAAAAGCTACCATTAAAAGCACATGGCTGGTATTTATTCCATCGCCAATATTTTTTGCGTTCCCTTATGCCTGGCTCCTTGGAAATGACGCGCTCGGAATTAGAGCCAACAGACAGATACATTCGACCTGCATGCCACCAACCGCTGGCCACATGCGGCATGCATATCCAGCCCGATTGTCCGACACGGCAGAGGGGCCTGTTAACAAAAGTCCGTTTCCCAATCTCTATGTTGTTTGATTCCCTCTGCAAAAGCCCCTGTTCGGCATGGCTGGATTTTTGAGACATTTCTCTTACGATTCTTTCCGCGGGTTGGACCGACGATGACTGGCCCAATGCATCGATCGCCATGGCACGCAGAGGTATACGCCAAGAATAACACCGCATGTCTTGTAACCACTTTCATTCTCAGCGGCTGACAGGTACATTGTGCGCAGACGCCATTCATCGAAGAGCTGCACTCGCGGTGCAAATAATGAGCTCGGCGTTCTCTAGCTCTTTCTGATCTACTTATCACATTGATATCAAATCATTCTTAATACCAATTGTTGCCATTCAATTGCAATCAATCATGTAGGGGCACGTCCAATTGGTGTGAACACTGCGTGTCAATTATAGGGCGTGATTACAAGCCCCGGCAACCCCGGAAACGCCATGGTTGCCTTGCTGGTTGACCCCGCTTTCGGTTCCGCGTCTTAGCCAAGGTGGTCGGTAGTATACTAGCTTTTGTCATTATAAGAAAGCCAGCAGCGAAGTCACCATTTCACTCAAGAAAGTTTGCAATCATTATTCAACATACAATTTTACAAGATGTCCCAGGTCAAACCTTTCAAGATTGACATTCCTCAAGCCCGCATTGACCGGCTGAAACAGAAGCTTGCTGCCGCAGATCTACCACCCGAGATCGAGGGCTCTGGTTGGGAGTACGGCGCGCCGCTGGCTGATGTCAAACGGTTGGCCAAGTACTGGCAGGAGGAGTTTGACTGGAGAAAAGCCGAGGCTGAGCTCAACAAGTTGCCCCAATTCACGACGAGAATCGAACTTGAAGGCTACGATCCCATTGACTTGCATTTTGTTCACGCCAAGAGCCCAAATCCCAATGCCATCCCCTTGCTCTTCTGTCATGGCTGGCCTGGGAGCTTTGATGAGGTCGAGAAGATGCTACCACTCCTCCTCGACGGCGGCAAAGATCATCCATCTTTTGACGTAGTTGCGCCCTCGATGCCCAATTATGGCTTTTCGTCGCGGGTACACCAACCAGCATTTGGTGCTCTCAAGACTGCCGAGACTTTTCAGAAGCTCATGGTCGACGTTCTAGGCTATCCAGAATATGTGACCCAGGTATGTGTTAAAAATTGGAATATTTTATATTCTTTGTTACATAAAAAAGAAAAGCGAATACTGACATGTGTAAATGTTCAAGGGAGGTGACATTGGCTACATGGTAACCAGGTACATGGGCTATCTGTATCCTCAGAACTGCAAGGCATCTCACTACAACTTTCCCATCCCCACCGAGCCAACCGACGAAAATTTTCCTGAAGTGGCGAAAGAGTACAGAGAGACCAAGTCCGAAGCCGACGTTGAAGGCTTTAAGCGCACGGAATGGTTCAACAATGAAGGCCGCGGCTATGCCGGCGAGCACTCCACCAAACCACAGACCTTGGGGTACTCTCTGACGGACTCGCCAGTGGGACTGCTGGCCTGGATCTATGAGAAGCTGCACGATTGGACCGACAGCTACCCTTGGACCGACTACGAAGTCTGCAAGTGGATCAGCATCTACTGGTTCAGCACTCCCGGACCCCTGGCGACGCTCTGGGTCTACTATGACAGTAAACACACCAGTGACGAGAAGAGATCAGAAGTGGTTTCTGGGTACCTGAAGGACGTCAAGATTGGTGTCAGCAAGTTCCCTAAAGAGCTGTACGTCTTCCCAGCATCGTGGAACAAGACGCTCGGCGACCTTGTCCTGAACAAGGTACATAAAGAGGGCGGCCACTTTGCTGCCTTTGAAAAGCCCGAACTCTTGGCCAATGACTTGAGAGAAATGTACTCAAAGAGTGGTGGAGCCTATGGAGTTGTGAAGGGAAAGACGGGTTATGCCTAATTTACCTTTGTACTGAGATCCTGAGCACAAGAATGTGCGCCAGGAATCAATCGATTTGATGTCATCTAGGTATTCGCCAGTACTTTTCCGCATGACTTGTGAAAGAGAGTTGAAAGAGATTGACAGAGACAGTCACATGAATAAACCCAGTGCATTCATAAGACTCAACCTTTATATACAGACACCCACTCATCCATGCCTCATGCAATACGATCATTATTCAGTCAGAAAAGTGATGGGCTATATATAATGATATCGGCGAAAGGCTGAGTTATGTCCTCAAATTATTGATTGACAAAGTGTTCAGCTGGTATCAGCCAGTCCGTCATGTCAATGGTGGTATGTTCCGGTTCCTGAGTCCGCCGACGCCGCCAACATCACCATCGTCATCGTCATCGTCGTCAAGATCTGTACCTGCTTCCTAGCTAATAGGATTCCCTCAATTGACTTTTTATTTCCCCTCGTGGGGCCTTGAAAGGACTAAAGTCGTTTGATGCGCCTTCCGTCCCAAGGCCAAAACTTTCAACTAATCATCATTCTAGAGGGCGTCTCCGTCCCAACTTACGACCAACTACTGGCTGGCCTTCTTCTACGAACAACCGCCAGTATGCCATCGGAATCAACTCACCGAAGCCCGTGGGATGACTGCGTAGTCGTTGACACGGGCAACCCGCGTCCTTTCAACAGTCATAAACCCACGATGCGTCAATTGGAGGCAGATCTGGAACACCAGGAAAAGACTCTTCATTCCACTATGCGAGCAGCTCGGGACTTTACTCGACTGATGCAAGATGCCAAGGATCGCAACCTTTTGACGGAGCAACAGATGAGCGACGGACTCAAGGTCAGGCGTCAGTGGATTATCGATGCTGACGATAGTTACGAGCGCGCAGAGGCTCGCATGGCCGAGGCTCGAATGGAGCAAGCCCTCAACAGTGCCATTGACGATCCCGGCATCGACGCAGGACCGGTAAGTACCCATCATGGCTCTTCCCATAATGCAGACCTCCGGTCAAAGGTAGAGTCCCGCTAGGAGCTTACCATGTTCGACTGACATCCCTTTAGGCCTTCCTCGCCCTTGAATGTTCCCACGGCATCGACGAGAACGTCGAGAGACACGAGTCCTCGCTACCTGAGACCGCAAGCCCTCCTCAGGCGCACCATGCCGCTGCCACCACCCCCAGTGTGAGTGACAATACTCAGTCATGAGGTCGTAATTTGGTCTCTCGCTAACAATAGTCAGGCTCCACAGGTAGAGCTCAACCGATACGGCGTTAAACCCAATCCGGCTCGTCAGATCAAAGCCGCCAGACGCCGACGTAACTGGGCTCTTCGAAAAAGTGCCCCCGAGGTGTACGAAGTTGTCATGGAGGAAAAGAAGCGTCACCGGGACGAGCATCTACGCGAACAAAGGCGCCGAAAGCACGGCGGCTAAATTCATGTCACGATGGAAGATTTGGGGTCCAGGATTGTCATTACGATCGTCTATTCAGATGTAGCTATTTTGCTCTTCTACAATGTCAAGGCTCATTCCAGATCTTCTTGTGATCCATCGGCTTCAAAGGGTATTCATCGCTGGATGGTGATCTCAGCTCCTTGTCCTCTGGGTAGTACGTCCTCGACTGGCTTTGGTCCGTCATATTTCCAGACCTGGGATTCGAGGGGCTCGACTTGCTCCTAGAGCGGGCCCCAGCCTTGCTGATGGACTTGATGGTATTGATGGAAGGGATGAGCTTTCCAAACCACGGTCGCAGTGGTGGTAAGGAACCGCATACGATGATGCAGGTTAGCTCAATCGTCGACCACACAATAGCGTCAACATTGTCAAACGTGCTATCCAACGTGGTACTGAATTGAACCAAGTATTTGAGGCGAATCATGCTCGTGACCGTCGCACTAAAGAATGAATGATTAGTATTCAAGGTCTTCAATGGTGTCTAGGAATCAACTTACAACGACGCCAGAACAAACATCAGCGCAACACCGATACGCTTACGTCCACTGATCTGCAGTTTTCGGAGTTCCGGCATTGGCAGTACAATAAGCACAATGTCCTCGACTACAGAGAGCACCGCTCCCGCATATCCAATAGCGTTGACGTCGAGGCACTTTTTGCTGATGAAGCGGTTCCAGACACCCTCGACGGGCGAGCATTGGAATGCAATGACGAAAGTGAAGATGGTAAGAGATATGCAGCAGTATGCCAAACAGCCATAGCAAGCTCGGCGAAACCATCTAGCCGTGAAGACTCTCATGTACAGAAAGATGATGGACGCCTTGGCGATCAGCTTGACCCACGTGTAGAAGATCTCAATGGTGTAGAACATTTGCAGCAGCCGCGTCGCCTTATTCACGTACACGTCCCAGAAATGAAGACCAAAGCCGAGGTTCGAAGCCGCCAGTTCCAGACCAGCACCGCCGAGCAGGATGATGGTGGCAAAGATGGCGGTCCAGTCGTCGCTCCATAGTCTCTTGGTCATTTGGACTCGGGCAATGCACCGGGCCGTCACCACGGCTGACGACAAGGCCAGCGCCACAATGGCCACGGTTCGTACCTCGCCGACGCGGGATTCCTTGGGATAGGCGGCGCACATGGTCATGAGAAGATTGCCGGATGTGACCTGGTCGGCAAAGTCACAGGACGTCTGAACGCAAGTCGAAAGGCCGGCCATCAGCGTGTTATTCGTGCACACACAGTCCTCGAGTAGTTTGACATCCGTCATGGGGCAACCACCGCCCAAGACACCTTGGACAACACATGGCAACTAGCGAATACTGTCAGTCAGCCTCCATCATATGTGATCTGCATATTGTCATGCATTTACTTACAGCACATTCAGGCACTGAAGAGATCATATCTGCCACCGACTGGCCGAGTACGCCGCCTGCCGACATGGCAGCGAGTAAGAAGCTGAAGCCTATCGTCCGCCAGATCATATTGAAGGCCTATAAGAGTTATAGAGAAGGAGAAAATGAAAAGTGCAAGGTCCCCATGACTGCGGATCATTGGAGAGAGGACACAGCTTGTTCATATCCTTGGAAGAATAAGAAGGTAGGTAACCAAACATCCTAGGTCTGATCGTCCTTGGGTCGCCAAGGGAAGACCCCCGAGCATCGAGCGTAGCAGAGCCCCACAGTCTATCCAGCTTTTCCAGTATCCATCACAACCACGATCCAGAGATGGATGATCTACTGGACAAGTAAGGAGTAATTGGGAAAGAAAACAAGTGGAGACTCGAGACTTCGAGCAGCGGACATTTGCGCTGCTCAGAACACTCCGTGAGCCCGTATCAAGGACCGTGGGCGAGTTTCTATGGTAGGGTGGGTTGCATCGTCTCATGAGCAGCACAGTAAGACTTCCAAGACCATTCCGGTTACGGCCAGTGCGCCGATGTGTTCTGCCCCCGGATTCTAACTAGGGCGGGCAAAAAAAGCCCAGACTCCCTAAAACTGGTCTCCCACGTAGATGCATTGTGCTGCAGAGGTTCTGAAACAGGTGAAGGGCAAATGCAGGGAGAGCTCAGAGGGGAAAATAGAAGACGTTCGGGGTGGATTGCTCAGTGCTGACAAGTCGTCAGGCCGCAGCCCGTGGCGGGTGTCCGTCTAGGTGAAGCCTCGGTCACCGTCGCTGTTCTTGGTCTGTCGTGGCCACGATAACGGACATTACGCGGTAGATCCAAGGATTACATACCTGTGAAATTCAACACATCTATTTTTTGAATAGTAAAACCAGGTCTTCTTTTTCAGGGCGTGAAGTGTTTGAAGCTTATTGGTACCCAAGGGTAATACGTATCGTCCCGGCTCTCGTCGCCTGCGGCATGTCAACGTAAGGGACTTCAACCTTGGGACGATCATGAGCCCAAGAGGGCAGAAGAAACAATTGAATGATTTCAGACGATCTCTGGAGCTAGACAGACCAGCCATGCCAATACAGGGCACGGCTCGCGGTTCAGTAGCCGAGTTGTATCACAATCCCGGGCGGGTTTATTGCTCTCAGGCCCAGAGGTGCAATGACAGGCGATCCGAGCGCACGCCAAATTCGGATCTTGGCGTCCGATTCGCCAATTAGCTTCCGCTAGGGGCGTTGCTGGTTGGCTCTTTGGGCTGGATGACTAGCTGGCTTCTAGGCTGTGTGGATTCTTTTTTCCTTTTATTTTCTAAAAAATCATTTTCTTTTCGGACGAATCTCATGTCCCATGTGTGTCGTAAAAAGGAGCGTTGCATTGCCTCCACGATGCTGCAACTCAATGCCTTTTCGTCACACAAAACACCATTACTACCCACCGGCAGACACACGTAACATGGCTATAAGCGAGGCCTCAGTATGGCAAAGAGGCTCTGATCAGCCAGCCACATCCCGCAAGGTACTACCTGCAGGTATGTACCTAGGTATGATAAGAGGGTCTTGACGTCGCCCGAAGTCAGCACACAGCAACTCAGTTGTCCGCACGCTAAAGTATATCCTGGACTAAACGCGGCCGCTATGGCTACGGATCTACGAGTCTAATAGTATATTTTATTTGTTGCGAGGATCCATATTCCGCCCAGCTCCATTTGCAATGGTCAGCGATACGAAGGCTACGGCCAAAGTGGACTCCCGCCGAGGATGAACGGTGTCGCAAAAAGCTTATTAGCCCTGACGTGAGGGGACTGAACCTTTTCTGCTTGCTTAATCGGGAGAATGCCTCGTCCTTGGTCCCTGAATCTGATGCATTTAGTGATGCACTGGAGTGGAATTGAAGTCATTCATGTTTTCCGCACCCGGCCCCCCGTTCGCGGAGCCATGTTGTGCATATTCGTCTCTACCTAGCTACTGCCTACCTACTGACGGCGGCAACCGGGTCGTGGGGGGTTCCGATGTCATATGTCATTGGCAACAGCTGCAGCTTACCATTTCGTACGAGCTTCGGAGCTGCACGAGCTGGAAGATAACAGACTATTGACGGACATGTCATGGGCCATGTTGATCTTTGCATCTATCCATCCACATGAGCACTGACAATCTGCGGTGCCGATTGCAACGCAAAGACATTCTGGAATTTGGCCTGGGCTTTTGGCCGAGTCAATGTGGGGAACCACATGGAGTCATGGACAAAATCCAGGTCCAACCGCAACCGCACGCACGGTCGGTAGTTGGGTAAGGTAATAGATAGTGTACAAAGTACTCGATGAGGAGGGACGGAATGGATTCTCAGTAGCCTTTGCGAGGAACGAAACGCCGTTCACGATCTTTTGGGCCATATTTTAGCGGCCGCGAATTTAACATGAAACGTACGATGGCTGACTCGACTTTGTAATTGTCTTTAGATTGCCGTGTTCGAGCACAGCGATCCTTTGTGATCCGTCGGAAATCATCACATCATTTGCAAAACTATCATGCTTCTCCGTCGGGAGCCCTCACGTGCCTTTGTTGAATACAATTGGTCATGGCAAATTCCTTTGGCACTTGGCAGTCTTGGAGGTCTTGGAGATTTGGAGAGTAAAATGAGGTCTGTGCATGCAAGTGTGGCAGTAACACGCAGAAACAGAACAATGTCATCGTGGGTAACATGATATCAATTGACTGTTAACATGGTTCCATGTGCCTCGAATGGTCACCAACTATGGCCTCTCCTTCTATCAGTCAATCAAGTCGTTCCTGCTTTCGGATTCGTTCAACGAGGCGGGCTGAGGGGTGGTCCATTCAGCTGCAGCGTGAGGTTGAGCCACTCACCCACTATGCCGTCAACCTCGTCGACGATTGCGTCTGCCGTCATGTAATCCTCTATCCATCTGCGTTGAGTTGCAGTCGATAGATCTTTGAACTTTGTTTGCTTCTGGACATCGTCTCCGTATCGTATCTTCCAGAACCCCCTCTTGTAGATGGAGGCAATCCTGCGCCTCCAATCCCGAGCCTCTCTACCGGCTGACGGATTGTACTCGATACGACCGGTAGTTTTATATAGGTTCCACACTTTACTTTGACTGGAATTAATCTTGTCGTTAAGCATCTCGAATATCTTTCCTTCGGTCTCGTCAGACCAGTTTGCCATGCAAGCAGCCTCGGCATCGGCGTAATCCATCCTTGACGGAGGCCTTGGTGTACTGTGAGAAACAGGCTTACGCACAAGCCATTTCATCCACTCCTCTGTGTACTTTTCGAGGTTTTCTCTGTGTCTCAGTGCCATCACGTATTCAGTGATCCATGCGTCACGGGTGTGCTGAGGAAGGTCCTCGAAATGCTGGCTACCGGAATCACTCAATTCCATGTCTCTCATCTTGTCGTACTTCGATTGGTCAATCTGCATTGCCTTGGTCACGTCGATGCTGATTGCCTTGACCACGGCCTCGGTTGTTGGATCGGCGGGTGAACATTCCTTTAGTCGCTTTTGAGCAATCGCCGCCAGTTCTCCCAAATGCCTGAGATTATGCGAGATCTGTTGCAGTATCAAGTGATAGGCCTCCAGCTCACCCTTGTTGCGGAAGAACCACCACATGGAATTCATGGCCTTTGGGGCAATTGGCCCCTCGGTAGGGTAAACATTTGGTAAATTGCTCATTGTGCCGTCGAGGTCCGACATTGTTGTTGTGTGTTGGGTGGTGTGTTGGGAGATATTTCTTGCGCAAGATACGAAATCAGCGTTCGATAAAAAGCTCTGTTCTCTATTTAGGGACAGTCTGGTGAGTAGAAATGTGTTTTTAAAGAAAGAAATATTGTTCTACGATGGCGTTTTATATAGAAAAGGAACACTTGAAGTCTGCTGCGAAGCGACCGCAATCGAGATTGATTCAGACGTGACATCTGGCAATCAGGTCAGTGAATATGCACTATCCGAGGCACTGAATATGTATGTAATCTCTGCGCAGCTTTTGCATCACTCTTCCATGGCAGACATTCAGTTACTCTTCAAATTGCCGATTGAAAAGTTAGGATAGCAAACGTTTTACAAGCGAACACCTTCGAGTATTGTGAATCACCAACTTTCCCAAGACGCATGTATGCTTCCTGCTTGTTCATTTCTTGAATACATGTCATCTACGAGGATAATGAGTCCCTTTTCCTTTTTTCGTTGGAAAGCATGAAAAGCTTGCTGACGGCATTTGAAAAAATGAGAAGGTCCACTCACCCTCCCAACGGTCACGGAAAGGTGCTGAGCATAGAGGAGATTCACACTAAGGGTTACCGGCACTCTATCGACAATCCATTCAGAATCCGTAACGTGTATCTCATTTCCTATGAATATTCAAATTGTGAGATTAGGTATACTATAGAAACAATATTTCATGACCTTGTACGGCTATAACCAACCCAGCTCATAGCCTTCCCGGTTCGTACGCTACCACATACATCACTGCATGCTCCATACGTAGCAAGCCTTATGAGCTGAAGTTTTTCAAATTTGGATTACTGTGACAATTGCGCCGCCGTGGAGAACAGCGTACTTGGCCTCGAGAAGAAGCCCTTCATTGGCCTATTAGAGCTGGGAGCCATGAGGCTGAATTCGGTACAGCAATTCATTCCAAGTGTTTCTATATGGATCCTAGTTTATGACATTTTCTTGGATGCCTACTTAGGAATGCCCATCCCCTGATCTCTGGAGGTCTAAGTTGTATGAGACGTAAGAGATGCGCTTACGATTCCGTCGCCCAATCCTGTATCCGTTCTTCCAGTGCTCGTCTTGAGAAAGCAATTACCGTAATTCTGGGGTATTTGATAAGTTTGATTGGCAACGAAAGAAACGGCAGCACAGGTCGTGTTGCCCAAATAGTAGTTCATGGACGCACAACCCCGAAGACAATCATTAAATGTGTACGAAATGACAGAAACAATATCCGCGCCAAAGTAGTTTGTGCCGCATGTTGGTTTAAATGTCGATACAGAGTCGGACAGCGTGATGATTTGATCCACGTCGGTCAGCGATGGGCAATCCAGCGCCACAACACCCGTTGGTACAACCAGACCATCTGAAGTCGACGTGCCAGTCGCGCCGGAGACTACCGCTGCAGTGACGGTTGCTGTGGCGGTGACAGTCGCCGTAGCGGAATATCCGTCGTCACATGCGGAGCTGACCAGGCAAAGGAAACTCAATCAGCGCGACATTCTGTAACAGCGGACCCCTGATTATGCTCACCTTTTCTTGTTCATGGCCGCCATGGAGCCGCCAACCCCACCCCCTACAGCCGCTGCGATAATAACTATGACCAGTGCCACTGAAAGCAGAAATGTTGTCCTTCGCATGCCAAGTATTGTACGCTCTGGCTTTTGTTCTGGTTTGATCAGAGGGGGGGTCGGTGGGCCCTGGAAATTCTCTGTGTACTGGGGGTGGACATGCTGAGGGTCTTGGTCATGGTACTGAGGCGCTATCTCCAAGCCCGCTTGATAAGGAAGCGACCTTGCCATCGCCTCTTTGTGCGAGTCCATGGATATTGGCCCGTAGCTCATCGCGAACTATTAATGATGCAGTTTTTGTCACGGAACAGGAACAGAAAATCAAACTTGGGAAGGAGGCTGATTAAGAACGCGACATGAAGAGACAGAACGGCGGCGCTGTGGGTCTGCGGCCCGTAAATGATATGATCCATCAGGGGCTGATGATCTGATTAAGCATATCATTAACTAATATGGAAGAGGCTGAAGCCAAGAGTTTGGAATGCCCCAAAAGTTAAATTTGAGCTATTTTTGGCTCTTTCGATACATGGCTTCGGTACCGACCTGTTAAATGCAGCATTGAATCTCTTATCAATCATCAACACGGCTTTGTCTTGATTTTGTCCCAAGAAATACGCATTGCATCGTTCACTCCTCTAGAAGACTACGATATTGTGATTAATCCCCCTTGTGATTTTCGAGCTTGGCCCTTGCATCCAGCTGTCTCGCCTTGCAGCTCTCACGAGCATTCAACCGAGAAGAGAGACACTAAACAACTGAAACAACACTCGGGCGATGCAGTGACACATCGTCGTTTTTTATTGCCTGGTGGTCCCGATCCGGATACAAACGTGTAAGACGCATATATTACGAAGAATTCGTGCATTGACTATGGTCTTGATTTCATCAATGTGCCCATGCTTTTCCACACTGTTCTTGATTCATTGTCATTATGATCAATCCGCACCTGGGCACATTCATGATGCCCTACAATGGGCTCAAGAGATGGTCCAAGATATCTAGCTCCTTGCCATGTCAAGGAGGCAGTTGTCCTAAATTGGCTCTCGTACCCAATGAATATGTAGTTTTTTATCTGTCACAGATCCATGCTACTGGTGACTGCAAAAATAAATCCTCATTACTTCTCATGATGCGCTACTTACCTACCTTGCGTTTGGATGATCGGCGTTACTTGAATGTTGTGAGACCTGGGACGTTCATGGATTCGGTCGAGAACCACTCGATAGCTTCAACAATTGCCGATGTATCATTATCTTACCACATATTTGGCGCATTGACATTTTCTTGGCCACAGTCAACCACAAAATGCTGTTGGTGACTTTTGAGCAACCAGACTTTGCGCAAATCTGACGCCAAGCATGGCGGACACAATGCTATCACGAGCTACTTTATGTTTCCGCTTGGAGAAATGACTAGGGTCCGGAGCCATTTTTTCTTGTTTGGACTGCGGCTTACAAGTTGCTTACCGACCATCACACTCAAGGACACCATTATCACGCCGAGTCTAGAAATGCAAGCATAATGTGTAGCAAAAAGCAGTGTGTTGAAGACATGCCAAGGACGCGGTCATCGGTGGTGGTAGAGTAGATATGGCAGGTAGTCTTGTTCTGAAAAGTTATAAACTACCAGCCCAGGCACGCAATCTGTTGCCTCAACTATTATAAAACCAGTTATTTACATATCTGAGAGCCGCTTAGCAGGTTATAATATTGGCCTTATTATTTCCATAGTTCTTCTTAGTTGTCTTTCTCCACGCAGTCAGTCCTACAACGACTGACTGAAGATCCAACCAAAACATTCGACATAACACGGACAACATTAGAGGTCGAGGTGATACTCGGCACTGGGTGCATAGGCTCCCAAGATGACGCACTTGTCAAGAATTTCTATACAGTCCCTGCAGCCCAAGCCTGCTTGGATTTGTTCCGCAGCTACGGCTTTACGCATATCGATACGGCCAGGCTGTACTCACCCGAACGCCCCGGATCATGTGAACCTTTGTTGGGGCAAACCAATGCCAAAGAATGGGCAATGATAGACAGCAAGGTCCATGCAAGTCCTACGCTGCACAGGGAGCGAATCTTGGCAGAAGTAAACACCTCAATCGACCTGCTCGGCATAGACAAGGCAAATACCTACTATCTGCACGAATTTGATCGGCAGACCCCTCTCGAGGAACAGTGCAAGGCAATGAATGATGCCCATCGGGCAGGAAAGTTCGACAATTTTGGCTTCTCCAATCTTGCGCCAGCAGAGGTAAAGCAAATGGTCCATGTTTGTCGCCGAGAGAACTGGGTCGTACCCTCGGTCTACCAAGGTCACTACAACGCTGTGGCTGGAGGCGAAGAGGATGAACTGTTGCCTTTGCTACGTAAGCTGGAATTGAGCTACTATGCCTACTCTCCGGCTGCGGGAGGCCTGTTCAGTGGTACCCAGACCGGCGATGCGGCAGCAAGGAAGCAAAGTGGTCGTTGGAAACAAGACGTAAGAGTTGTCACAGCACCTTCCTATGGTATAAAAATATCCCCAAAGAAGACTTGGATTGCTGATACGTCTACTTTCCTAACAGGGGAGAGTTGGGAATATATTTCGACGGTTCTTGTTAGGTGCTAGGCACCACACTAGGTACTAGTACCTAATTTCCCCCGCAGCCACTGTAGCTTTCCGCCCTCTTCTTTCATCAACTTTTGCTACACATTGCCACAACTAGACTGAGAGATCATCAAGCCTGATAATCATCAATCTCGTGGCCCGTAGCTAGTTAGACAATCGTTTTCCATCAAGAACCTTCTTCTTCGTCGTTTTCCGTGAGGTACCAGTACCAACCAACAAGGCTCTGGCCTTACAGTTCTACGACCGAAGAGCGGTCGTCGAGGCGGCGTTCAAGTTGTGTGATGGGGCCGAGAAAGCTGGAATGCGGAGCCATGAGGTTGCTTTGCGCTGGCTCTTGCACCATTCGGCATTATCAGGTCAATATGGTGATGCCATAGTCGTGAGTGGAAGCTCGCTGTCACAAATCGATGACAATCTAAAGTCTTGCTTGGCAGGTGCACTTTCCCCCGCCATGGTCGAGTTGGTCGACAGTGTATGGGATATAGCAAGGGAGGATCCCCCACCAAGTTGGCTGTAACAAAAGTTGCAGCATATCGGAACATACATGGAAGCACTTGGAAGCTAAAGCTTGCGATAGAAGTAACTTCAGGGCCCTGGCGGGTCTTATTCGCGTCTGCAAGAATACCGAGGCACGTAATGCATAGGTATGCACAGGTACTGACCCAACTGCATTCCAGAACTGCCTTTGGCACATTGTATCTGAACTACAGATTCCGTTCATAATGTCTATCTGCATCACTGCTTTGATAGGTTTGAAAGCTGATTGTTCGATTGGTCCCGCTTACTCTGAGGCAAGTCTTTCATTTTCGGGTCAGGGACGGCGCCAGGTATACCAGCGGCTCGGGACACCTCCTGGTGACCTGAAGATATGGTCACGATGGACGGGCCGTGTATTCCGCCTTTTCCTTCAGAGACTCGGCGCTCAGTGCTGTTTCTGGCCATGGTGGCGGGATGGCCAACAGCTTCACTCTCCTTCATGTCATCGGGGAAGCGTGGGTCGTTCATGATGTTGGAAACAAGTGTTGTAGGTTCGTTAATGATATGTTTTCTAGTGGATCTTGAGTTGTAAAATGTGACAAGGTCTTGGGAACATTGGTCGGCTGCAGAGGGAGTATTTATAGCTGCGATGAGGACTGCTACCCATCCACATTTTAAGTGGTCTTTAGAAGGTTTCTATTGTCAGCAACTACCTGAAAGGTATTCACATCATCTCTGGTTACTTAATCACATACTAGAAGAAAGATGGGCCACCGGTAGTCAAGTGAGTGACTAGCTTTCGTCCAACCCCCCTCGCTAATGGTCTCTTCAAATGTTGAAAATGGCCGTACTCACGTAAAGTAACGCCACTTTGCATCATCCTCGCCATTCTCCAGCTCCCTGGTGTCTACGTCTCCTGGAAGCAACACGGCTCCTGCTTGTGCATCTCTCCGGTTGTTCTCACGCTTCATCCACAGACCCAACCATAACGTAAAGCCAATACATACGACATTGCAGCACGCCGTGGCTATCAGACATGGTACGTATCTTGGTGCATACTCGGTGCGAAACGTCGCTGCCGCCAGAATTCCTCCCAGATTACCCAGTCCGACCAGGAAACCGGTATTGGCGGCGCGTGAATTCTCATTGAGATTGTTGTTATTATGCCAAGACTGGACCAGACAGCTTGGGATATAGGCGCCGGAAGCTAGTAAGAAGCAAGCAAAGTATGCGACGCCGCGATGCGTCAGCCCATCCACCGTGGCGAGGATAATGAGGCCGACCAAAGACAGAGTGAGGGAGAAAACGATATGAAGTCCGCTCGCGAAGACGGTCGGACCAGTATGTGACAATGAGAAGCACGATGAAGCCACAACAGTTGGGCGGCACGGTAAGCAGGTTCGTCATAACCGTCGAGTACCCGAGTCGCTGGAGCACAATCGGCAAGAAATTGGCGCACGTGGCGAACGCTACCGGGTATGTGAATGCAATCACGCACCACAGCGGAAACTTCCAATCGTTCCACTGCTGGAAGCATTCTCGCATACTGAACTCAATGTCTACTTTGCCAGAAGCGTCGCGGAGTGACCGCAGGCGAGCCACTTCACGCTCGTGGTCGGTGAGAAACCATGCAGTGGAAGAAGATGCGGGTAACCAGAAGTAGCCAACAATGGCAATGAGGACCGTTAAAGCGCCTAGAGGGCATGTCTGTAAGTATGGATGATTGCGACGGATGTAGGGAGGTTGCTTATGATGTATACACCTACCTTCGATAATGAAAAGCCATTGCCATCCGTGGAGCGAAGTGTTCTTGATTTGGAAAACACCAAAGGAGATAAGACCACTAAATGCGCTACCCAGCAGAGCCGACCCGAAGAATAGCGCGATACGAAAGCCAAGTTCACCGCGTGTGTAAAACAGTGTAAGGTAGAATACTGTTCCCGCAAAGAAACCAGCTTCGAATGCACTTGTAAATGTCAGCAACGAGATGCTTCTTGTACCTGGATGCATTCATGCTGCAGTTGATCAGACTCACCCCAGCAACAAGCGAATCACAAGCAACCCAGCAAAGTTCTTGGCGGCGTTCTGGAACAACGCCATGGCTCCCCAGGCAAACATTAAGCCCGGCAGCATGACTTTGCCAGAGAAGCGTTTAGTCAACATGTTCAGTGGCAAGTCGCAGAGGCCGTTCGGAATGTAAAAGAGCAGGATAAGTAATGAGTACTGGTTTCCAACAAAGCCAAGGTCATTGCCAAGCTCATCCGTCTGCGCATTCCCAAGATTGCTCTATAGAGTTTGTCAGACCTTATACCATTTGACAAAAAGCCTTTTGTGATCTTGAGCAAGCTTACCCTATCAACCGAGTTAAAGAAATACATCAAACTCAAAAATGGAAGCAAGTAAAAGTCAAGCTTTTTCACTGAACCAAGGTCAGCAAGTCGTGTCATACGGTGCCGATAGTCATTTGGCTTACCAAAACCTCGTTCCGCCACCTTGTCTACAACTATATTTTCGATGCTGACGCCGTCGGAGGAGCCAAGGGCGTTGCTACCCATCGGAGATTTCTCTGCCTTCTCTGCCATGGCTATAAATGCGATGCCAGCTCCAACTTGTGATAAATAGTCTTAGAATACTATTGATTAGAATTTACGAGAGGGCAGTACAATTTATAGACATTTCGCGCACAGCTGGGAGCCAGCGATCTACACTGCCGGTTCGCGGTCTCAATCAAATTTATAGATCGCGACTTCGGCTCCCCGTCCGACATATCCTAGCCACGGCAGAGCGATAAGGTATTGTCCTTGCACGGAAACAGTTGAGTAGATCATGCTTATTTCCAAGAGTGGGTTCAGTTGCCCACTATTGTTCGCTAAACAAGGTGATCCGATAACTCCGAATGAACCATTGGAAGATATCATCGCAGATACTTTGCTAGGAACCCCATTCTTGTCGGACCCCCCACCCTTGACACAGTAGCCCTCCACCAACTCAATGATTCCGAGAACCTTTCAATTAGAATCACATGAGATACAATATGAGCACCGGTCTTTTTCAATAAAAAACATGTAACAGTGCGTTTGCTGAATGCGGGAAACATTGATTGTAAAATGAATTGAAAATAGGATGAATACTTGTTGCAGAAAGAAATGTGACTCTCGACATACATGAACTGCTCTGGATATATAAGAACCTAACATCATTTCGTTCCCACCCTATTCTCAGTAAACAAGCAAGATAGTGAGATCAAGTCAAATTTGGCCAAGATAATCGAAGATCCTAGACCTTTGCACAGCAGGCCGGTAATACTGTGGTATTTCTGCAATTTCCAGTATGGATATCCGACCACTCCAAGACGCCAAAGCAATGTGGTTGCCAAAAATGACTGCTTTACCTGGCCTATACATCGCTGGGATCCATAAGACATTTCGTCTATGGAGAGTGATCTAACGTTGATCTTGACTGATACTTTAGCAACTATACTTTATATCTCGATGAAATCTGGCGAGACAGAAGCCGTTCGAAGAATCACTCCGGCTAGGAATTGCATAGATTGTCTCTTGACTCGAGAGCAAGTCGGCCTCGTACGATGCAGAAAGCTTCTGTCCGGAACGAACCAGAGGACACTTGCTGTTGGTTTCAAAAAACCAAATGTGCGTCACTTGACTCGATTTGAACATTACTCGCTTGCCGTCTAATGAAAACGTAGCCGAGCCAACATCCACAAGTCCTGTAATTGTGCCTTGGCGTTCGCCCGTCATGGTTGACCAAATGATTATGCTCTCGTCCAAGGACGTTGAGAGTATCTTTTCGCCATCGGGTGAGAAGGCGATCGAGCTGATATAATGTCCGTGTCCTTCAATCCGTACTTTCTGTGAACCTGTCGTGGTTGACCAGATAGTTATGGTTCCCTTTTCCGATGCCAGCGCTATTTCTTTGCCGTCTGGCGAAAACTTCACCATATAGGTCGAAACCGTTTGAATTGGGTCATTGAGTATCGCAACCTGATGACCTGTGGCGACTGACCAGATGACTATACTATCATCGGATCCGACCGAGGCTAGTTGCATACCATCTGAAGAAAAGTCCATTAGGCGGACTCCATGTATGTGCTTGTCAAGAATACTCTTCCCTTCACTCCAGTAGGTTGAAGATCTAGGTTTCAGCTCAACCCAACTTGGACACTCTTTCTGATATAACTCGCGAATGCTCCTATAAGGTGAAAATACGAGTGCAGACGAGTAGACTTGTAGAGGTGCAACTTCGATACCTGGTCCCATATCTTCGATGAACTCGATACATTCTTCTACGAGATCGGCAGTCCATTCGAAGTTGTGTGACTTGTATGCGTCAGAAAGTCATTTTGGGATCGAAAATATTTATGAGTTCTTACCGTGATGACTGATCGTAACGCCCTAAACATATGCCTACTCTCCCAATACCTGCGCATCCAGCTCATTGCCTCCAACCACTGGAGAAAGTGTGAAGACAGGAATTCCCGCAAAATCGCCTCTTCTTCGCGGCCGATATACGCAGACTCGCAAAGATGCAATGTCCAGTAGCGACAAGCATACTGTACTTCGGATGATAGCCGCACTGACAGGGTAGGGAATGCCTCGGCATCGGGAGCTCTGACATTAGCTATATCATTCTTCAAGGAAGTGTTCAGGACACGCAGACACTGGGTGGCGAGGTGTCGATTCACTTCCTTTTCATCAATCCAGAAGGACTCTCGTCGCCTCTCAGCGTTAACTAAGAAGTCACGAAATGATGAATGCAGCGGCTGTATAACCTGATCATGCGTAGAGGGTACATTGAGAACTGAATGTAGCGTTTGGAGTGCTGTAGTGATCTCAGATAAGGATAGACAGAGGAGTTCAGCCAGCGCAATTGGCGACAAGGGGCTAGCAAGAGTCACAATTGATCCAACTACTTTGTGAAAGCGAATTAAAACCCGCTCGCGAGCCATCGGATTGAGGCCAGTCACCATCTGGTGGAGAACAGGAAGGTATACCGTGTCTAAATGAGACTCTTGGCTTCGCCTTTGGTGCTTCAATACCTCTCTGAGTTGGTTGTCAGGGCTTCCCACTCGTCCATCTGCAATAAATCGGCTGATTGTTGCTGCAGAGATAAACAGTGGAATGGCCATTTGTACTAAGATCTCCAGATCTGAACTGCGAGGCCAATCCCTTGATAATTGATCATCCTGATCAGCATTCTTGTTGAAATGTTTCCGAATTTCGCAAAGTTCATGCTTCAAGTATGTGGCTATGTCGTTCTTGATAGCCGAATGGTCAATGTCATGCAGAACAAGGGTCTGATATGTACCATGAGCAGCTTTGAATCCCAAACGGATAGGTAACTCCGGCCGGCTTGTTAAGAAGAATTTGAGGCGGAGTCCCCGAGATGAATTTATAGTCGACAGAAGACGAATCAAGACACGAACGTCCTCCACTCGTTCACATTCATCAAGTGCGTCAATGATGACCAAGCTAGTCCGACCAGGACTAAAATCGGCGGGGAGTTCAGAACAGGGATCAAGAATCAATCTTTCAAACTGCTGTCGCATAGCTTTTGATGTGATTTCAGGATCTTCGTCTAGAGCGGCTTTGATATGAAAAGCCATTCCGGGCAGATTCTGAGCTAGATGACTGGCAAGCGTGGTGAAAAATTTCCCCATGTCAGTACGGTCGCTTTGACCTCTCCTGAAAAAGAACGTGGCTCCCAAGTGATGGTTCCTTGAGAATAAGTCGGCCAGAGTGCGTAATATAGTCGATTTCCCGGTCCCAGCCATCCCATTCAGCCAATAAATTGGTTTTGATTGAGTGTCGCGAGCCCACTCCGAGATATCTTGTATCACCTTTGTTCGGGTGTCCGGATGGCACAGAGGATCATGCTGGCTTGAATAGGAGTCGAAAGCAGCCCCTTTAGCTACAGGAAGTCTGGCAAGAACTTGTGCCAGGATGGAGGGACCGAGAATTCCGGTTCGGCTCTGCCCGATGACCTCATCGCATTCCATCTTCAAGACCGAGCGCCTCGAAATTTCGATGCGAAGTCGATTGAATGCTTCTCGTTCGCCTTCACCATATATAACCGGCATAGATATAGAAAGGATGCCAAGCAAAGAGTATGCCTTGTCTTCCATCTTCGACGTCGTTCGAGATGTCGCCCAAGAGATTCTTTCATCCACGCTAAAGGACGACAGTGGGGTTTGTAATAGGGCACCGATGGGAATTCCTGTCACCTCATGAATTTCTTGTCGAAGTGAATTCTTATCACCGAGGAATCGTTTGTCTGAGGAGAAGAACTGGACAACGGAAGGGGCAATCAGCTCTTGCAACGTCCAGCCCCTTGTGAACCATCTACTGCTTTTGAACTGTTGCTGCCAGGCCAACTGTGATGAATGATTGTCCTGTTCACGGCTGCATGATACATCGGAAAGGAACGCATAACACCTCTCGGCTTGCTGATACCACCGGAACATGGAATTGATGGATTCCGTGAGTTCGACTGCATTAGTTTTGTCGATGCAACAAGTGTCGACCCAGAAGTGGTTCAAGTCGTCGCATTTTGCCTGTTCTGCACAGAACAAAATCTTCTCATAGCTTGCTTTCTGTATGCCTCTCTGCTTCTTGAGGTCTTTGAAAGTCACCTCATCATCGGGGTCACTGCCCCATGTGTGCGATAGGATGGCATAGGGAGGAATTTCGTCCTTTCCGTGAATAAGATCTTTAGTAAACAGCAGCTCTCCCTGCGAGCCAACTTTAAGCAGGCGCATGGTTACCGTCGTATGATATTTGGAAGCAAGAGTGGCTGAGAAGTTTGAAGTAACCAAGGGACCAAGATGTGCTTCACGAGTTTCAATGAGGCTCAGCACCTGCAGGCTCTGCCAATCATGTCTCGTTGCAATATGCGGGGCCCACGGGAGTGCAGAGGGTATGGAAAACCCCAGAAACATCCTCTCCAGTTTGTTACATATGGATATATCTGATTATCAACAACAAAATCTATAGTTTGATCCAGAACTAATACCCGCTTGCCTGCTTCAGCCAATTGAGGGACTACTCTTCCATAGCCGATTCTGTCACGTTGCTGTCGTCTGGCGGTGGAATAGCTTCCGCGTTATTGGTAGTGTAGTTGCCAGGGTTGACCAAGAGATTGATCATACGACTACGAATGGCATCGTCCGACTCATTCTCTCTGCCTTCATAATAGGCCTGGTCCCTGGTAGTCACATACTCGCGGACGCGAATAGCGAGATCGAGGATCTTGGGCCTCTTTGCGAGTTCTTCCGCGCGACACAGGTAGAGCATGTCGAGTAGATCCTGATCAATCATGCATGTCCTCTTCAGGCGCTTCCTCCGGTGCCAGAGTGGACCGCAAGCAGACTTGAACTTGTCCCCAGCCACCTCTACGGTGGAGTTCTTGAACCAGCTGAACTTTGTTTCCTCATCGTAAGAACTTTCAAAAAGTATAAGAGACATCATGAGCTAAGGCTCACGAGAACGTAAAGCCCACGAGTCAGCTTGTTCTGAAAGATGATATTTCATGAGCGTAAATAAAATATTGTTAACTTACCTCAGCTATAGAAAATACGTTCATCTGCTCCGCGTCTTGACTTTCGGGAATGTTTCTGAGCTGTCTCTGTTTTTCCTCTTCGTCAACCTCACGCGCCTCGCCAAAGTCAATAAGCTTGATTAATGGCGTGATGTTGTGCTCGGGATGCTGAAGCCCGGCGTCCATTTCTCCAAAGACGGCATTGTAATCCGTAAAGTCGCAATGCGCAAGAAGGCTGGGCTGTAGCGCCTTGAGATCCTCAAGGGGTGTACGAATTATATCTATATTGTGGTGGTGATATGCCATTTCAATGCATGACCGGATCACTATTGGTCTCGCTCGTCAGACAAGCACAAACTATGATCTGCCCAAAAAGACAAAGGACCAAGAAAAAGAAGGGGGAAAAGAAGCCCCATGAATCATAAGATGATGGGAAATCTTACAGCACATGAACAATCTCCATAGTACCCGATTTGGAAATGGTATACCGCCATCTTCATCTAGGACCTTGTCCATGATAGTCCTGAGAGTGCCATTCACAGCATATTCCATAAATATCCAAGCGTGCAAATTTTGGGCGGTCTCTGGACGCTGCCAGGCCAATGGATCGTCGACAAGGTCAATCAAGTTTATTATGTGAGGGCAATGTCGCAATCTCTGCAAGCCATTAGATGACTCCGCATCAGTACATCATCTACATTTTCAATGCATTCTCTTTACTGTGGGACACGTACCTCTAGCCACATCTTCTCTGTTACCAACGACTTCACCGTGTCGTTTAGGCTGTTGTTCGAGCTGGATCCCGAGCTATCTTCATTTGTTTCCGTGGACGGTTCGGCAAATCCTAGGTCGTCGAAGGCCACTTTAAGCAGGAATCTCGCATCGGCTGGGCCATGAATTTTATATACAGCTCCGTTTGTGCCCGTACCAAGAATACCATCGATACGATATCGAGAGCCTTGAAAGAAGCCCTCAAGGCGGGCGGTCATTTCGGGGTCCTCTTCTGCCTCCATTTTTCGTATTGATTCATTTCGCCAAGGAAAAGTATTACTACGAACGAACTTTTTCGTTCGGACGGGCGCTCGATTTCTGCTACTGGACCAAGAAAGAATATTGCTTTACATCCATGGCATTGTCCCATCACTTTTGTTCCACAAGTTCGTGTGCTATGTCCCCGTCTGTTTTGGGAAGCAGCCACATGGCTATTTCATTGTCTACAAACGATGCTAATATGCTGGGGCCTTCACCTGGTACAGTAACCATTCGTGGGATCTTGATGGTAATATACAGTTGCAGCAGACAACCAAAAATACCAATATTGCCATATACACTCATGTTAGTGAGATTCTACCTGAAAATACTCTATGTCATGCAAATGGAATAGTCTTTGGTATCACTAGATAAATAACTGGCACTGCCTCCCGGCTTCTAATTTGCACGCGAATATCCGAATCATAAAAACTCTTACATGGGCATTCGCTTCATCTCTTCAAGCGTCCAGTATTTTCTCATATTCTCTGCCCCAAGTGTCTTGACCTCCTGATCAAGGTGCGTCCACAGGACATCCGACCAGCTCTCCATGCGCTCACGGAGACGCGCGAGATTGAACTCTTCGCGCCCGGCCTGAACGTCCTTGAGATACTCCTCGAGCCCGTCCATACCCTTGTGGATCTGTCGGTGCTGGCGAAGGAGCTCGGCGGCGCCGTTGCCCTTGCCGGCCTTGAACTCGGGCATGCGCCGGGCGAGCACGGGGAAGATGTGCGCCTCCTCGATCCCGTGGTGCATCTCTAGGTGGTGCACAAACTGCAGGCCCTGGTTGATAAACGCCCGCAGCGACATGCCCGCCGGCCGCTTCCCAGACTCGCATGCGCTCCAGAGCAGATTCCACGTCGAGCGAAAGTGGTTGTGAAACATGTCCATGTGGTCGGCCATGGCATTGTATTGTCGGAATTCGGCAGCAGACAGAGGCGGCAATGAAGCGGCCTTGTCTTCCCCGGATTTATCGTCATCGGATGTCGGCGTCGTCTTCGACTTCTCTTGTTCGGGACAAGGCGGCGCTGATGTCGTAGTCGCCGTCGTGGCGGTGTCTGGGGAAGTTGACATGGCCAGTCTAGTTTGAGCCGAAGCTGTCTTCAGTCGAATCGTTCGAGGGGAAAGTGCAGGTTTTCCGACAGTTGAAATTGGGGCAAGCTGAGCTGTAAGTCCAAGTCTGGTGGTAGCAACAGCACTTCTCAACGTCCAACGGAGGTACATTTATGAAACGGAATGATACGAGTAAATGGAAAAAAACAAGTCTCTCAAGGGCCAACAGGTAAAGAGGCAGGATACAGCGCCATTGTGCTTTCGTCACGCGCCTCGCTCGGCTAAGGAGACAACCGATTAATTAGTCTTGGAAGGTTTTGCAAATCTGTCAGCTATTGCAAAGCAAAGCGAGTTCACAGTAGTCGGTCGATAACGAGTTGCGATCCTTGATTTGTAGTGGGGTCGGGTACACACACACACACGCACACCTGCTGGGACTTTGCCGCTGAACTCGGGCGTCCGTATCCGCGGCCTCTGACCGCGCGGGTATTAGTCAGACATGTCCCGAGTCAGTCACCACTATAGAGACCATGGAATCGTGGTGAAGCGTCTACATGTGTCGAACCTTAATGAATTATAAAGCAGGCAAGGTTAAATTGAAGCTCTCATTGTCAACTTGGTAGTGGAGAACGTCACAGTCACTTCACCCAAGGATTTGACTCAATCGGACGTCGCATAGGCAGCTAACTTGAAAGAATGCTCAATTTTCTCTCTATTCATGACCATCCATTCCGTGTGCACTGGCATCAGAAAACTGCCGGTACACCATAGTGTTTTTGCGAAAATGAAACCGACTCCATATGCATTAATTACAAGACCGAGAGACCAGACAACATGCTTTAGCCCCGAACCGCAGCACCCAGCGCACCACCGGTGAACTGTGTACCGCCGGCTTGCCGTTGACCTGTGCCACCTCCTCTTGCGCCACCTCTGCCTCCCCTCTGGCCACCTCCTCTTTGACCTCCACGCTGGTTCTGGCCGCGGCGGTCGAAAGCATTGGCAGTACCCTGGGTACGTTGCTCCAATGTCCTCTCGTTGGTCTCGATGAGGGCGGCAGCCTTGTCGGACAGGGTGAGGGCCAGGCTCTGCAGGCGAGACAACTCAACACCCTTGCGGAAGATGACGGTCGATGTGACCTGATCAAGAGCAGCGGCAAGCTCCTCGTGGCTGATCATCTTGCTGACAATGGCAGCAACCTTGCGGTCCTCGAGTTCGAACATTGCCGACAAGGTGGCGACAGCGAGTGTGTCGTAGTAGGGGGCGTAGGTGAAGAGATATGTGCGGAGACCTTCCTCTTGAATCTGCTTGGAGAGCATGGTCTTGATACCATCACTGTCGGGCATGAGTTCCCAGATCTTGATGTTGTGAATGAAGGTAGTGGCCTTCTTCCACTCGCCAGCAGCCAGAGCCCTCGAGGCTTGCATCACATGGTCTCTGGTGTTCTCCGGGGGACCGGTGAAAATCTGGCGCTCGTGGTACTCGAGCATACGGCGGTAGGTCTTGCTAATGACGCGCTTCTTAACATCGGGCGAAGAGCCAGTCTGGGCGAGAAGAGGAATCTCGAGAAGCATGCTGCAGGTCAGATATACACACTCGAGCAGCTCGAGGTTGATGTGCATGTGGAAAGGAAGCTGTCTCTGCTTCTCCAGTCTCTCTTGCTCAGGGGAGACCTGAGCGTAGCGCTGAATCATGACACCCTGAGCCAGGAGCTCCTTTTGCCTGCCAGAACCGCAAATCTCCTGCAGAGTGTTTTGGGCATCGTACACAAGACCCTTGCGGAAAGCACAGAGACCAACCTGAACGAGTGTCCTGTTATACAAGATCTGTGTAAGGACATCAAAGCTGTTGATAGTCTCCTGCAAGTGCGACATGAGCATCATGTCGCGAGCCTTGTAGTACTCGTCGTGCAGAGCCAAAAAGTAGATCTGGCATAGCATAGCACGAGCCCGAATAATGCCCTCGCTGTTTGAGAAGAGGTAGTTACAAAGGACGTTGACAAGCTTGCCGGCCTCGATGACCTCGGTTTGCGGCGTGATGGTTGAGACAACACCAGTGGATGTTGCTTTCCAGGCGTTCTCCTCCAGAATCTTGACAACCTGGGCGGGCTTGAAGTAGACGTGCTCAAGACGGCGCATCACGATGCGGTTAATGCTATCCTGGGGCACTTCCAATGCGCTGTCCTTGCGGAGGTGCTCGTAGTAAAGCTGGCCACGGAAGATGACATTGTACAAGGAGCCTTCGTCTGACAGACGCTCGATGTACTCGGAAGTGTGAGGGTCGATGATTTGCAGAGAGCGAGTGAGCTCGTCGTCCAAGCGCTCCACAAATGAAACAATGCTGCCAGGAACCTTGAGGTATTTCTCACCCTCCAGGATGGTGGGCTGCTTCTCGTCATCCTCCCACTCCTCGGCGCCCTCGACAACAATGTGATCCTGGTTCTGATCGAGAACCTCGAAAAGAGAAGAGATGTCCTTCTCGGCAGCTTTCCACTGCTCGACAGGCATGGAGCTGGAGGGACCGCTGCTAAGGTCGAATCTGGCAGAGACGAGAGTCAAGAGGACTCGGATTTTCTGGTAAGGAGTAACTGCCACCTCATGAAGCTTCTCCATGATCTTGATCTGCTCAAGGCGGTCGGTGTTCTTCTTTCCTCGTGACTCGACAATGGATCTGAGGTGCTTGAAGATACTCTCGGGAGTGAATTGGAGGGCCTTTCCGCCCTTGCCGACAGTAGCGAACTCACCGTCGTCTTCGGCAGTAGGGGCCTCAATGTAGACGTCGGTGACCTTTGCCTTCCTGGGCTTGGGCTTGGGAGCCTCGTCTTCGGACTTCATGAAATCATCCTCATCGGCCTTGAAAGCATCGACCTGGGTCTGGTAGTCTTTGGTGAGCTTTCGAATCTTTTGCTTGACGGCGTTCAAACCACGGGCGTTGGTCGCGTTCATCTTCTTGGGAGTGACCTTCTGCTTGGAGATGGTCTCGTTCATGAAGTCCTCAAGTTCCACCAAGGCCTTGATGTAGACCTTGGGGGGGTTGCTGGAATCGCCGCCAACCTTGGATGCATGTCGGTTCAGCTTGTCAAACTCTAGACGTGCCTGTTAGCATTGGTTCTCGATGCGGACCTCTAGTCGTAATGTAGTGTTCCCTACCTGTGGAAATGGAGCCCCAGTCGTTGATCTTCTCGCCGTTCTCGATCGCCTTGATAATGGCCTCGAGCTCTTGGTAGCGCTTGTCCTTGGCGCTCTTGACCGTCTTGACTCTCTCGTCGTCGCTTTCGTCGCTGTCTGAGGAGTCGGCATCCTTCAAGAAACGGTTGGCACCCTGCTTGCCACCAGCATCTGAGTCGCTGGAATCATCGTCGGAGTCATCGTCATCATCCTCATCGGAGTCCTCCTCATCAGAGTCCTCTTCAACGTCCTGGTCTTCCTCCTCCTCTTCAGAGTAAAGTTCTTCCTCGTCCGAGGAGCTCTCGCTGGAGCTGTCGCCACCGGTGAAGAATCGAGACATGTTCGCGGTTGTCGGTCGAAAAATCCGGGATCAGGCTGATGATGATGTAGAGATTCGACGTGTTTTAAGTGCGAGGCTCTCTTGGTTGTGAGTCACCAAAGGATCAACTCGTTGCCTGCTTGTAGTAGGTTGTCAGGCCCAAACGCGGTTCTCACTACAACTGGGGGGAGGGGTTCGAAGGCAGATTTCGAAATTTTGGTGAATTTTGGTGGGGCAGTGGGCGCTGTGATTTCTTGGGGCTAGTGGGTGGACGGACGGACAACTAGGCGATGGATGAGAATGCGAATGTGCTTGTCGATGCTGCTCAACTTTACGCCTGATAGTGGTCGTAAATATTAAGCGGTGAATGCTATTCCGAGTTAGCTAAGTTGAAAAATTTATTCATCCATGAATTGGCACATAATCAGGAACCGCGCAGTCTAATGCAGCAGATATCATTTTTCTCTGCGGTCGCAGTATTGATATTATTCGTACTCGGTGCTCGGTCGCTCGCTGCCAGCTGGCTATTATGTCATGCAGCTGTCATCTGCTTTGCTCTGATACAAGATGACACTGCATAGTGATACTACATTGAGAAGGATAATGCAAGCGCATTGGAAACGCGATAGCCTTGTTGGCAGAGAGCAACATCGAAGCCAGCACATTCTCATATTTCGAATTTGTAAGTACTGCTGATTCCACCGTCGGCGAGCTCCTGGCGGCATGGAGGTATTGCTGTAGGTGATGCACATGTCAAACCACCAATTTATTCATTCCCAATGCCCTGCCGTCATGTAATGAAATGACGGCATAACCAATTCCGTACGCCTAAGAAACAAACCATCCTGCGAGATTTTGGATTGCCACAAACTCCGCGCAATATCCTGCCCGAACGCCACTTCAACGCCTGGGTATATGGCCGCAAATCAAATAGACGCCAGCATTTTATGTAGACGATGCCTTCTCTTTGACATCCAACCAATCGGGATGGTCTCGTGCTCGCCACGCCTTGATATCCTTTGGTTGTACCTGCCGACTCTTTTGGGCTTGGTCAAAGACTTTCTTCGTATCTTCGCTCTTGTATAGAGAGCGGAAGTCTTCTATTTCGGTTGAAGCGCCTGCGACCGACTTCTGCAAAGTGTTCAGGGCATCTTGTGCTGCAATGGTTATACTTTAGTGACAGTTTTCCAGGCTGTCGCAATCGGATAATAGATTGGAATCGTAAAAACACGTACGAGTGGTGTGTTTCAAGGCCAAGGGCTCAAGCATGCGTGGGATCGTTGTCCTAAGTTCGCGACACTGCATGGGAGACATCGTAGTTAGCTATGGTAAATGCCGTGGTCGGGGCGTTTTTGTCCAAGTTGAGCCGCCGTGGCAGAACATTGCAGGCAATAAATCTCCGACATACCTTGACATGGAGGATTTTCAACTTCTCTAGAGCATCTTCCAGTTGCTCCTCGGTCCATTCTTCGGGTGTTCCCTGGGAGTTACCAGTCGCAGCCTTTGGCACCTGTGCGTTGGCTGCCATTTTATGAATAGCTTCGGGGTGCAGCTTTCCAACAGACACAGCAATACCAAACCAGCAATAGTAGAGTCGCTTGATCAGCTAAATCGTGACATTGCTCTGAGAGTGAACATGCATAGGTGTGGGTAGCCGGAGAAAGGATGAGAAACACAAGATAGCTTGTGAACTATGCGACTGTCACTGGTGACTACTAAACAAATTGGAATGGTGGGGTGAACATTCAATGCCGCGATCAAAGATGTTTATCCAAGCACTTAGGAGTTGGATCCCCTGTAACACACGAAGCTCCTACCGGACACTACCTACATTACATAGGTACCGTGTAGGCATTCAATGTACCCAAGTACCTTACATTTGCCCTTACCACCCGTCCCCCTCAGCACGTCCCAAGTCCCCTCACCAGACACCAGCCCCCAAGGTTACTAGGCAAGGCCTGCTGAACCACCTGCACAACGAATATCTTACAACACGCAGCTTTGCACGGCCACATCTAATGCAACCACCTGGGCAGGTTCCAAGCCAGACTGTCGGTGACGGAACATCGAGCGACCGAATTAGAGACCCCCCCAGGCGGAAACTGTGTGGTCAGACCGTGCGATTTCCATAGTTCGACGTTCTTTCTCCCCATCCAGTCAAGATACACCGCGCCCAAGCGCGTCCACAGTGAGAATCCCTTTGGTCGACGGCGCCCACGACAGGAACCACCTACCTGCCCGTCCACCCGTCCATCCTCCCATCTCGAAGGACCCTGATTTTCGCGTCTCGCCGATAAGAGCCCCGCGGTCCACGCCCAGACACTTTGGGCCGGGCCATCAACCGCCATCACAGCAGTACGGTGCCGTTGGGTTCCAACGAAACGTTGGCATTCTGTTTGCCTGCTGGGGTGAGGTGACTGGCGGCTTCACTGTGCTCTGCCAGTACCTTTAGTGCAACAATCAAGAACCCAAAAAAATTCCCACTCGTGTCCCGTGAAATACCGTCACCATTTCGCTCCAAACGCCCCTCCAGCCCACCGCGGCCGTCGGCGGCCATGCGGGATTGACGAACGGCACCCCCGGTGTCGCTGTCAATGGGCACAATGGCATTCAGCATACGCCAGTACCCGTCCCCACGCCGACACCCTCGCGCATCGTGCCTCCCGGTACCCCAGGTGAACCCGGCACTCTTGCACCCCCGCCGGAGGGCATCTACCGGACGTTCGAGGACCTCCTCACTGCTGTTCAGCGAGTTGCCAAGGACCAGGGCTACGGTGTAGTCAAGTTGCGCGCAAGTAACTATCGCGATGGCAAGCCTACTCGGTACGATCTCGTCTGCGATCGTGGAGGAGTCAAGTACAACAGCACTGCCAAGAAACGGAATCCGAGTACGCGCAAGGTCGACTGCCCTTGGCGAGCAAAGGCTGTCTGTGAGGTGTCGCTAGCAAACCAGTGGCGATTTGCCGTCCAAGATGCCAGACACAACCACGAAGCCCGGGTACCCGCTGCACCCCCGGGACAAGAGAATACACCTCTTGCCCAGAGCATCCGCAGTCTCACTAATAAGCTTGACCGCATCAGCCATGACATGTCGCAAGGTCTCGGACGCATATCATCGCAAATGGAGAACATTGAGAAGAGATTGGTTGATGTTGAGCAGAGGGTCATCAGCATGGACACCAGAATGTCTGGCATGGAGCAAAGAGATGGAGAAATGGGTGTTCTTTCCGACAACATGACGATGGAAGGCTCAATGCTGGGGCAGGCTGTAATGTAGGGCCATGACGGCCCGCCCCAACATCAGGCACACAATGTTGTTGTACAGGACGAAGTAGTGGCCGACATGATGTCGACGGTATCTTCGGCACCGGCCCATGCTGCATCAAGTCGTTCTACGTCACCAAGCGATCAGGAGGCCCAGAGGCCTAAGCCGGACCCGGCCTACAAGATGTACGATGACTGAAGTGCATGATATACAAGGCAAATTGTTGAAGATCAGCAAGGGATTGCGAAATACAAAAACAAATGTTCAAAGGCGTTTAGGGCTTGGAGTGCGCACTCATGATATGGTCAATGGCTCGGGGGAGTACTGGTTTACAGTGAGGATCATTGGCAAAATGGGCTTTAGTATCCGATATACTGCGGAATTTGATTTCATTTGTGAACACGGTAATTAGTTGCAGAGCAGATGTCTTGGGCTTGAGGAGACATCCACACCACGAGTGACTACTCGTCGGTAGAAGGTATTCTTCATACATAGCAGTAATTTGTCTTTGGGCAAGCATTCATGCTATTCTGAAGCAGCTTTAGCTGCCAATAGGCTGAAAGACAGATTAAATACCAGTTGTACATGTCCAATCTCATTCAACGCGTTTATTCGCCTGCATTGCCCCCCTACTCTTCCGCTCGGCAGCAAATAGTTGTAGTTGAGATTTCCAATCATCTCGGACTGAGGCGAGTCGGAGATGGCGACGAACATACAGGTCCAAATTCAGTTCGACCAAGATGAGGAGGCATAAAGGACTTATACGTTTGACATTTGAGGTGTGCTTTCGGGCGAAGATATGCCATATGCTGGACCTCCACGAACCCCAATGTCACCAAACTATTAAACTAACCCTCTCAAACCACTCGGGCGAACATCCTTCGAATGGCGACCAGACAACACTAGCTTCAGCCTCGCGATCACCGCCATTGTCGGACCACTCGTGGTCTTGGGCCAGACAGCTCCTGTCCTCAGCCCCCCAGCCTTCACCGTTGGCCCACGACCGGCTCTCTGCATTAGCCGTACTGTCATCATTTTCCATGACTTGTCTGGCCGACAGGGACGATGAAGCTGCTCCGCTGTGAGCTCCCTTGAAGAAAGATGAGCCGTTGTCGCCAGTTGTAACAGTGACGGTTTCAGCACCGGCTCTGCCAGCCGTGACAGTAACCGTCTCGGCTCCCGGTCCGGCACCTGTAACGGTAACAGTAATGGTGGCGGCCTCGCCGTTGTCAGCAGGAATGGTCACGACAACAGTCTGGGGACCGGCATGGGAGCCGCTGGCAACTCCGCTACCGGCGGCATAGGTGGGCGTGACAGTCAAAGAGCTGGTTGGAATGACGATAACGGTAATCTCCATAGCGTTAGGCTGGGGAGTCGTCGTCGTTGCCACTGGAGCCACAGGGACTTGAGTGGCTGCAGAGCCACTCAAGGAGACGTAGCTGTCATCGCCTTCTTGGAGCCCCCAACCTTCGACGATAAGGTTTTTTCCATACCCGCTTGGGGAAAAGAATTTTGACTGTGATTCGGCCACCCGCTGGCAGGATCCAGTCAACACTCTCCTCCACGTTTTCTCATCCATGCCCTGACTATAGTGGCGCCAGAGGGCTGCCATGTACTTGACGTCTGAGACGCAGTACTCTAAAACCTCCTTCCTTAATGGCCTCTCCTTGAAAACGGCGTAGCTTCCGCCCTCACGTGGGGAGAATAGCCTACGTCCCATCGCCTTTGTGTCAATGACCCCTTTCCTTTCCTGCTCGTTGAGGTCCAGGTGCTCTTGAATGCAGCCAGTTAATGAACGAAGTCTTTCGTTATCCTCCCACTGCTTCCTTGTTGCAACCTCCATGTACTGGAGATCTTGTATACCCTGGAGGGCAATGCCGAAATGTGCAAACAGGGCGTCTGAATCGTTTCGCACGTCATAAAAGACCTTTGGAATGATAGCGCATTCGAGGATATCGCGGAGTGAAATTTGAGAACAGTTGGCCTTGGTGTCAAAGGCCTCTCGTCCCAGCGTACATATATCCACCAACCATGTGAAACCTTTTGCTGCGTCGAAGATCTGCATTATACATATCGTGCCATTTCTTCCCAGATCTTCTCCCTCCAAATCAATAAACAGAGACGGCGTACCCTGGGGTGCTTCTAGAATCGAATCTAGAAGAAGCGCCATGATCTGCGCATTTTCGACAAAGGCCCACGGTGCCATCAAGATGGGGGCCACTGGCTGATCACTGTCAAAGTGTCGAGTCATTTTTTCTGGCATTTCGAATATCACGACTAGATGTAAATTGTAGATGGGCAAGCGAATTGAGATTATGAGAAGGAAAAGGAATCCCTTAATCCGGCGGACGATTTTGGTCTGCCCGTAAACGTCGAGAGAAGTTGAAGTTGTGCATTCGGGACAGTTGTGGAAGATGAAATTGGTTTGGGGATTTACCACGACAGAAAGTGGCCACGTCTTTCTTATATATTGAGTTCTCGGCCCGACCATCTTCTCTTGTCAACCATCTGCAGGCCCCAAAGTCTGTTGTCATTTGTTGATACCATCAAGGTTGCTGAATCTTGGCCTACGCCGAAGTAAACATCAAATTCCTCACAATGGGGAGGCTGTGGCTTTGGAATCTACTACAAGACCAAGTAGCTACAAGGGTGACTCGCATTGGGCTACACCTTAAAGGCCATGATATTCATCGGGATTCATTTGCACTGCCTTTGATTTCATTCGAAGGCACGGTGCAGAAAGCATAGTAAAAGGATGTTTGTTATGTGCACTACCCATAAGGTGATGACAGATGATTATGGTGGGAGTGTAAGCTGAAAGAACAACTGCTGGCTTTTATTCATACGGCTAACACCAACATAGTACATATTTCAAAGTTGCCTTGGTATCTTGGCAGCATGGCCGGCATTCAGAGAAAACCTAATTAGAAATCTTGTGACAGCAAATTTTTACGTCCTTTCCCCCGATCCCCTATATCCGAACACGTCTTACTGCGTTCTGCTGTCGGAGATAAAGCCGGTCGAAAGCCAAAGAAATATTAATTCCTGGTATGTAACCTAGATATGTAATCACATGGATGGGGGTCTTCCTCTTCTGCCGGTACTGTTGTTGCTCGTTTTGGTATCTACCTACTTTGCCGCGCCGTCCGCTGCAAACGATGATGAACTGTGATCCTAACTTCTACTCCCCACCCGTAGCTCCATTGTCTTTGAGTACGATATACTGCGTTGCCTATAGCTGCCCCAAATTTGAACTGCGAGCACAATCTGGTAGTATGCTCCAAGACCCCGAGCTAGTTTTGTACGAATGGTCCCTCTCATGTCAGATGAAACCTCAAATGAATCTACTCCACAACCTGTCAACCTTTCCATTTGCCTGCCTCTGAAAGCAACCAGTCCTGACCAAAACTTTTGGTAAAAGACTTACTGCGTCAGAACATCTTAGGGCTTATCTCTCTGCTTTACAAGGCTTGTCTGCCAGCGGCGCGAAGTAATATATGTGCAGAACCCTCGCGACTATGGGATTAACAATCACAGCTGCGTATGGATGATGTAATATTGTATTCCTGTGAAAGATGATGAGAAGAAAAGACAAGTTACTCTCCCTAGATATCGTAGACCGCAGTGACCACTGAAGTTTCAAGATACTCCGGCTTCGGTAGGTGCACAACTTGACCTCTCAGGTTCTTTTTGATCTCAGCCAGTGCTTTGAGATAATCCAACGAAGACTCATCTGGTTGTCGTTCGAATTTTCCAGCAAGTCTGAAATTAAGTCTGGCTGGAGACCACGAGTGAATTGGGACATTTTCGGTAATGATCGTGCTGGACTCTGAAACGGCCTCAAGCTTCCCCTGGTCTTGGAAACGACCGACCAATAGCCACTGAACAACCCTCTGCGACGAGGCTCCCACGACCACTGCGCTTGTGAATCCTTCCTTTCCCTCATAACAGATGGATGCGCCGTGTCGAACTAGGAACTTTACAGACTCTATTCGATTCATCCCCGCAGCTGCCATTAGGGCCGAGCCGTATGGGCTGCCCTCGAAGTCGATGTCAGTCCCCATTTCGAGACAATGCTCCATGACTTTGACGGCGTCGGTGCAGGTAGCGAGGCAAAGAGGACTCCAGCCTCGCCTAGGTTCCAGGTTTGAGACACGACGGAGGTCTTCCATGCGGAATCTCCGCAGGTAGTGCTTCCAGTGTTGATTCATCCAAGACACATCTTCAATCATACTGCCTATCATAGACCACGGAAACGGACCAGTTTCCGTCAATTGGGCAGGTTGATTCAATATCAAGGTGGCCGTCTCAGGGTTGTGCATGGCAACAAGCATGATGCTGCGATTACTTTCCTCCTCGGCATTCAGATCTTGGCCACTATCCATTATGGCAGCTAGTACTTTTGGATGCAGCGTCGGGTTTGGGGGAAAAGGCTCGTAGATCAACTTGATTGGGGCTTGTCGAAAAAGTTCGGCAGTCATTCGTGTCTGACCCTCAGCTGAACTGCCTAGATGATGCAGCCAAGTAATTGAAGGTGGCAAAGTGGGTGTTGCTCCCATGCTTAGCAGGTATTCTGTCCGTGTAGTATGATTAGTGGCTGATATTCCAACCTAGAGAACATACTTTGTGACCAAAATATCTTTGTTGGCCAATAGAGTGAACTTGAAGAAACCATCATTGAAGAGCAAAAGACCTGAATACTTACCTGCGATAGCCCCTGGGGCTTCACAGTATTGTATGGGGGTCATTCTCTGGGAATCTTGCCCATCAACATCTGCACCAGCCTGCACAAGTTGCTTGACGACTTCGAGATTGTTTTCAATCACAGCCTGGTGTAAAGGCATAGAGTCTCCATAATTGTTGAGCAAATAAGGTAAGACATGGTCAGGACAACAGCCGAGGAATCGCCTAGACACAATGATCAGTAACGAACACAGTCTTCTTGTAAGGCTACTCACGCATAATCCGCTTTGTTGTCACAGAAATGGTCCACGACAATTCGAAAAGCTTCGTCATTGTTCCATTCAATGCACTCCACAAGCAGCTGAGCATAGATATAGCCCAAGCTTTCATGCAAGCATAGGTCTAACATCAGGGGCAGAAAGGGTGTGAGATGACGACGACGAAGTGCCTTCAGTAAGGCAGAATTCGAGCCATGTATCGAACATGCTTGTTTGCAGACAGATGCTGATTTGTCCAGAAACAGTCGAACCAATTCGCAGTTTCCAGATGAGCTACACCTGATTGACAGCAACAAAGGTGAGCATCCACCACATTCAGAGAGTGAAACGTTCACGGAGCAACCCTCCTCCAAAATTCGACTGCATGCCTGTTCATCGTTCATCAGTATCGCGGTCTCCAGTGCTTCTCGCCAAGATCTGGTTTTGGCGTTTCGAGTCCGGGCGTCGGGGTTCTCGGTCTTGGTATCTGATGTGTCGAGTCCGGCCAAAAGTCCAACAATGTCATCCAGGTCTAGTTGTCTTGCATACATCATCGGGGTCATCCCGACCACGTCTCTCTTGATCAGTGATCCTCTGCTCAATAATCTCTCCACACAACGTCTGCTGTTTTTGCGAACAGCCATGTGCAGAGGCGTGGTTCCATCGACAGCCATTTGATTGATATCTAAACCGAGGTCAAGCAGGCAATCAACCAACTCCGTGTTCTCTCCATAAGCTGCAAAGTGTAGGCAACTGAAGCCTTCTTGAGTTAAGGCATGGATATCGTTGATGAGTCTGTTATCCAAAAAGAAATTGAAACAATCCTGATGACCCTCAAGGCACGCTAAGTGCATTGAATTCAACCCATCAAGATTTCTTCTTGAATCATCCCAAATCACAGATACTGAACATTTTCTATCCCAGTTAAATGAGGTTGAAGTCTTGGTTAGATTAGCCAACAAGTCCTGCAAGAACGGACGGAGCCCTCTTGAACTTGCTGCCTGTGCAGCATCCCATCCTCCGCCAGATGATGCCAAGGCTGGGTCGGCGCCTAATTCAAGTAGAATTTGAGCCGATCTTCTTGTTTGCTTTGAAGAGGCTATCAGACTGTCAAGTAACGATGTATCATGCGGAAATTGCCCACTCATTATGTTGATATCAGCTCCCCTTTTGACGATCTCTGGGACGAGTCACTCTGGATCAATACCTGGTGCTGTACAGACGCGATGCAATATACTGGACCCATATCGATCATAACGGTTGAGCTTCTTGTTGTCTACACGGTCCAAGATAGCCTCCAGTAGATGAATATCACCATCCCTCACCTGCGCCGTCGTAATGTTGAAAAGGTTGCATGCTTCCTCCAGCATGGATCTGCTGCCAGAACCGGGATGTACGTCTATTCCATGCTCCAAGAAGGGCTCGAGAATCTTGATCGTTCGCTCAAATCTTCTCCACGAGGTTTCGGAGATGATTCGACAGCAGAAATCGATTGCAGCAGGTGAAGTAGCTGACAGAGTCTCACTTTTGTGCAACAGCGCTTGGATGACGCTACCATCCATAGTATATGGCAAGACTGTCTGCCTTGCCCATCTCGATAGACAACTCTCAAGCGCAAGCTTAGCGCTCGTGCAACTTTTCAAACTACTTGGATATAAAGTGTTAAGCAGCTCAAATTTCTCCATACCTGCGCCGGGATTCAAGGCATGGAATGGTCGACCGGCGGAGCAATCGGTATGGCATGGGTAGCTAGAGTCTTTGAGCATCTGCAACAATGCTATACTCTCTGCGTTCGCTGCTTTATCCCAAATGCATATCTTGCCATGGCAACAGCTTAGCTCTCTACCGCGTTTTTCAAAGAGCCATTTTGCCACATTTATATTGCTTATCTCAAATGCCATGTCAAGCGCAGTCTGGCCTTCATGATTGACAGCGTCCATCAACTTCTCAAATTCAGCACCGTGCTGTGCACGAATTTCCTCTAGTACCGAGGCATCAAAGGTGCGAGAAGTGTTCGACCTTGTCAACATGTGGAGAAAGTTCCGTCCATCAGAGTCAGACCTCCGCATCTCGCATCCCGCGTTGAGCATATACTTCAAGATTTTGAAAGCATGCCATGATGCAGCAATGTGGACTGCGTAAACCTCATCTTTGTCTTTGAACTCTCGAATGTTGAATCGAACATCCTGTTCGCAAGTCACGAGAGCCTGGACATCATCGAGCGTGATAGCGCTCACTGCGGTTTCAACCAGTGCCGCGTCAGAAAGAGTGATACTAGAAGGCAGTAAGGACGTGTCCGCGGTGAATTTATGGCTCGAACGAATCGCCATGTTCCAGATCAGCGCACAAAGCTGGTATCCCTCTCGAGTTTTGTGGATTTCATGCGTATTCAAGAACTTGACGAGGTTCCGTAATTCATTTTCCTGGTCCTTGCAAAACCCTTCCGTGAACCAGCAGCTGGCAATCGAGATGTCCTCCGAACACAAATTCCACCCGTTCTCGAGAAGACATTTGAGCGGTGTCATATTTCCACAAGCAGCAAAGTTGCATGTGATTTGCATAAGCCTGCGGCCTTGAAACCTCTGGGATGATCCCGATAGTTTTGCTCCGCGTGAAGAAAGTTGATCCATAAGTGAAGCTGTACGCGAACGATATTTATAGCGTGAGAATGCATGAGAAGCGTCTTGAATGACGTCTTTGACAAATGCAAAGATCCCAGCGATAGAGAATTCCAACAAAGAATCAGCTTGAACTTCAGAATTGATCGTAGTATAAGTTCCAAGTAGCCACGTACCCACTTCAGTAAGGTCTAGTGCTGCGGCGACGTGGAGCGTTGAGAGGCTGGGTTCAAGTACAAGGTCAAGCACATACTCAGTATTGACTTTTTGATGAAGACACCAACAGAAGCGGGTTACCCAATTCATATATACGTTGGACTTGGCCGGATGCAATAGTGACTTTTGGAGCTCTAGTAGTTCTGCCGATGAGTGTGAACCACAATTTTCAACCGCCTGCACATGCATCGGCCACGAAGCGGCTGCAACTGTGTATAGAGAACCTAAGTTCTCCTTTCCCGCGCAAAGTCCACATCCGTCTCCTGGAGCTCGACAAGGCTTGCAGTCGAAATTCTTCAGCTGAAGAAAGCGGAGATATTGACTAGCTACAGTGTCATTTATACTGCTTTTCGAGATGTGATAAGGCTTTAGGTCGGGCCTTTCAAGCAGGGAAGAATTTTGAAGGTACTCGCGGACGCTGAAATGTGCGAATTCAAAAAGCCGACCGTCAGCCGATTTGCGCAGAAAACTCGAGCACGCGCGCGCGACTTCCTGTTCTGTCACAACCGACGAGATGTCCCACTTCGTCCCTGACTTTTCAGGGACAGAGACAAAGTGACAAAGGCCAGCAGCAGTCAACAGCTGGATTGGATGTTCTATAGCCAAGAAGCGGAGGGTTAACTGGACAAGTCTTTGGACGCTGCGTCGTTTCTGGTTGACTCGAACAAGGATCCGCTCGTAAGTCTCAGGGAGAGTTTTTGGGAGCTCATAAAGCGCTGTCCGACGATCCGCATCTGTGATGCACTCGCCTAGAGCATCAAGTTGGCAAGCAACCCAGCGGAACCTATATGTGTTAATGGAGGTCTTCAAGGGTTTAATGAACCAAAACTTACATTCCTTGGGCACCGGTAGTAAGTATCAGTAGTATTTCGTCTTTGAGGTGCATATCATTGATTCTCAACTGCCTCTGCTCGATGCGTTTCTCAAGCTCTGCCCCGACATAAAGACTGATATCTTCTGAGTGAGCAGCAATGTCGATCTGATCAAACTGGTCTTGAAGTACGTCCCGAATACCTGGTTCGTCGCGACTGAATAACGCCGACGACAGATTTGGGATATCTTGATTCAGTCTCGACAACACTCGACTCACTATCTCTGCATTATCGCCACATTCATCTAGCCCATCGACCACAAGAAGAATCCGATCGAAAGCTTCGGACTCTTCAATGATGACTTCATGAAGGTCCTCTGCTTTTGGTCTCAGTTGCATTCCCTGACGAGGCTTTATCTCATTGTGGTATTGCTTGAGTTTTGCAAAAGCAGACTCGTTTTGCCAGGCTAGCTGAGTTGCGATTGCTCCCAGAATATTTGTGATATTCCATGTCTTTTTGTTCTTGTAATCGCAGAAGAAGAATGCGACGCCAACGTTGGAAACTGTAGCGACTTGTTGTAACGCTTCTCGGATGGCCGCGCCAGCCAGTACAGTCTTGCCTGCGCCAGGGATACCGCTCAGCCAGATCTTGGAGCCTTCTTCCAACAGCCATGTGCGGAATCGCAGAGATTCAGTCAACCATATTCCTGTGCCAGGATGTCTCAACTTCCAGCTGGACTGAAGGTTTGGGCTGGGATCAATGGGCATGAAAAAGTTGAGCACACACTCTCTTTCTGCATCCAATTGAATTTGCCTCAAGATTTGGAGATTTTCAACGCCCTCATGTATCTTGACCAGTTCCTTTCGGCTTGACTCACTTTGCCCAGGCAGTCAACTAGGGCAGAGAGCGACGCAGCGTCAAGGGCGAGGCTCAAGGTCGCTTTGTGTCGAGAGAGCTCATTGATAAGCTCGTCTGTTTTGGATTTTCGGAACGGCCATTTGAGATTTTCGACCTTGCTCGTTCTTGACTTTTGGTTCTTGACGGTGTCTCTAATACTTGATGTTCCCTTGAGTATGTCATCTAGCACGCGGCTGCATGCGGAAATATGTTCGAGTCGCAGTCCCACTGAGGGCTCAGTTTCGTCTTGCTCGTATGCTTCGGCCAGGATTTTCACGCCCTGAAGGACGGAACTAAGCGATTGAAGCTCCTTGCTCAGGGCTTTCACAAAGTCTTTCGCATCCTTGGCTGTTCGAATGTACTGATGTACGACATGAAATGCAGCGCCGGCAAGACTCAGTAGACCAGCGATACCGGAAGCAATAGACAAGGGATCAGCCATCGTCTTCTGGAATTGCGATATGGTACATATCGCGACAAACTATCGACCGGCAACGATGGAGACAAATTTGAAAGGAGATGAAAAGAACCATGGCCAGGGAAACGATCTTATTCTTTGGTTGGGCGTTTACCCCGCCTTGGACGTTACGCCCGGTGAGGCTGTACACTAACGTCCCCAACCTACATCCGGACCACCCCCACATCCGGACCACCCAATTTCAATGCACTTAAATCTCAACCCATGAACTTTAATTATTTGATATATCAATTACGATGCCACAATAATGCATTCTTCACTATTACTGGGGTTTTTAGAGTCGCCGAATTTATCTGCGCTAATTTTAATTTTACCAGCTTCGATTTAAGCCCTCCGAATAGCTTTAATCCCGGCGAATTTCGAATTCGGGCTTATTTTAACCTTTTTACGTTTCTTAGCTTTATTAGCATTAACCTGCGCTTATAATGCTTCGATCGTACGTTGCGTAACGGCTAATTAATAATCCTTTTTATCGAAGCCTTTTTAAATTTTCCGAAATAGCAATCGTTACGTATGCGTATCGTTATTAAATTTGCTAAATAATTCGAATTAATTACGTAACTTATTCCTTTTTTTAAGAGTAATTTACGTAACTACTAATATATTTGCTATTTATTTTTTATTTACTTTATTATCTAAAAGTCTTTTATAGCCTTATACGGTTTATTTTGCGGAAATAATTATATTTTTAAATAATAAAAGGCTTATTAAAGGCTTAGCTATATTTATAAGCTATAATTTAATTTATTTTTAGCTATTAGTAATATTTTTGCTTATTAGGGCTAATTTCCGTGCTTTGCTATAATATATTACGAAATTCCTTTTGCTTATAACGGTATTAGCATCTTATTTACTAAATAATCCAAGTTCTTTTTTATACGCCGCTTTAAAAAAGCCGAAAACTAATTAATTAAAAGGCTAAAAAATATATAATATATAAGGCGGCAAAAAAAATAAATATATTTTATTCGTATAATATTTATATATAAAATCCGTAGTTTTATAGCTTTTATATTTATCTAAAATAAATAATTTAACTTTTTAAAAGTTTTTTAGCTAAATATAAAAAATAAAAATTTTATTTAATTATTCGAAAGCTATAAAATCCGAAATTTATCTATTTTTTATTACCGTAAATTTTTAGGATTCGTACGGAGTTAAATTTAATAAAAATTATTATTATTAAACGGTTTTGCCTTTATATATTATTAATAAAGGTAATATTTTGCTAATCGCAGAAATATATTTAATAAAAAACGTTTACGCACGCGATCTAAGCTGTTTTTTTCGAATAAAACGCGTTTTTAATAATCCGAAAATAAGCTTATTTAACCCCTTTCCTTTAAAAATACTAATTTCGTTTATATTATATCGATTTATAGCCTTAATAGCCATAATTTTAAATATAGCGAAGTGCTTAAATTATTGCCTAATTATATTAATTAAGGCTTTATTAACGCGTTATAAATTAATAGCTTTGCTTTTTTAAACTTTTATAAATAGGTTCCTTTTAATAAAAAATTATACCTAATTTTTCCTAAAAGGTTAAAAATCCTTATAATTTTATAAAACGCGCTTTATAAACTCCTTTAATTATTAATAAATTAAGGGCAGCCTTAAATTAGCCTAAATTTTAATTTATTTAGCTAAATTGCTTTTTTAAATTATAAATAGCCTTTAATAATCGGAAAAAGCAATATTTTTTAGCTGCGCTCCTTAAATGCGACGTATAAATATAATTTTTGGCACTCTTAATTTATATGCGGCTTAGCGAATATTTTTACCCTAAAAAATAGCCTCGAAAGCGTTATAAATATTATTTTTTATATATTAAGGCATTTATAAATAACTAAGCTATATATTAATAATTAAAGCAATTAAAGTAATATTAATGAAGTTATTTAAAATTAAAAGTGGTGGTTAAAAATGTGGTGAGGGATTTTCAGGGTGGTCCGGATGTGGGGGTGGTCCGGATGTAGGTTGGGGACGTTATCTGCCGTTTCGACAAATGCGTAATACGCTATGCCCAAGGCAGAATTATCACCAGAGCAAGTCTCTCTGTCTGTCCATAACAGATGCCAGAGTGCCTGGATGCGATGTGAAAATACTGGTGGATATTCCGTGCCGCGAGGCAGAATAGAGGCTCGCCTGCTGATGAGGGCTTCCATTGAGGTACTGTGGAACTTATAGAACCGGCTGGGCCAGACTTTGACTATGTTGCAATCATTGAGAAGTGGAAAAACTCACGACCTTTGTTCGCAGAGATAGGATCTCTAAGTAGGTAGCGACGGTATTTGCAGAGGATTCGAGCTCGCGGTCAACTACATGTCGGCCATAGTTTTGACGACGCAACAGTGAACCCGATTATATCGGAGGGCAATACTGATACACTCGTCTCGTATAGAATTTGATATATACCTACACAATGGCGAATATGATATCAGTTTTGACTATAGATGTCCACAAGTATAGTCGCCTCGACATCCGCTAACAAGAATGTAAATTGAACAGCATATGAAATAGAAGACGGGGCTGTGGCAATCGCAGCAACGCTAACGGACAGTGCACTAGAGAAGATAAGCTTAGCTTGAATCCAAGCATGGTTCTGAATAGCACATTGTGATACGCACAGGTGAAGTGGGAAAAAGCTAATTGAGAATATACTCTTATGCAAAGATTCGTTATCGCATCAAACCTTTGTATATTTTGTTCACAAAATAATGATATGGATCTTCTTGCAACAAACAAATGTTGCTACTTTACGCGACCTGCGAGCAGACTCGCTAAACGAAACAGCCGGGTATTCTCGCTTACACTGCCCCAGTTTGTCTCTACTACTGGTTATTGCTTTTTAGTTGACCGAGAGTGCTAGTCTCACTAGCTGCTCTGCACTGTAATCAATTTGAGCGTCGCCAGTGCATCATTACGACGCTCTATTGCCTGGTGCATATTCGAGTTGCAGGTTCGAGTGGATTGAGAACACGATTCTCTTTTCTTTTAGGTACGCTATTTTCAATACGAGTGCGTAATTTGACCACACCCGAAGAAGATTATCGAATCGACGAAACCTATACACATTCAAACAAAGTACAGTAATCAAACGACAGTGCGCTTCCCATGGCGTGCCTCGACCGACGCCTGGGGGAGATCAGTTATTATGACAACCCAACACCTAGTTTTTGCCAGTCCAATGAACCTTGTACCCAATGGCCAGTAATCATTGTCCCGTTATCCTAATTAATGCCTTGGCGTGACCGCTCGTCTCAAAATTCTCAATATCATGAAGTAGCAACAGAAATGTTCATGAAGCCTCCTTCTGCTCGTAGATGTTTGATATCACATAATCGCCTAACCCGAAAAGCAAATCACCCCGATGTTGTCACGGGCTCGAGCATTGTGTTGATTTCGCTCATGATTGTCTCGTCAGCAGCCATACTGCTGATGATCTCTTCCTGGGTAAAGCCGACCCAGAATGAAGCATTGTTTTGCTGAGCAGCCTTCTTGGAGCGGAAGATTTCCTGCGCAACTCCCTTGACTTGACCGGATGCCCGCGATGCTGCTGACCACACCGTGCTCAGCTTGTTCAGAGCTCCAATGTTGAGACGGATCTGCTGCCGCAGGTCGTCATCATTCTGCACAAACCAGAGAGCCCACTTGCTCAGATGCACAATCGAAGACAGCGTGAGAACACAGGTGAAGAAATGCGTATGACACGTTATTGGCACAGCGTAGGTCACCATTTTGCTAATCTCGGCCGCCGCGGTGACTATATGCCGTGTGTGGGTGTTGAAAGTGTCGCCACTACGGACCATTTGATATGGCGCACACGAAGTTACATCACGTGCAGGCGAAGAGTCTAGCTGTGAGAGTGGCTGATGGAGCATGATGGAGCAACTAGTTTTAACTCTGTTAGCAAAGACATTTTGACACGTGCACCAGAAACTTACGCGTGGTTGATCATCCAAGCCTGGAACATCATCTCATCTAGCTTCATGTCCTTGTTAAGGCAATCCCGCTTTGAGGCCGGCAGATGCATACGCCAATTGGACAGGAAATTTTCCACCCGGTCCACATTATTATCACCAGGAAAGACACTCTCTGGGAGACGCATCATGCGCCCAAGATTTCTGATGGATGCAACTCGATAAGCAAAAGAGGAGAACTCATACTCCTCGCCGCTGAAGATATCGTTATCAAAGTCGTCAAGGTACAATGGTCGCGGAATCGTCTATACAATGTTAGTGGATATCAGCTGCTGACAATGGTCTGTTACATACCCCTGCGAGATATTGATGCTCTTCACACGGAAGTCCTGCATCAGCAACAATGTCGAAGAGCAGGAAGTTGGTCTGTCGATGCACGCCAGCAACCATGCCGTCCACAACAAAGAGATCCCACCAGGTCCGTCGCCAGCTCTCCTCTATCACCGGTATACCCTGTCCGTGTATGGCTGCAAACGATCTCTGGAAGAGACCAATTTCAATCGCGATGCGCTCCGCATCTGACAGTATGTCTCTTGCCCTCTCTTGCTGGCAACTTCCATCCAAGCCGACCAAAACAATGAGCATTGCTTGTACGAGGAATCCATCCTTTGGTACGTCTTTGGCATACATGAGACGCATGGCTTCTTCGAAAAAGGTTGCACGGGTAGGTCCGACTTCAAAGTATAGCGAGCCGGCCCATCTCATGGCTGCTAGCAGATGCTCGATATTTCTTTGCTCGGCGATCCGCAGCAGGTAGTCTTTTGGCAAGACAGAAGGGTGGCCCGGAAAGAAGTGGAAGTAGAATGAGTCGATACAGCGCTCCGCTATTGTCTGCGGCGCCTTTCGTGGGTTGATGTCAACCAGGGCCCCATTCGCATCCAGGTATGGTTGTCTGTATATTTGGAGGCCAGAGTAGCTGGGAGTAGCCCCAATGGTTGACATGGGCGTCTCTGGTATTCCGAGACCCGGATTGAAGGCAGATAGGCTGGGTGCTGCTGGAGTTGCGACGCCTGCACCCAGTAACATGGGACACGACTCATTACTGCCATTGGAATTTGGTGACCCATCATCAGATGCGGCAGCGTGCCTCTTGTTCGGGTTCTGGGTTCCATTTCTCCTGGGTCCCTTGTACCCACGCCGCGAGGCTACGTACTGACATATTGACTCGCTTGCTTGACAGCGTGCGCATGGGTTACCACCATCGCATTTGAGATGCTTGGAGCGCTTTTCAGGGTGATATGAATGTCAGTGAGGGGGGAACTTTACACAATATGTAGTCATCAATCGCATAAAAATGACGGCCACGATGGGGACGGGAACATGTGTCTCTGAGCGGGGACTCACACAAGCAAGACATGCGGCCGGGACGGTTGGGCCAGACTGTTTTGGTTCTCCGGTGGCAGAAGGTGCGGCTGTTGTCGTTGTTGCTGCTGCTGTCGCTGCCGTGGCCGTGGCCGTTGGCGGAGGCGGAGGAGGCGGCGGCGGGCCGCGCAGAAGCTGTGCAGTGATTGGGACCTCTCCACCAACGCCGTTGCTGCTACTGCTACTATAGATGGAGGGCGCGCCATGGTGAAATTGGTTTGGGCCCGGTTGGGCATAGTCGGGAGACGTATTCATGGCGCGCGCGGGCTCCGGGCGACAGACTCCTCAGGTTGCGGTGCTATGGGCCACAATCGACCGACGTTCGACAGAAGATCTTCTGCTGCGCAAAATGATGAGACGAAGGAAATGATGGGATTGAAAAAGCCGCCGGCAAGGAATACCTTGGGTATCTCTTGGTTGTAAAACGACGCCGGGCAGGAACCATTTTGGGTCTTTGGAGGCCGCGGGGCCACTGGACTAAACCTTCTTTTTTCTTCTCTTCGTCCCAGGACTTGATTGACCTACATTACTTACCTACCACCTCCCTTGTTGGAGGGGCGGCGGCGGCAGTAGTACGTACAGGCCAGTACAGATCGGCCTGTCCAGGGTGAACCCCTGGTCACATTAGCGACAAGACATGAATTTGATCCATGATCCCCCACGTTGTTTAAGAAAAAAAAGTAGTATTCGGAATACCTGAGCGACACCAAAGGCAACGCTGCATGTTTCTCTCAGCTCAATACCTACCAAACCATGTTGCCATCCAAGGTAATTATTGTCACCTCCTTCTTGTTCAGGGCACACTGCCTCGAGCAAGGTACAATCGTCGCACACCTCGTAAACAAGTCGGGTATCCATCATATTCAGCTCTGAGATAAAAGGATTGTGCAGGCATTGTCTCATTCTGTAAAGTGAAGCAGAAGGATCTACAATGGGCCTGTCTGCTTGCTCAGCTCTTCCTATATTTGGGCGTATAATCGGTCGCTGCTTCACAGGATGGACGAATGAACGAACGATGGGTCACTGCGTCGACGAAGCGAACGTATCGCGTAGTGCCATCCCACATCCTACACCACCCGCATAAACACTGCGATCACTAGGGCTGGCTGGGGGAAAACATTCTATGTAGGCTAATCTTGTCAAGGCTGCTAGCGGCGATATATATTCTATGATCTGATGCGCTGCAATCGGTGCCATCCCTAGTCCGTACCCTCTTGAAGCATTGCAAGTTTGGTAGCTGTCGAGGCCGACCGTAACTTGACACGAAATTTGATGTTACCGCGTCATGTCGCGATAGTAGAAAAAGTACCCTGAGCCTGTATATTCCGTGAGCTGGTACTTAGGCACTACACTACAACAGCAGGCCCTCTAAAGGACAGTCGGCAGGGTCAGTTTAGTTTTCAGCCCACTCAGCGTATGCCAAGGGTGCACTTGGTTGCTGCTACGTGCCAGGGGGTGGGCGAGTGCATGGTCTCCTCGGGCCTCGAGCCAGCCAATTGTTGCACCAGGGACCGCGCGGGAGATGCACTACGACTGCTAGAAACTTTGATCAAATCGATCCCGAGATCTGTCTGATCGAACAAGTAAGGCCTAGGCAGGGCATCCGAAATGGCAGAGGCGCAGGGTCGTCGCCCATATGCATGGGGTGGAACTCGCGAATCATCATCCATTTCGTTGCCATCAAAAGGAGATCCACCTTGGAACAGGCTCCGGGACGCACCTTTCGCACCACTGCCACGAGTCCTGATCTCTGTCTTCGCTTGTTGGGATACGAGACGAGACCATTTACTGAACGCGTACAGAGTGTGTGATACTGCAGCATGCATCATGCTGCGCAAACTCCGCAGATGACATTGCTCCATTCATGGGTCGAAAGTTGGAGTCCATGGCCAGGACTACATAATTGCGACTGTCAAGTACTTGTGTTGCAGGTATGCAGTCCAGATAAAGTCCCATCAAGTGATCCCTTGAACAAAAAACCCCCATGTTACCAATCTCCTGGATGGACAGGTCATGAGTATTTCGTACTTTGGTGAAATGTGGCGACGAGATCTTCTGAATTGCTTTCGGGAGCATGGGGGGTTACGGGGCCGGGATCAATCATCGCCGCTGCAGGTTGGCTGGTACCGACCACGAGCAATTCGTGAAACCCCGCTCACCCCGACACTAGAGAAAAAAAAAGAATCAAGATCCAATGATCAACTAGCGACAAAAAGCAATGATTTGTGTAGCCTCGGTGTGACATGGCGAACTTGCCAGTCGTGAACAAGATCTGTACATTTGCTATGTACTATCTGCCTTGGGGAGCCTTTTTATTCTGTACTCTGTAGACATGCAGTAATGTTTGGGTTGTGCTTGTTTCTCCATGCTTTATTTAAGAATAATATTTTCAGTAGTGTGATGGACAGGTAGCCTGAAGGTACAGCTTACTCGAAGGTCGTTATGCTAACAACAGAACGCCAACGACCTACTACATTTATCAGCTAGGTACCTAGTGTCCACGGGTGCTGATGATATGATATATCCATGGATCTATGTATTCGCGGTACAAAAAGAGCAATGCAAAGAAACAACCATTGAATTTTGGGGAAGAAATCATGACGTGAGCTGCATTTGCTGCTGGCATACAGAATTTGTACTCATGCTATCAAACTGTCTGCCGTCGATAATAAATACCAAAGGTGTCTCTTGCTAAAGAAACACAGTTATAGCCATCAGACTGCAGCTGGGTACACTCAGAGCTCCGTTTAGTGGAGCTCGCACACTGTGATCTTCGCCTTCCACGCCACGCCGCGGCAAAGACGGGAACACACCCACACACCGTCATCAATTACCCATCGACTCCGAGTTTACATACCTTGGAATACTACTACCCATTACAGCCGCATGTATGTCAAAACTCGGATGTCTACGCTAGAATGACTGCCCCGGCCTCTGAATCGCCCCCTGCCAAGCGGCCACGCGTGGTGAGCGGACGATGCTACATAGCATGCATCAATTGTAAGCAGCGTTAATTAAAGGTGCTTACCACATTTCCTAGGTCGCAATCTCATCAGTTCCGCCAAGTTAGGTATCTGATGCTGATGAGCCCAGTAATATTTTCAAGGACAAACACCAAAGCTACAGAAACTATACCAGGACTAACGTTGCCAATGGGTGTCTAGCGCCGACGCATCGTCTTGGGAATGTCTCATTGAAGATCCTATCACGAGCCTTCATCGTCCCAAGACTACATTCGCTCCCTGGGAGGCCCGTATAGCATACATAAAAGGGCACCCACGGCCTCAAGTCACCCTCGACCATTTAGACGCGGTATCTCCTCCTCCACCTGGCACCCAGCACGATGATGGAATAGCCAATGGGGCGCGTAGCGTCGATGATGGCGCAGCAAATAGCGATATTAAGCAATAAGGTGGCCCTTCTCTGCCTTAAAACAGCTAGCGGCCGTAAGCCGCAATATCTCGGCTTATCTTCTGCCGTGCATTTCTCGGGCGTAGTCAATTCTACACTGGACTATCTCGGAACAGCGAAAAGCATGGTTCCGAATGCGGCAACGCGAGCGACGCGGGACATCGCAGCAGATATGTTACCGCTATCGATTTCCGCAGCCTAAAAGCGATAGGCAAGCTTTCCGAAGCAAATTTCAAAATATATACCCCGAATACATATTCTTATTATTAGATGGTGGATTATGGTTCCCATACACTGGGGTGTGCTTAAGCACACGGATTAACGCTATAAAGTCTAAATAAATATACGGGACCTTTCGGGGATTAGCCGGGGCTATTTAAATAAGCGTATATTTTATTAAAATTAAAAAGCGTAAAATATAAATTAATATATTATATAATTAATATTTATATTAAATTAATTTAAATTTTAATAAAAAAGTATTATTTTATGTTGCACGGATGTTAATACAGCATCGTATAGTGCATAAAATTAGCTTTATAACGCATATCATATCGTTATAACAGCTATAAAACCCATCGAGATATCGTTAAATAACGATATATGGGAAATCAGTGGAACTTACCCTGTACTGACCTACAGTTAGTACAGCACCACTTACAGCCACTGTTCACAGTGCTGTACAGTCAACAAGTCATTACAGTTGACTGTTGTGGCCACTATGGCCACTGGAACCCACTGGAATCCAGTGGAACGTTCCACTGGATCAAGCCCCACTAAGTGTGGCCAGTGCACCTGGCCACAGTGGTCCCAGGGTTACAGGGTAACCCACACCATAGAAATCCATAGATTTCGATGGTTTCTTCGATTATAAATCAACCTTATTACTAATTAACTTAATTATAAATCCAGTTTATTAGTAATATATTTTAGAATGTTCTTATTGGTTGATTTTATGGGTATAAAAGGTAGTTATTCCTCCGTAGTTAGTTATTCTTTCCTTAAGCTTTAATAAATCAGTTATACAGCCCTATAACTACCCTCCACGGCCTGATTCTACGAATTATATGAACGCTTCCCTGTGCCTAAGTTTATGATCCACCAATCATACCTTAGAACATTTTAATTAAAAATTAAAAATTTTAATGCCTTCGCCGAAATTACGAAAATAATAATTACGAAAAAAGCCGGAATCGGCTTAACGATATCGCTAAAAATAACCTCCGATTAAATTAATTAAAAATATACGTTTTAAATTTAAGCATAAATTACCGGATTAATTAATTACCTTAAAAATAAAATAATTTTAATTAAATTTTTAATTAAACCGGATATTAAAAAAATTAAATATATAAAAACCGCGGCTATTACCTTTAAAATTATAAATATAAGCGACGATCCGAGCATTTAAAATAAAAAAAATAAAAAATAAACGATTACGGATTTTATTAAAAAAAATTAAAAATTATTTAATTTTAATTATTATTAATTAAGGTGGTGCTTTCTTACTAGAGTTTAAATTAATTTAATATAAATGTTAATTGTGTAATATATTAATTTATATTTTGCGCCTTTTAGTTTTAATAAAATATACGCTTATTTAAGTGGCCCCGGCTAATCCCCGGGAGGTCCCGTATATTTATTTAAATTTTATGGCGTTAATCCGTGTGCTTAAGCACACCCTAGTGTATGGGAACCATAATCCATCATTTGACAATTATAATTATTATAAAATAAAAAAGGCTATATACGCTAAATAATATACGGCGATTAAAGAAATCACAAAATAAATAATAATAACGATTTTTTTAAACTTTTTTTTACGTATTATTTAATTAATAAGCTTTTATATAAATAATATAAAAATTTAAAGGCTCGCTATAATAAATTAGCTATAAATAATAAAAAAATAATAATAATAAAATATTTAAAAGCTTTTAAACTTTAAAAATATTAAAAAAGCTATTAATTAAATTAATAAATAAAAAATAATTATAGCGAAAGCTTAAATAAAAGAAATAATTAAAATATAAAATAATTCGGCTTAAGCTATAAATTTCTTAAATATAATTATTTTAATTATATTATAATAAGCCGCTTTTTATTAAATTTACAAAAAATAAAATATTTTAAATAAAAATTTAAAATATCGGGTAATAAGCAATAATTTCCGTAAAAGCTTAAATATTTAATAGCTATTCTAAAGTATAATTAGTGGATTATAAACTTAAGCATAAAAAAGCGTTTATACGATTCGAAGAATTAGGCCGTAAAAGTAATTATAAGGCTATATAACTAATTTATTAAAGCTTAAGGAAAAAATAACTAATTACAAAGGAATAACTACCTTTTATATTTATAAAATTAATTATAAAAGAATATTTTAGAATATATTATTAATAATTAGATTATAAGTTAAATTAATTAGTAATAAAATTAATTTATAATCGAAGAAACTATAAAAATCTATGGATTTTTATAATATGGGTCACCTTATAACCCTGGGATTATTATAGCTAAGTGTATTAGCCATATTTAATAAGGCTGGATTTAATGGAACGCTTTATTAAATTTAAATAGGTTTTAATGGCTATAATAGCCATAATAATTAATTATAATAATTTATTAATTATATAACACTATAAATAATAGCTATAAATGGTGCTCTATTAATTTATAATTAGTATAAGGTAAATTTTACAAATTTCCTATATATCGTTATTTAACGATATTTCGATAAATTTTATAGCTATTATAACGATATAATATACGTTATAAAGCTAATTTTATATATTATACGATGCTATATTAACATCCGTGTAACACTTTTTAAGCTTTTTAGGGTAAGCGTTAAAAATATTTAAATTAACGAATTTCTAAATTTTTTAAGCTATTACGTTAGCTCGAAAAATAATAAATTAATTTTATTAGCTCGCTTAATTTATAAGGCGCATTATAGCGAATAACGCCGTATTAAAATTATTATTTTTTATAATAAAGCGTAATAATTGTTAAATAGTGGGGTTTTTACCATTACATTATAAAAGATTAATTTTTAATTATTATGCGCTTATTAGCACTTATCTAACACACCTTTTTAGCTTGGACGTTTTTTACGGGCGAGCTAAAGAATTTAGTTTTAATTGCATTTTTGCTCCGTTACGCTATTGTTATTTTTTTAATTAAGTGGTCGACACTTAATTTAAATTTATAATTTTTACGCTTAAATTTTAATCGGCGGAGGTAGTAAGACTCTTAATTATTAAATGGTGGGGTTTTTACCATTATATTATAAAAGATTAGTTTTTAGTTATTATGCGCTTATTAGCATTTATCTAATAATAATAATAATTAAAATAATTAAGAAAAAAAAGTAATTAAAAAGATAATAATTTATAAAATTAATTAAATAAAAAATATTTAATCCGCATAATTAAGCACGAACCGGGCTTATAATTTTTATTTAAGCCGATATATAAAAAGGGAATAAAAAACGAAATAATCGAAAAAGCATTAAAAATTATTTTAATTAATCTCTTATTTATAAAAAAGAAGTGCTAAAAAGCGATTATATACACACGCAGGTGATTTGCGGTGGGTATTTACTACGTTAATACGACAATTAAACCAGTTTAAACTCCAATATCAAAGCACCACCTTGCTCAATATAAATGTTACGGCATTGCTGGAGAAATCCTGGCAATGCTTATCACAAACTTGGTGACGAAGAGGCTATGGAGATATTGACTGACGAATGTCTTATCGAACGCCTGCACCGGGGATAAGGTTGAGTGCTGTCCACTATTCCATTGCCATTGCGATGCGCGGGAGACCGGCGAGTCACTGGGGTACTTCGTATGCACTCTTCCGTCCACCGTTCTTTTACCAACTATTTTCCAACCTTGGCTCACAAACGAGGTAAAATTGCCGCATCAAGACCAATCAAAGTGTTCACTCCTAGCGATCTCACTTTTTCAAAGGAAAACCGACATGCCTTATCGACAACAGCCGTTTCTTCCGTTGAATTCAAGGCGCCCCCATTTATCTTTCCTCGGGCACCCGTCGGAAATAAATCCAACAAATAAGCTATGCCCTTTCACTAGGCCACTTTTCGGTAACCCGGATCTATCGTCGTCAGCTAAATATCGGGATACCCGGCTATTTCCATGCCCTCGATGCAGGCGAGCTCTCAGTCAGGGAGACTAAATGCTATTAATAGGGACACTTTTCCATCTTAGATCAAAACAGCATCTTAATTAGTCATTCCAAAAAGCAAGACTTTGCCTGCAGCCAACTCATTGTTTCACGCGTGCCGTATGTTCGGTATGGAGATCCTCGTACTAGTTTTGTGAGGCGTAGGTAGGCATAATTTTGTTGACGTCTGCAAATGCCGCATCGCTGCCTTTGAAATGCGAGTAGAAACTTTCGTCAGAGGGTTGCTTATCAAACATGATGACTTGGCGGTACCCTGTGAGCCAGATGAAGGACTGTGCTGAGACCAAATGCCAACCAACTATGACGGTGGACTGGTACTTGGTTGGAATACTGTTGCCAATGACCACTGACTGCTTAGCGCTTCGTTGCGGTGACGAACATCGGCAGTTATAGTAACTGTTGGGCAGGCCTCGTTTGTATGTGCCGTGCGAATTGACGCTAGTTATCTGGTGTTGTCCACAAGCATCAATAACGATGGTTCGGACAAACAGATATAGTTTACTCGGCCTCGACCAATCATCAGCCTCCAGATTCTAGAGTGTAACGCTCACTACTACGCACGTGCATTGATGATTCTGTCCGTCCGCCCTGTCAATGCATGAATCGGGTTAGAGAATTTTATTTTGGTGATTCTATAGCTCGGCTTCCCCCAAGAACTTCAAACTTGCCATGAACGATACTTCAAACGTGCTTCTTCCAAGATCTTTCGCACCACTCCCAGAACTCCTTGGCTTTGCCCTCCGAGCCAGCCTGCAGGACATCCGCTCGCGGTGGAGGTTTAATCCGCCCAAAGGGCCAAATGTACGCTCCATTAGTCCCTTTATTCACCTCAGGCGAGAAGCCCGAAAACAACATGGTATATGCACCATACTTGGCATCATACAGGAATAGACCACGTATAAGCGCCAACATAAACCACCCAAATATGTCATATATGGGAGTGCTGAGATTCCCGGGATTCTGGCAAACACTCACGATTCCGTCTTTCCCCCACCTCCTAGCCCCCTCCACAGCAAGAAACCAGTTCCCTGCCTTGGCCGCACCATAGTCTTGCATATCATGAGTCGTCGGTTTCTCAACACGTGCAAAGTCTACACCGCCTTGTGGCGCGTTCAACTGAATTTGTGCAGATCCAGTCCAGACGACGCGCACACTATCCTTTGGTGCTGTCCGGGCCGCGGCCCGGAGCAGTGGGAGAAGCTCATTCGTGAAGAGCAAGGGGGCTACACAATGCGAGCCCATGTGAGCCTCGATGCCTTGCTTTGACACGCTGCCAACGGGATAACCACCACCTGCATTATTCCAGATAATGTCAAGACGGCTCTCTTGAGCTGCAAATGCAGCTGCAGCGGCCTTGATGGACGTGAGGTCATCAAGGTCGAGATGCAATGGTTTCAAGGTGGCAGGTGTACTGGGAGAGGGCGAGACGGAGGTGATCTCATTGATAGCTGTTTGTATCTTTTGAGGGGAGCGACCGGCCACATAGATGGTAGCGCCGGTTGGATAAAGGAGCTTCACGAGCGCATAACCGATGCCTACGAATTGTTGGTCATTACACCGGCTCCGCTACAACATGCCCTCGGAAGCGTACCTGAATTCGCACCAGTTATGATAAACACCTTTCCCACCTGACTCCCTGCGCCGACATCCTTCTCGGTAAAAGTAGGTGCTGGTGGATAAAATTGCTGCCACAAGGTGTATAACGAAGACATGGTAGGTCAGGGTTGTCGCACGTGGACAAGCTGGCAAAGTACTAATGGCGGAGCTTCCCATTTAAATAAGAGAGAAAAACCTCCGCACTTTACAAAACGCCACCTGATATACCCATGTAACGAGGCACAAAAGATTATGCATCCATACCCACGAAAGCTAACATGGGTTTAATAGTACGATGAGATAAGGCTACCATCCTGTCAAAGTATCACATTGCATTCCCAGAGATTGAATCAAGAAATGCCGTGAAAGTAGAGATACTTTCAATAATCATATGATGATGTCGAAGCTTCCCACGACTGCGTATTTGACCACATATCAAGATAGGCGATTGACCTCATAGCACGGAAAGTCTAATGAATTAGGTTAGATGGGTTGCCAAAAGTTCTGCTGAGTCAGCTATACGAGCTATGCATCGATTATGTGGAGGAGAGCTGCCTGGCTCATCATCCCTTGGGTTCTTGGCCCTAAGGTCGGCCATTCGAACAATGTTAGGACTGTCCCACCTTGGTGCTTTGTAGGTCTTGGTTTTGTCAGCTTTTGGTCGATGAGGCTGAAGAAAAATCCTTCAAGGTCAGCCCAGGTTCTTTCTGCTCTGACATGCAGCTCAGTAGAGATTGTGGATAATAGCCGGATGCAACGGGTGTAAGTGGCGCAAAGTTACAGGGCATTATCTTGAAGCCAAGCGTTGTTAGTCATCTTAAAGGAAGCGAGAGTGCGAGTTAGATAATACCAGTCGGGATTAGTCAGAACTGCATAATGCTGACTTTTGATCCGACTGGTGCGTCGGGTTTAATTGTTGTGATGCTACATGTGTGCTCAATCGGTAATCTTGTATTTTAGCATACCCTGAGTACCCGGCAGCCGAGTTAAATTTGCTGAGTACATAATGTATAGGTGCGGTGATATACCATCCCAGTAGCCTGTCAAGAGAATGCTAAATGCTTGACGTGGTCTAATCAACACAGGCTTGGAACCCAGACTAGTCATCATGCACTCAACACTGCATGCCTAGTACGTACGTAGTTGCCATCAATAGCCTGGACTACTGGCAAGACTGCAGTACTCACAGGTGATGCAAGGGTTTTGCAGGATTTGGATCCTTAGATTGCCGTCAGGGTTGAGCATTCGATCTGGCGAATCGCACTTGGTGGATGCGAGCTCAGCTCATGGCATAAAGGATCCCGGAGCCGAGCTGATCCTCGTGTGCTACCGAACGGTTGACCGTGTGTGTGTAGGAATTACAGTGACTTGGGTATTAAGACCAGGTTCCTTACGTACTATACTGGGCATAAGGGCTACTAATACACCAAAACTGAGCAATCCCTATACCAGGCACAGATAATCAGTACCGGAAACTAGATCATTCGTCCTTGATCCATTGTCAAATCGAAAAACCTTCCGAATATGGTCAAGCGTGTGCTTACTGAATACATATCCGTTATGCGAGTTGCGTCAAGAAGGAATTTGACAGGGAGGGGTAAAGTACCGCTACGTGCTGTTCATCGCCTTGCCAAGCAGGCGGATGGATTCCGCTAATAATCCCTACCGCCATGTTTCACAAACTTGTAGGGATAAAATCTGACGACATGTCGTGTAACGTCAAATTCTTAGAATTGACAAGTTTATAAATGGGGGGCTCCGCGCTGCTGACTTTGAGTTCCAGAAGATTGCCTTTAGTGTAAAAAAACAAGTACTGTAAGCTTGGGCCCCATCTATTACCCCCACCGATCAGAACAGCCATGCGACAAGGGGAACCGACGACGGCACGCACCAGCTGTACCACATGCAAAGGTGAGTAAAAAGATCAGATTTTCACCAGAGAAGCAAGACAGTCCTTACCTCGGTCAGGTCATGGCATCGATTGTGATCGCGCCAAGCCAAAATGCGCAAACTGCTCAGTATCCAATCGGAAATGCCAATGGTATCATGTCCTGTCCTGGCCGCGAGCCAATGATTGCCGCCGTGCCGTCGTCTCTAAATCGCCATCAACCACCATGAAGGGGCGAATCTCTAATGAACGGTTTGTGCACACGTCACACTCGGACATGGAGTTGTATTACAGCTTGGCAAGCTCTGTGCCGGTGCAAAACATGTCTTTGCTAGACCTGCCAACGCTCTGGAACGCCTCAGGCGTGGAGGCTCTTGACTCAGACCTGTTTGAGTACTGTATGTTGGTATTCATCCCGCGTAGCTACCTACATATCGAAGAGCCTAAGTGGGGGACTCTGTGCTGACAGATTCATGTCTACCACCCGCAGTTTGCTGTGTAGCGTCCGGATCCCTGCCTACCTTTGGCCACGACGCCACCGCCCTGAGAAATATCCTGGTCCGAACTGCACTGGAAGGGGAAACGGCCTCGGCTGCGGCCGTGCTCCAGGCCCTGCTGGCGTTTTCTTCGCTGCATCGCTACGGCCTACAGCCCCAAGCCCTCGAACTCAAAATCACTGCGCTGGGGAGTTTGGCAAAAGGGTCTTTCACGCCCGGTCTTGGCACGAAAGAGACCATCGAGCATATTGCCGCGGGCATGCTGCTCTCCTCCTTTGAAGTCCACCAGTCATCCTGCACATCAGGCCATTGGACTGGATACCTCGGTGGAGTCAAGACCATCACTGACATGTCCTCTGTCAAAACACTTCTGCAATTTAGCTCTGATGTGGCCGTATTGCTAGACTGGGTCCACTACCACAATGTTCTCGCCCGTTTTTCACTATTATACTGGAATGGAGAAGAGACGTCAGAGTTCCCGTCGACTCCCACAAATCTCCTCTCTTCACAAGTGCGTACATGATAAAGGCTATGTCACTACGCAATGTGCTGGTCTAACGTTGAATATTTCAGGACTCCAGTCTGCCGCCGCCCATCTACTCCATGATGGATCTGCTGTCACAAATATGTGATTTATCCAACAGCGCAATCCCGACAGGAACGAGCGACGAAGTGGATAACTACAAGGGTTTCTTGAAAGTGTTGGATTGGAGAATCAGGAGCCTACCTATCAAGGGTGACAACGATGGTGAGATGCTACTAATGAAATTATACCAGCTCGCTCTGTTGTTATTCCTCAACCGAAGCTTCGAAGGTCTGATCGACCAACCAATCAGGATGCAGCAGCAAATCGGCCAAGCCTTCGCCATCTTGCCCAGACTAAGTTCCTGCAGACAGCAATTTCCCATATATGTCATTGGCTGTGAAGCGCGAACGGATGAGCAACGGGCCGCCGTCCTCGACTTGATAACTAAGACGGAGAAGATGAGCACATCCCGATCTTTCAATCATTGTAGGACACTATTACAGGCTGTCTGGACTCAGGATGACCTCGCGGAGTGGGATGATATTAGCTATCGCGCCAAGTTAACTTTAGTCATAAGTCGTTGTGCAGTTGCCCCTATCTTCGTATAAGAAGAACTTATACTGTCCTGGCCAGCGGACCCATTAGCCTGTTGAGGTGCTAGATCAAAACCACCATCACCGGTTGTATCTCTGCGTTTTCACTCAATTTGCTATGCTTCCATCAATTCTTTCAGCACATATCACGACTGGTAATTAATACAAACAGATTCGCACTTCAATACAACCAGACTTGATGCAGCCCGAAATGGTCAGGCAGACAAGCCTGATCACGCAACTAACTGGATGTGTTGGTGTCTGGTTATGGTGTTCCGACAATGCATACGCTCATCAGATCAACACGGATATTGCACAACGCTTAGCCTGTGATTATGTTGTAATCTGCTGCCAGCTAACACAAATGTCGGTTCCGAGAGAGCGGTTCCCACGCGAGAGCCCCGCAGTATGCCTTGTCAACACATGTTTTCCTGCAAGGGTAAATGCTTGTAATAGTTTTGATCATCCTGGCTGAACGGTTCATAAGGAGACAGTAGTAGGTGCGCAATTAAGATTAGGTGATAGTGGCGGAAGAAACATAAAGAAAAAGGCTCCGGTGGCTCAGGTGAGCCCGAGCCGAAGTCCGAGAGCGGCATGAGGTTCATGAGCTGTTCGTTTAGCATTCACTCATTTTCATACACAGCTTTTCCATGTATCGTGGATACACCATCGACAAGTCGTCTAAATTCACAATGGGCAGACCGAAGAACAATCCATCGCCCGGGAGGAAGCCGTCGTTCGCCCCCTGTGTTCTCCTTTTGTGCCCTACGCGCAGCCACGCGGCCCAGCCGGCAAAGGTGCCACATCCATGAAATTGCCGTTTCTAAGAGTAGGAGCTGACACTGCATTATATAGGCTCACGTAATCTCGCCCTAGCTTACTTTTCTAATACACTGCAAGCTAATAGTTCAAGACATCTCCCAGGTTTGAATCCTCATAACAAATGTGTGAAATGCTACATGTGCGGCTATTTGTGCGGAGGCTTGAATAGGTGTGTAAACCCCCTGTCTAGAGATTGACAAGGGCGCAGAACCGCTTCCGTATACTCGGATCCACGGGCGCGGAACACACTCAGGGGGACATTTTAGTCCTGTTTAAAATAGGATTCACCAGGCTGTTTAATGAGTCAACACTAAGGGGAACGTGGTCTAGCAGCCAATGAGATGAAGACGTTGTTACAGGCCACTTGCAGCAACCACGCGTCCCCCCTGTCAGCATAGTCTGAAATCTCGCATGCTCTCACGTTGGTATTGATGGTCTCATTGGTAATCTTGCACTGAGGCTGAGGCCAATCAGGCTTGTAGGCCGCTGCAGAAACTAAGATTCAGCCCCAGCCCCATTTTGAACAGTCTCGCCTGAATAACGTTGAGCTGACAGGGCAGTGGCTCGGAAAACATCCAATCCACCACCAACGGTCGTGTTTGGAGGTGCCTTCGGGAGGAACAAGTGGCTTGCAAAGGATTCAGCTCATGATCAACTACTTTGTATGGATATGCTGAGTCGAGGAACAGTGGCTTGCAGAGGATTTTAGGACCATGGAAATCATCCAAGCAAGTAGAAAGGATCCAAGCACGTGGAAAACATTTGAGGCTCTGGGAAAGCTTCTGGTAGTGACAATGAAGGCTATAAGAGGAGACGGTATGCCAGTAATGCCTCAGGAGAAGAAGCATCTCATCCAAGGTTTCACTATCGTGGTTATAGTACACTAGAAGCTAGCAGCAATGGTCTCTCTCAAGGCTTGTGTCGTAGCCTATGGCTTCACGCTCCTGCCGGCTCTCGTGAGCGGCTCTCCTCTCGTGCCTCGTTATTTCCAGAAGCACTTGGTCTCGCGGTGCAACATATCCGCCATCACAGTCCAGTCTGAGCTCGGCCCGCAGCTTTCCAACACTTCCCTGATTTTCGGACCTGATAACGTCCTGTTCCCCAACGCGACTGAGAGATGGAATACTCTGGATACGCCTGATGTTCAGCTCGTTGTGCAGCCAGCAGCCGAGTCTGACATCTCAAAAATCGTGAGTTGTTCATAGGGAGGTCCTTAGGGATTTGATGACAGTGTCGCTGACTCCCGTCGCCATAGGTCAAGTACTGCAACGACAATAGCATCGAGTTTCTCGTGAGGAACCGTGGCCACGGAACAACAACTTCCTTGTCAGCCTTTTCGGGAATAGAGATCAATGTGGAACTGCTTCAGGGTATTACTATTCAGCCAGATGGGGAAACCGCTATCTTCCAGGCCGGAACATATGGTGCTGAGGTTATCAACACACTTTGGGACCAGGGTTACGTCACAAGTAAGTGTTCTGTCTGTATTTGGATCATTCGTCGCTGATATTGAATCTTCTAGCCACTGGATCTACGGCATGTGTTGGTTTGACTGGTCCATCACTAGGTGGTGGTCACTCGCGCTACGAGGGTCTCTACGGTCTAGTCATGGACAATATCGTACACTACAACATCGTCCTCGCAAACGGCACGGAGATTGGTGTCAATGAAACGAGCCACCCGGATCTTATGTGGGCCCTGAAGGGAGCTGGCCACAACTTTGCCATTGTTACCAGTCTTGAGAAGAAGATCTATCCTGGAGAGAACTGGCACCAGCACACCTATACCTGGACACAGGATAAGCTGGAGACTGTCTTTGAGGCTCTGAACACGTTCCACAAGAGCTACAATGGTACTACTCCTCCTAAGATGGGTGTCAACTACGGAGCCATCATCATGAACACATCCTACAGTACAACTGAGGCCGTCATGGAGTGGGGCTTCCAGTACGCCGGCCCTGGCGATGAGGCGGAAGCGCTCCTCGCACCCTTCAATGCCATCGGTGCTATTGCTGAAGATCAGTTTGATGCTTCGTACCCCACCATTGCTGGTACCACCAGCGAGACTTGCGGCTCCGCCAAGCGCGCCATCTCCAGCGCCATGACACTCGACTACAATATCACAACGGAACGTGCGCTATACGATCACTTCGTAGCCAAGGTGGCTGAATACCCCGACCTTGCTGCTACCGCCTACCTCTGGCACGAAGGCTACTCAACTGAGGGATACCAGATTATCCCCGAGGACTCCACCGCTTACCCTCACCGAGAGGAGAACCATCTAATGTAAGTTGTCACTTATCAGTGCCATGGGCCCGTGATGTTGTATCAGGTAATCAGGTAGACTAACATGCATCCCTATAGGGTCTTTTTCACCGAAGTTCCCGAGGACTCCGATCTGCTCGAACCGGCACTTGATTGGGCCAAGGAAGCAATGGATCTCTGGAACGGTGGCCAGCCCGATCGCCTGCCAAGCACATACGTGAACTACGCCCAGGGTGCTGATTACGAAACACTCGAGTCTGTCTATGGCTACGAATCATGGCGCTTGGAGAGACTGCGCTCACTCAAGGCTGAATACGATCCGGAGAACCGCTTCCGCTACTTTGTTCCTATCATTTCTGATGAAGCCTAGATTCGAACCCTTGTAAACTTTTTCATTTCGTGGGTACATGTACCTCTCTTGTAAAGACATTCATTCCATAGACATTCTCAGAGTTCAGCACTTATTAAAATTTCAAAGTTTTTATAGAAACATTCATAGAAATACTATAGCATTTCAGGTTGCATTCATGTTTTGTCATTTGAACGATGAATAAGTTTAGCCACTGACTAACATGAAATGCTTGTCACGGTGCACACCCCCAGGACCCCTTGATGGGAGATTTGCCAACATTGAAGCCGCCTGGACTTTGCCGCATGTACACTGTGCGTTATGTGTATTTATACATATGTATGTAAGCTGCCGATCCATCAGTTATGGCATCGGGGATTTATGATGGGGGTGTGGGGGTGCTGGGCCGTCACAATGCTTAAACAAGTATCTTTTAGACAAGGGTCGTTCATACCATTAATACCGATTGCGAACACTTGAGGCTGAAGCTTCTTGTCACCGCTTCGCTTCTCTATCAAAAAATCTATTGGCATCACAGGCGATCCGTTGCAAAGTACTGGTTCTCGGTGCCATTCTCCCCTGAACGCTCACCTGGCTGGCGACTGGAAATGTTGGCGCTGGATAAAACAGCGGTATGCACGGAATTCCTTTGCGCCCGGCAGCGATCCTACATTGGGTAAGCATTAAAAGACACATCTGCGTCGGTCCGAACATCTCCTAAGCCAACAATGACAGGATCTTTCTTCCAGGCTTCGGGTTCAGCATCCGGCAGACCAGGGTTGGCAGGTTTCCGCCCTATAAATGGCACCGATTTGACATGCAGGTCAGATCGGAGACCAATTCCAGGGCAAGTGGGTCGCCAGCGCTAGCGCTTACACTAGGCTAGGGCACCCTCAAAAGAATGCAAGTACCATATGTATTATGGACATAATATACCTAGCTCACTTTTTAACGGATAAAAGCATAATGTACAGTGCCTTCTACATTTTCGGTTATTCAGGTGACGGATAGGAGAATCCTTGGTAGGTAGTATTTTCTCGAAACCATCGGATTCCGACAATCCTTTGATATTGATACACAAAGTCATTCTATTGTACCAAACTCGATTTTAGCTTTTTGTTGAGTGGCAATGGACTCCTTGCTTCTTGTGCAAATGTGCTTGCTCTGAAAAAGTACCAGCCCACAATCATTTTTACGCCTCATTCCATAATCATGTTTTATGACATCATGCTCGGCGTTTTTGAAAGCTGTTGGTGGTAGCCACGCTTATTCTGTTTCTACGAAAGCATGCAGATCAGAAAGCTTACATAGGCGGCCAGATATCGGGTCGAAAGTGCGGAGCATATACCCTTGTCGTTGCGCTGCATACTTGTATATTGCTACTTGTCATAGACCCCACCCTATTGTATTTTCCTAGGCTTGACACCACAGTTGCTGTATAAAGAGACTTTGGTTCCAGCCTTGCTGTCAGCGAGTTAGTTACCAAGTACCGAAGAACTTTACCCTTATTAAAAATAAAAATAAAATGACCGAAACCGTCCTCGTCATCGGTGCAACGGGCCACATTGGCGTCTCAGCCGTCATTGGTGCCCTGCGTACCAAGCGCAACGTCCTGGCCGTCGTGCGCAATGCGGCCGCAGTCGATAAGCTGTTCCGCCTCGCCGGGACCCGCGACGGCATCACGACCGTAGAGGCCGACATCACGTCCGAGCATGGCTTACAGAGTGTCGTCGACAAGGTCAAAAATGGCGAGCTGCCGGCGTTTCAGCACGTGTATTCCGCGGGTGAGTAACTCGAGCTTGGTCGATGATCGAGGCGCTGACATGACAAACTCTAGTCGGTGGAGTAAAGACTACCACGCCACTGAAGGATCTCAGCATTGAGGACTTCCGCGCGAACATGTCCATCAATTTTGATACGAATTTCTGTAAGTCTTCCCTGTTTTCTTCTTCGATCCGCTGCAGCCGCTGAACCGGATAGTCGCGTACCGCGCCACGATTGGCTACTTGCTCTCTCAGTCCAACCCAACGACCTACACGGTCATCACGGGCGCGATAGGCGATGTAGGCATTTGGCCAGGTCCTGCCATGTCACAGGGTGCGCTCTACTCGCTGGGAATTTCGGCAGAGCTAGAGAATCGCGACACCAACGTCCGTTTCAACGAGATGTACTTGGCCTTCCCCGTCATGGTCGATGAGGAGGCTGTCAAGGAGGAGGCTGCCAAGATGGGCGTCGTCAAGGCCAGCGACTTTGCGCGCTCTTATGAGAACCTGTTAGCCAAGGACGAGATCAAGGGCTCAAGAATCTTCATTTTTACTCCGGGAGATATTGACACGCTCAGGTGGGAGAGTAAGGCGTTCAAGGGTCCTCCGTCGTAGAGTGATATCCCCAAGCGCTATCAGTTTATGTCAGTGTGTATGGTGAAAACCATGTATTGAGCCAATTGCAGGAGTGGTCTACGTGAGATGGCACAGGGTCAAGCCGATATCATATAGGGACCTTATCCTCACTACGGACACGTAAAATCAAGTACAACTTGTTTCAACTCACGGTCTTAGGTCATCATATAATTCTGATCTGACTCACAAAGAGCAGTATGCATCATGCACGAAATGATAAAGAATGCATTACGCCCGAGTAAGAATTGTAAGCATATCCTTGGTTTAGAAAGTCAACTGACAACAACACGCTGTAATATGCTTAAGCAAACTTCAATCTCAATATGATGATTTTTTGGTTCTCAGGGACCCTTTGCTTCAATTTGAGAAAGGTTGCTACACATACATTTCTTCCTAGAGACGTACTCGGTTCAGACAAGTACACTCCGGTATCCAAGCCCGTTTATGGAGACCATAACATACGGAAGTGTCAAAACAAATGTATCACGACAACAGTTCATGTCCCTGCATGGTTGTAACGCACTGTAATAAGTTCAAAAGGGGTATGAATAATTTCCATGCACTGTACACCTAGCAGCCTACTATCTTGTGATATCCCTGTGGAAGGTACCGCGAACGTAAGCTACTCCAGAAAACATGGTAGAAGGAGACCTTGGCTTTGCCTGCGGATGATGAACACTGCTACTGCCTTCTCCAACTTGGCCGACTATGTCACTGACTCCTCGCTCTGCGTGAATGTATTTGAGCTGAATTCACCCTCAGCGGCTATCACGAAGTCTGGGCCCCAGTCCGACTCGTTCTCGGATGATTCGATAGCGCTATACATGAGAACTTGGGGATTTCAGGGGGGCCCTTCTTACGTCATCCATATTCTTTTCGATGTAATGTGACGCAAGCTGTTTCAATGGGGTTGAAGGTCTAAGATTGGGCGAATCACCAAAAATGGTCAAGCCTTATTTGTGCACCGTGAAACCAGCATCAATCATATAACATCCGAATCGTGCATACGCAAAGGCTCATCAGGGAGGACCCTGACGTTGTAATTAATGCACTGAGTACATATGAGAGCCATTAAGCACCGCCAAATGAAGAAGAAACATTCAAGCGTGCATATTATTTTCATATGCTTCAATTTAACGTCAATCTACTAATACGTTGTCTATAACAAGTGACTAGAAGCTTCATTTATTTTTGGTACACTCGGGGTAGAAAGCTTTGTACCTGTGGTCACAAAGGGTTAGCTTGCTCGGGCCTACACATGAGGAAGTGCCACGCAGTCATGGACGAAACTAGGTGCTTACCCTAAGAATTCCCGTGCAATCCAGGCAAGCCCATTGTGTACCCAAATGAGCAGCCAAAGAGGCATCCAGTTCAGGAACGGCGGGCACAAGATTGATGATGCTTCGTGGAAAAACAAAATGAGCTGGAAAGGTGAGGGCTGGAGGCCCTCGGAATCGCAATCGGCGAGGTAACCCGCAAGGTTGCGCAGGAAGTTCAGATCAAGTATGTGGTCATGATCCTTGCATGGATCTGCCCAGGCAGTAAAGACGAGATCTTCTGTAGAGGACGGATGCGGCCAGAATCGATGGCTTCAGTTCCGGGGCAGCTTTTAGTCAGCCACAGTAATTCCCTGAGCAAATAGGATGGATGAGTTGACAAATTCACACTTACCGAGTGCCGCGCGGTATGTGGAGGACTGGATCATTCTTGGTAATTGCGACTTCTACACCGTCCTTTACTGCACCCAGTACACCCTGCTCGACTTTGAAGTATTCGTCTTGTTGAAGATGTAAATGTCTGTCATACCAGCCAATCAGATTCATCCGGTACCTGTCATGGTCTAGTCTTTCTCACTTACAGTGGTGGCCCAGTAAGTCCAGCTCTAACATTTGGGTTCTCTCTGAAATGAGTCTCTCTGACGTACCAATTACCGTCAGGCTTCGATAGTGGCTCATACAACGCTGCATTCTCAGAGGTGTAAAAGGCCACTTGGGAAGTGTTCTTGGTGCGCTTCTGCGGTCGCGGCGAGAGCCACTGTTGCCACGCCCACACCATTGTGAAATTGATTGACTAGAGGGGAGAATTCTACAGGGTGTAGAGCCTCCTGACTATATGGCTGAGATAATTCTTGCTGTGTGAGTATTTATGTATATTTTTGCCCTGTCCCCTAAGACCGCACTTGTACTTAGCCAGTTGATTAGGAATGGTCTGAGAATCGACTGATTTTTGATAAAGACTCAGACCCTGTATCCAGGGTCCTTTTCGATAGTTGTATACAGTACCATGCAACATGGTTACATTCGGCTGGCTTCCTTGAACGAACCCCATCTGTCCTCGTCACCCTGGATCAAATTGTGGCGGTGGGAATTGACCTGCATCCTTCTAGTGCGTCAGCCAACACGGAACGGGCTTCCTCAATTCAGCTAAAGAATGAGTAAGCAAGTTATCTGACATAAATGCATGCGGGTGGCGTGAAAACGCGGGTGAGGATTCCACATATACAGGGTTCGATGTTCCGAAAATCGAATCCCGAATAGAAGTACCGATTATCCGAGAATCGCCGCAGTCCCTGACGCGTACCTTGGTCTTTTATCAAATCCTGGGGGATTTTACACAAGAAAGCCATGACCGTAATTCCATGCAGGTGAGATCGGGAAAGCGCCGTGGGGAAACACAGAGTATTGCCTCTGAGTGGCCTGGGCGGGGGAAAAACAGGTTTGGTGCCGATATACTATGTAAGTCAGACCGCCCCACCTATACACGCCATCCTTTCTAGGCACCTATAGCCCATCGCTATCAAGAATGCTGAGATTATTGGTCATTTGTATACAAGCAATGTATCTGGTATATGGATTACTCGGTTTTAGGTTCAATCCATTCTATTTCCAGTACAATACGTAAGCTACCATAGCGGCAGAGTGAAGGGACAGATTATGATTCAATGTTGTCTGCCATACAGTGATTGTGGGGCATGATATCGGAGGCAGTGTCTGCCTGATATCAACTGGAATTACGAGAGTTCTCCCGGTGATCCAAACCCGTAGACCGTAAAATGTGACATGACGGCGTGGCTGTAAATTCGAAAATTCTGGCATTCCACTTTTGTCTCATGACCTGTGTCTAGTTGATGCTATTGTGAATTTGAAAAATGAAATCCAAAGCGAAATACGAGTCACACTGCATTTTGCCAAATTTGGGGATCCCCGAAAGATACGTACTTTTCCTTTTATTGCAGTGCCACCAAATTGGCCAATCAAAGCCCTTCGTTTCAACAATGATGGTACCCCCACCACGAATATTGTGTGGGAGCACAATCGTCGTGTCACGAAGCACTCATTTGGCACAACCGTTGTGTGGAAAATAATCATTTTTCTTAAAGCCACTGTTCCACGCTACGGTTGTCTTAGTAGTACCTAAGTCACTTTACACACAATTAATACCTAGTAAAAACCAAATCAAGCCACATCCCCTAGGATCGCAGTCAGGTTTAATGAATCAATCAATAAAAAGAAGGGATTTTCAAGGATATGTTTCTCAAGTAAAGATTTGATAAGGGAACGCATAGCCAATTGTATTGAAAGTTCATGTGTAAACTAGATGACTCTTTGTACGATCGGCCCAAAATCTCAGCGAAAACAAATGGTTATTGCCTCCCGCTGATCCACTCAGCCACTCTATTCTACGCCCTATAGCCACAACAGTGGGCAGTCCCAATGCCCCCACATCAACAGTATAACCCGGTTCTCCTATTTTCCCGTGACTACTCAGTAGTAGAACTCGGGCAGTTTCGGGCTGAGATACATGGTCATGTACAATCCCGTCTTGGGTGTGTGAGTGATGGAGATGTAAGTATGGGTTCCTACACTCTTGCCCGTAATATTGTGCTTGGGACTAAGAAGCGATATGTTAGTTTTCAAGAGCGCAACATATAATGGAGAATTGGGAGAAACGTACAATGCCGTGCCCAAGTCAGACTTATACCTCGAGGCGAGATCAGGGTGACCATGGCTCTCGAACCAAGAAGCCAGCAGCTCGCTAATCTGCCCATCCGTCTTACCAAGCTGCCACATTGGGATGTGGAACTTGACATCAATATCGGGCTCCGAGCCTTGCGAGGAGCGCATCTCGTAGACGAAAATGCACTTGTGGTTGCCGATACAGACCTTGTCATCAGAGGCCGGGTCGGAGCTGTCGAGGCCAAACAGGTGGTACCAGAAATCACTGATACCCTTGAGGCTGGCATCCATCTTGGGGCCCTTCAGGCGGCCACCCAAGTTGTACATGTCCTTGGCCTTGGCGAGCGTGTCCGCCGAGGAGCGGAAATAGACCTTGAGGCGCGAGCCGGGCGTTTCGGCCACGCAGTCATTTGACAGCAGTCCCATCTGCGGCGCCTCCTCCGGTCGCGTGAACGTTGCCAGGTACGACTCAATGGCGTTCAGCGACCCGTCGTACGACGAACCGTCCGCCTTGTTGCACTCCTTGACCGTATCGCCAATGATGGTATTGGCCGAGATACCGCTCTGGATCGCACGCCAATGCGGCAGGAAGTATGACTTGGCCATAAGGTTGCCAGAGTGCTCCAAGTCAAAAGCGATCCAAACGCGGCTGCGAGGGAAGTGTGCTGGGTGCTTTGCAATGGCATCATCTACGCAGTCGTTGGGTACGTTGGTTGCCTCAAGAAACTGGTTGAATCGCGTGAGATCCATACCAGGAACATCCTTGGAGACTGCTTCCAGGAACTCCTTTGCGCCGAGCTGGTTGATAGGATCGCTGGCTGTGCCAGACTGCTTCGTAACCGCCTCAATAGTGAAACGGATGGTCTGTTTGGAACTCTTTTCTTTCCAATTGAGACTGTACTCAAAGGGCGACAAATCATGAGTAATCCAAGACCCGTAATAGGGTTTGCCGTCGAGAGGTCGTGGCCCCAGAGCCGGTAGAATCCATTGGTAAAACCAACGGAGGTAGTGAAGTTGCACTTCCTTGGTGTAGTGATTTGCCTCGAGGAGCGAGGCCAAAGGCTCAGACAAGGCACCCCACCAGAAGGCTCGGTCTTCACTGTCTGTCTCAATGCCTTTATTGACCTCTTTCAGGTTGGGTAGAGGCTTTGCGACATGGCTTACGCCGTTGGAAGGGGTTGAGATAGCCATAGTGACAGAGTTTGAGGCTCTCGTGGGATGATCTGATAATGTTTGTGATTCGGGTAGATTGCGGTTTCTGGTTAGTCTGATGTCAGCCTGCCCCTGAGGAAGAGTCTGAACAATGTTTGACAATGGGGTGGGAGATGACAAAGATGTGTTTATTAAGTGACTTTTATACGACTTGCTTTGGAGAAACATGGATACCCTCCTTTTGGTTAAATTACTTAAGAGAGAGATTGTTGTACCAAGTTCAAACGCCACAGTGTTACGCAACTATGTTTCATGCAGTCATCCCGGATGCTACACACACAAGACTGCAGCCATTACATCACCGGAGGATGATGACAAAGTTGCCATAACATATTCTAGGGGTATTATGCAGGTGAGAGGCGGTTAAAAGTTTGGGAAGTTTTACCTACCCGTAAGGATCAATGCCGGCACTTTCTGCGCTTACGTTACAAAGTTACGATACATTGCATATGATAACGTCGTGTAACACTGTATTCTTGCATACTCCGATGTTGCCTATCATTATTCAGTGATGAATAATTGCCCTCTTTTAACATGTGATGCACTTAATAATAGCAACGAGCAGCTTTGTCATGGATACCTATACTGATGTTTGTCTGGCCTCAAGTGCAAACTCAACATTCACCACTTATCGACCTCAAGAAGGAAAGCAATCTTCTACGAGCCTTCTAAATACAATATCCATCACCGACAGTGCTCAGGCAATCCATAACATCATGACTGCCCATGACATACATAGTCCGGCGGAGGGGGGTCTTCCCCCAGTCGTCCGTCACATACTCGGGCACGATGCCGAAGGGAAATCGGTGTTTCTGCCTACAGATTGTGATGGCCATCACCGCAAGATTGTCAACAATCCAGTTATTGACAACAATCTCAACTCGACTGATCAACAAATCATTGATTTTGATGGCGAGGTGAACATCAAATATGCTTGTGAGAACAAGGTCAACACACCACGTGCTCAAGTAGATATAGGCTTAGGCTAACGCAAAACACAGCTAAATGTCAGCGAGGAAAGCAGATCTGTTTGCCGCATGATTGACTTCACTCCGGGTAGCGTATTACCGATAGACCGTGTCAACCATCTTGACTCCGCCGTTGTGATCGAGGGTGTTTTCAAATTGATTCTCGACTCTGGCGAGGAGCGAATTATGCAGCGTGGCGATGTTGCTGCTCAACTCTCTACCACCCACAAATGGGTCAACGCGACTGGAAATGGGCTTCTGCCTGCTCGTATTTTGTTTATTCTGCTCAGAGCGAACAATTTACATACAATTAGCAGGAAGGTGCAAATAAAGCCAGACGTGCCCAGGAGGAATACTATCAGCTTGGTGAGCCTTGAAGTCACGGACAGACCTCATCGCAGTAAAGGTCCAGACTTTTACGAAAATGACTTCTTTGAAAGTGAATTTTGATAGTAATAGAAATTGTTACCTAAGTAATCATATGATCATGAACGGGTATGTGATGGCGCACCACCATCATTTACACTTGCAGCTGGCCGTCCCGTCCGCCACCCCCACTGTTAGAGAATGAATTAGTTAAGCAGTCTCCCGATGCTACCAAAAGTCGGATTGGCAGATTGATTGATACACATCATGTACCCCCTACATGCAGCAAGGTACCATCATGAGGGTGTGCACCATGACAGGGTACATCAGACCTCAACCGATTATAAATGCTTTCAAATCATATGCGGCTTGAAATCCAATCACGATTGTAATGAATCGTTTGAAAGCTTGCAGTACAAAACCGTCCAAATGATTCTGCTTTGTGATAACTGCTGAAAACTCAGGCATTTTCCATTTGACTAACATATGTAACTGGCTGCTGCTACAGTTTTAAATTCTTATTGTCCGTTGCGTGGCTTACTTGTGTGGCATGAACGATTGCTGTACTTAGATGTTTAAATCTTACCTGCATGCTCCTTCGGAACACGGAAAAGTTGCAACAAGGCGGCATAACTGTGAGCCCTGACCAAGCTTACTATGCAATTAAAGATGATCACTCATTATGCGAGTGTTAATAAGCTGAGCCTTGGCTGAGATCAGTCAGGGTCTTTAAAAGAACCCGGTTCGGTGGCCGAGCTCGCGTGTTCCAACACAGTGCTAATTTCAAACTGGTGTAAGGACATATGCCTCTTAGCTGGTTTTGTATGCTTTGGAAAGACTTCTTTCCTTATATATACATTCTTTCCTTCCATCTTGTTTACTTGTCAACTTGCTATACTACCACAACTTATACTGCAAAGGACCTTTTACCTTTCGTGTTGCTCTACGTCAAGATGGCCCAGCAAAAAGTTATCAAATACACAGTTGAACACAACCGCAAAGATGGTGTATCTGAGGAGGACTTTATAGAGTGGTTCACCAATACGCTCATACCCCAGATGGTTCCTGTTATGCAGAAGAACAACATCTTGAAATATGCAGTTGTGAGTTGCGGAACTAATAGCTCGACATGGCTGCTTACTAATGCATGGCGATTGTTAGCATAAGACAGATCACCAGATTAGCACAGCCTTCCAGTCTCAGGTGGATAAGGTGCGGCCTGGCTGGGTGGTGAGCAAGTGTGACCTCATTTTGGAGCATTGGGTCAATGACTTGGGAGATATCATGAAGCTTTCCCAGGACCCGGAATGGGCAGCTGCCCTAAAGGATCAAGACGTGTGGATGGATAATTCCAAGTCCAATATCCACATTGGTTATGACACGATATACATTGAGGACGGGACCATCACCAATGTACCCCGAAAGTGAAGGGGCATGAGTACCTGAATACTTGCTTCAATGGTCTTGCAATTTGCCTTTACATATGAAACCACTTCATTCGCAATGGGGAGAATGTAGGCTTAAAAGCTAGAAAATCCAACTTTAATCCGGTGGCTTACATAAAAAATGATCATACGGGATATCTGCAAATAAGTGATTGTTACTCTGATCAGTTTTCCTCAAGAATTCTAGAATGTTCATAACCTTACCGTAAGCAGGATGTCATGGCATACACTGACTGCCCCCCACTGTCACACTCCCGCATCATCCGTACATAGGTCTTGGTTCGTAATTGTTTCCAAACAACTGCCAGCATGCACCCTCATTGCCTTGCTTGTACCATGATTGCCCATAGGATGTGACACAAGAAGCATAAATAAATACATTGTACATTTGACACGAGTATGAACCATAACAAGAAAGCACTTGTAGTCAATAACAACAAGGTACTCATTTTAATTCCGCCATCCCGCCCGGCTGTTTGCCAAGGCGCTAGGGCTAGGCATGTACTGACAGGCATTCCTTTGTACCATTGACCTGCCCTAAAGAACCTCCACACCTGCGTCACTAGCGCCAAGGATGGATCCGGCGGTTGTGTGGGATCTCATGCGGGTGAGATCGAAAAGTCCCGTGGGGTAACCAAAAAATATCAGCTTTGGCTTGAGAAGACGATTACAGCGGCAATGCAGGTCAGACCGCTAAACAGCCTCTAGGCAGTTATTATATGTGACGATGCAACCATTTTGCAGCATACCCGGACATCCGACCAATCAGAAGATAGTATAAGGAAATACAGGGATCTCAGTGTACTTGAGGACGGGCCACATTCTACGGTATAAGTAAATATGCTGTTCTGTACTGCTACACAGTAGGGCTCATGTTTGGCCCCTGTAAGCGGCGGGCTCGGAATTCATGCCGTTGTCTCTCATGTACCAACAAGAACGTCAAGTCTCACTCAAATCACCACAGACAGAGAGGTTAGTGCCTCTCGCCCTGCCTCTCAAGCCTCTCCGCCCACCTTGTCCCAAAAGTCGCAGATCCGTGCTAAGGAAATATGCATGTGCTACGTCAAGTGAAATTCAGGGCAAGTCTACGCAAGTGAACAAGGTGAGACAAACACGCTGAATTACAAATCAACGAACAAAGAATTAGACTTCATGTTGTTATCAGGCATATTCCCCCTCTGCCGCCCCTCCTAGAACTGTGATATATATATTTCTCAAATTCAACCCGGTAGTCTAGGCTAGCTTCCCATTGCATTCCACACCATATCATCCAAAATCGGAATTATTCAACCATGTCTGTATACGTTATCACTGGTGCGTCCAAGGGAATCGGGGTAAGTGTCCCCTCGCACTCCATGCAGGGCATAGGCTGATTCCGGCCTAGTTCGGGTTTGTCAAGAGCATTTCGGAAGACCCCGCCAACCTAGTCGTCGGTCTGGTCCGTGACAAGGCTGCCACCGAGAAAAAGGTAGCCGAAGAGCTGGGTGGCCGGACCAACATCCACATCCTCCATGGTGATCTTACCAGCTACGAAAGCCTGAAGCAGGCAGCTGCCGACACTGCCAAGATTGTTGGCGAGCGTGGCGTCGACTACCTGGTTGCCAACGGAGCCTACCCTTCCCAGTTTGATGCCTATGTCCCTATCGGCGCATTGTATGTTTCATTTCTCCTTGTTTTCTTGTCTATGACTAAAAATACCTTCTCTTTAGGGGCGACCAGGTTGAGGAGCTGGAGGAGGTCTCAGCGAAGCTCTTCAAGACCAATGTTGTTGGCAACATCCACCTGTTCAATCTCTTCATCCCCCTTGTCAAGCAGAGCAAGGCCAAAAAGGTCATTGCCATTTCCAGCGGCCATGGTGACCTTGACTGGATCAACAACAACGACATTGAGATTAGTTCGTTATACGGTGCCTCCAAGGCGGCCCTGAACGTCGTCGTGGCCAAGTTCAGCGTGCAATACAAGCCCGAGGGTGTGCTCTTCTTCAGTCTTAGTCCCGGAGCCGTAGAGGTCGGCCACTATGACAATGGTATGTGTGCCTCCTTGTCTTGAAGAAAGATTAAAACATCAGGACACTTCCACTAACACATTTTCACAGTGAGTCCAGAGCAGGTCCAGGGGTTGATGGGATTCATGGGCAAGATTCAAGCCTATGCTCCTCACTTCAAGGGTGCCGTCCCGGTAGAGGATGCCGTCCGAACCATCAGGGCTACATGGGAGAGAGCCAGCATCGAGACCGGGTATGCCGGTGCATTCGTCTCGCAACATGGCAACAAGCAGTGGCTGTAGACTCGGGATTCTGATCCATTTCACTAGTTAGACTTCTTTATTGGCATAAATAAACCATGTACCAACAAGTTCAAGTATGAACACTCATGAGTGCAATCAATGTGATTAGGTACATCTCAAGTTTGAAGTTTTTGCAACATTTGGACCAAATTTGGCGACACTGTATGCCGTCCTAATCATGGCGAGCTTCGACGTTGGGCCTTGTGTTGTCATGGGAACCATGTCGATTGTAGAATTCGCACCACCAGAAACTCGCGGACTGCTGGCATCCTGTTTCTCGGTGACCATGCTCATGTCGTTGTTCGTCTCCAATTTTGGCGTCGATGCCGTCTTTATAATAATGACCGCCACATGACTGCAGTACTAGATTGTGTGATCTCGCCTTGTGTCTGGGTCATTTTGTGTACCGGTGCAAACTCCTTCTTCATCGACGCCTTGGGTAGCCAGACCTCGCTATGCGTCAATATTCAAATGGACCTGGATACACTGTCGATCAGTAGTTTAATCCCCTTAAGTATAATCTGTACATCAAGTTTAGGTGAAAGGCTTGCTTATGCTTCCAGTCAGGATGGCTCTAGATGGATATTGGGTGGTTATTACCATTCTAACCATGTTGGGCAACACCCAGGAGAGACGACTGGACAATGGCAACATGGTGACAATAGTGGCGTGCATCACATGATTCACTCACCCAGTGCAGCACTCTTCCATCCAACGAACGGCAGCGCTTTAGTGATTTGCATAAAATGCCCTGCATAATTGCAGGGTCTAGAAATTACATGCAAGTATAAGTATGTATTCTCGTCTGCAACGTGACTGGAATTGGACTTATCTTTTGGTCGAGTTCCAGGGGCAAACGTCGACAGCCGGTACAGTGAGTGATGATATTGGACCCTGCTAAATTGCTAGACTTTCCTATGCCAGGCCAAACGGGGAATGCACTCAACGCCGTTTTCGATTGAATTTCGGGCTTCATTGGTAATAAAGCAGGAAAATCTCTGGCAAAACTGTCATCGGGGAATTCCTGATGAGCAGAGGTCTATTAGGCTCAATTCTAAAACTTAAACAATTTAGCAATAAATATCGAAACACACGTGGGCTGGACTTGTTCGAAAAATTCCCCTTGCATTATTCCGTCCATATAAGCATCCCCTATAAGGGTAAAACCACCACTATCCCCTTGCGGACGTCGCACGATCAGAAACGATACATCCCACAGCAAACTCACCTTGTCGCCAGCTTGTACCAGTACATGGCCAAGGCCAAGCATTCCTTTAGCCGTCTTGAATAGCGTCCTTCCCCGGTTGACGATGCCCAATCGCCATGGCCGGTTTCATGATGACATTAAGCTTTTCCTGGAGGGTGTCGTGCAAGCGAGTATTACCACAACACGGCCCGTTCCTGACAAAGTCGGCTTGAGCCGCAGTCAGGGTATCGGCATCGATACGTTCTCTTCGCATCATTTGGCGAGTCAGCGCTCAGATTTCCGCGGCGACAGGTTCTGGATGGCCACCAGCAACAAATACTATTCTGGTCAATAAGTGATAAATGTAAAGCTACGAGAGAACCTGCCATATATTGTTCTTTAAGAATCCACAAATGACAGAAAGAAAAAAACCGCGAGTTTCTGACTAATTCTAAACACGCAGCCTTGTCCTCGTTTGCAGCACTCCCTTAAGCACCGTGGGAACCTGTTTCCGTAACGATTCGCCTAAATATTAGCGTAGTCTAAGGCAGAAAGTCAAGCCCTCAGAAATCGCTAAGTGCTTTCCATGCAGTGTTTACTATGGTCTTATCGTCCATAGTAGCTCCGCAGCTAAGAGAGTATGTATTAGTATGTACCCAGTAGCAGAATCAAAGCTTAAAGAGATTAGCTCCTTAGCTTTCTAATTACACATAATCAACCCTTTATATTCAGCCAAGTCCAGTGAAGGCATCCATACCGTGACACAACGTTGGTTTCAAAGAGCCGAATCACATAAAGTGAAGCAAAACTCAGAGCTATCCGTATTAGTCTACTATATGAAATCTGAGAGAAAATATGCTTCTCTTCGATTGAATTACCCATTATACAAAGCTCTTCGGGCTGTCTCTCCCAATGGACCAAGTGATTTAATTTTCGCTCTCCGTTTCTAACGCGGAGTTCTACGTCTTTAACTGGTTAACTTGGAGATCCCTGATGTTTGTCTCATCGCCATCCTCTGTATGCTTCGATAGACTTCACTGACCCACTATAAGACATTGGGCGTATGTAAGAGTTTGTATTATTATAATATTGTTGCACGAGGAGCTTGAAGTCCTCTCGTGCCCTAGAGATGGTGCACAGGCCACTTGTGCATGGGCCACATTCCCTGCCTTAGCCCCGATAGCGTGTTCAAAGCGTGACTTACCTCGACCATACCAATATTACCACTTTTTAAGGACTTTTCCAGCTCATTATATTTATTTCTCTCAGAGCCCTGAAATACTCTGGAGTCTTAAGATAGGCTTTTCTTGTCTAACATTTTCTTCGTCGTGTTGCCAACCATTTGCGAATCAGCATGCTAGAAATCTCCAACCGTTATATATCGTGAGTCAAGGCCCTAAGGTGGAAGCACTTGCCAAAATTGTTTCCTACCAAGAGCTCGTCCCGGTCAAACTTTGAATATGACCGCGAATTTGGATAAACAGCTAAGCAGCGAAGAACCACGTCAATAGATGACCATATCAAAGTATTTCGATGACGGCCTTCCGGGCGTTGCAGGTGTAGCTGCGGACGCCAATGGCATCGTCATGATTAGAGGCTTCGCTTATTCTTCAGGACAGGGCATAGTATCTCGCGCGAAACAAATGGTTACCCAAATCAATTGAGTATAGCCAAGTTGGCCTCACCGCTTTCGCAGCACCCAGCGTACTGTGGTCTCAATACAAAATGGTTAACAGCGGCTCGCTAGCTGCTGTGAGTGCTCACCATTCAAACTTGCCCTACCTCCCGCCACACAAGGCTCTAACTCTTAGATTCTTTCTAGGTCAATCTTCAAAGACTCATCCCCAACCGTAGTGGAGGCTATGATCAGATTGAGTGAAGCCACTTTGCAATTGAAGTCCGAGCCTTCCCCAGGCCGCCATCCAGCACCCTGCCGTTTAGTGAATTTAAACCAGGTGAGTTTATCATCTCCAATATATAGGCTTATCGTCCCAACTATAACCTCTGGTCTGTTCTCCGTGCCCCACTCGTCCTTTGTCCACTTCCACATAAAGGTAACGCGTGCACCGTCAAATAGCCCCTGGGGTATATGAAGCTGAATATATTCGCCACTTGGGGCGTACTTTGAATGCTTGATAGTACCAGCAAATCGTGCACCGTGGAAGCGATGAACACCCTTGGCTTTGCCATGGAAGACCTTCTCTCCATGCGCACCTTTCGTGCGGCCTGCCACCACGACCAGTTCATTGGATGGGTCTAAGGCCTGTGGCTGTGGAATTTCGATCCGAGGCTGACGCACTCTATCCGCCTCGTCCTTATTATGTTCATAGTAGAGCTCAACCAATTTATCAGTGAACGACTCTGCAATCGTATGTAAAATTACGACGCCAGCCACTTCTTCAACCCCAGCGAAGAGTATGACGTCCCGAATAGCACTCTCAAGGAAATTGGCTACGCTTTGCCAGTGTCGAGGCCAGTCACGCTCCTGATATGCAAGCTGAGCTCGTTTGAACGAGTAGACGGTGCCAACGTATGGGATAAACTCTACAACAGAGTAGGAAAGTGCTTCAATATTTGTGAACCACTATGAAAAACATCAGCGTTAGCTATGTAAAGCCTGTTTAGCGTTGGAGTTGGGCTTTGATACCGTTGAAGCCATATTGGTACGCTGGTATTCAAAGAATGGTTTGAATTTGAAGCAACCTCCCCACGATCGAGATGAGAAGAATTAAAGTTGGAAAATAAGTTGCCGTTCAATTTAGGGATACTGTAACAATATGTTCTTAGGTTTATGGCTTTTATTTTAGGAGAATAAAGCGAGTATATTTTTCATTGAATACCAATAATATGTGACGTATCTTTGGCAATGAGCGCATTGAAGTGTTAATGCGATTGCGCTCAACTAATCTTGCGTATATTATTGTAATTATTCCGCGGATTATCATTCCATAGGTGCCCGCAATACTGGTTAGGTACGGATGCAGGTTCGGAATGCTGCCATACGCTACAGCTGCAAAGGTGCTCACAAAATAGATTAGGCACGAATGCAGGGTTCCATTGCTGCTATAAGGCGTTGCTACCATACGCTACAATCCTACAGGTACCCGCAACAATAGTTAGGTACTGATGTAAATTCGTGTGTTGGAGTCGCAAGAACTTGCTGAATCAGGTTCCAACAGCATAAGTGCCACACCGTTACAACCAGGTGTCGATGTGGTATTTCAATGCTCTCCAGTGTCACATGTGCAGTATTGCTGTGATATAACGCGAGATCATCACCCAATGAGCCGGAATTACAACGTTGGAGAAACTGGGGCAGGACTTGGCCATGTAAGCCCATTTGTTGGGCGCAATACGACAGTTCAGGTATTGATCTCCTTGAGCGCTGAATTCCTGCCTCTTTTACCTACCGCTCAACAGGATAATGGACCAGAAAGATTGTAATAGTGCAGTGCAATCACATCGACGCTGGTAATTTACCATTTATAGCCGTTTGCCATACAAAGTGAACGTTGATTTCGCGAAGTTACATACTTTCAAAACCTCAATCTTTCTTTTCAAAAAGCCCTGTTGCATCCATAAGTCCAGGCAGGAATATAACCCGTTCCCCAAGTACGAACCTAGTCGAACCTGAATCTTACCACGCTGTCAACGCACCTCCTCCTTCAATATCTTGAGTGTTATTTCGCCATGGCGCGGATGTCAGCATCTCCATCGACCGTCGATTTCAATGACGAGATCTACTGCTTCTACCAGGGCAAGGGGAACTCTGGTGAGCTTTGGTATACTATCCTCCGCGAGAATCGCTGGGGAGGCGAGCACAAAGTTCCTCGGACGACTTTGTCAGCGGAACCATCTGCTGTCGTCTTTCATAGCAAGATTTACTGCTTCCATCAAGGCAAAGGTAATTCTGGCGAGCTTTGGTATAATGTCCTAGATGGAGAACGTTGGGGAGACGATCAAAAGGTCCCCGACACGTCCCTATCCGCAGGACCATCTGCCGTTGTTATCAACCAAAGGATCTATTGCTTCCATTAAGGCGGAGGGAATTCTGGTGAGCTTTAGTATAATATCCTGGATGGAGATCGTTGGTTAGGTGATCACAAGGTCCCCGACACGTCCCTATCAGCAGGACCATCTGTATTATTCAATGGCATTATGCTTTTCTGCTTCCATCAAGGGGGTGGGAATTCTGGAGAGCTTTGGTATAACATTTTGTTACATGAGAAATGGAGAGGTGATCAGCAGATTCTATAATTGATCTAGATTTATTATAGCTTGGAACTCCAGCGTAGAATCGTAACGGGAGAATCTGGATAACTCAAGGATGAATTTGTAGATGAAAGGCAAAGATGGGATACTCCTTTTGATTGATACGAAGCCTCCTGCTCAAGAGAATAACAGAGCCAATCGCTCAAGCCTATCTCAGAGGATGTCAGACAGTCGAAGATGGAGGATTGGAAGGTAGGTATCGATAAAATTCGAATCATCTTTAATCGCATACATGAAAAGGCGCGCTCACTTCTTCCGTTGATCGTACCAGTAAAATTACTTCCAGGGAATCTTGTCATCAAGCTTGGTCGCGATTATGAAAGGGGAAACAATACAGCGAAAATATCAAAATTGTGTGGATTCCTACCATCGGGCAAAGTGGTTGAAATGGGTGCTGCCACCAATCCCCAAACCTATATGAACCGAGTACCAACGGCGATATTGGTAGCTTGCCGTGGCTTGGTAACAGGCCCAACTCAAGAAAATGATTAGTCACCGCCGTGCCATTGGTGAAACTTGCGCCCGTTGGTTGGGCAGATGAATTAGGGAAACGACAGCATCTAGAACAACCTGAAAACTGGGCAAAGAGATCCTTGCTAACCGCCACGGGTTTGGCCGGCGTAGGTCCACATTATGACAACGCCGGCGGTTTGCCAAGACTTTAAGTACACGACAGAGGTTCTAAAAAGGCCTGTAAATGCCATGGAAGCACAGGCATTTATTTTTTTGCTGCGGCTTACGCAATGCGCATTGTCTACGCGTACAGTCCGCAGTGGATCGAGTCATTTTGGCGCCGTCTTTTGCTATCAATGATATGCTCTATGTCCAAGGCTGTATTAGGTATTTTAAGCTTGCTCGTCTTAAAGTGCATGTAAGTGTTTGACAACCAGTAAGTGAATTGTGAAATAGTCGCGAGTACATTCTCGCCTTCATTCAAAAATTAGAACGATGCAGGTATCAATGATGCCGTCAATACCAAACAGTGACCCTCTTGTATTGTTCTCATAATGGGTGACGGAATCACGGCATTGAGTATGTGACTGGGAACGACGTCTTCATCTATCTTTGCCTATCGTGACCTTCATCAAAGGTATAGATCCAGGAGCCACTATGGAGCAAGGCGTCGTCATGCCTGCCTAGCATCTAAGCAACACAGCCGTGTTTTCCGCTGGCCATTCCTTCCAGATGCGAGTATCCATACTTGACGAGAGACTCATACAGCAATGTATCTATAAGTACGGATGCTGCCACTCACAATGGCAACACTTGTATCAGCAATATCCTTCTCAACACTCGTTTTCGTTTCAATTTTATAACAACACGATGTATTTCACTTCTGCTGCAGCAACACTGCTGCTCGGTGCATCTTTCGCAACTGCCGCTCCTTGTTCCAAGCAGCGTACTTTCTACAACGGCACTTGTACGGCAGAGACAGTGACGATTCGAAAGGAATGGCGCAACCTTGCAGAGAGCGAGCAGGCCTCGTATCTCGAAGCTGTTAACTGTCTCATGGAACTTCCGGCCAACACTTCCCTGAGTGGCGTCACCAACAGATTCAGCGACCTTCAGGCTACACACCGTGATAAGACCAATGCCACCGTCAATGGTGTTTTCGTTGGCGATATTATCCACAGTGTCGTGAGCGCCTCCGTGCCCGATTTAACTCTTAGGACATGATATTCTGACTCTAGCTTGATATATCAGGGCCAATTCCTTCCATGGCACCGCTGGTACATTTACGCTCACGAGGTGATGCTGCGCGACCAATGCAACTATACTGGCCCTCTTCCCTGGTGGGACGAGGCCAAGGACGCCGACACGGGCAACGCCTTTAGCTCCCCCATGTGGTCCGCCGACGCTTTTGGTGGCAACGGAACCGGCTCGGACCTCTGCGTCGTCGATGGCGCTTTCGCCAACCACACGGAGCACATTGGTCCGGGCTTGGCCAATACCGACTATTGCCTGGACCGTTCCTGGGATAATGAATGGGCTGTCGAGTCCGCCAACTCCACCAGTGTCAAGAACTGCACCCGTCACAACGATTATGAGACTTTCTGGCAGTGCATGGTCGCTGAGAAGAGTACTCACAAGGGCATCCACACCGCCGTTGGAGGTCTTGTAAGTCTGAATTGAACTCACCAATGTTTACCTTATGCAGTAGATATCTGACAGAGCCTTGTATAGATGGGTGACAAGGACACCTCTCCCGGTGACCCAATCTTCTTCCTGCACCACAACTATGTCGATCGCATCTGGTGGCAGTGGCAGACTGCCAACCCTGACAGCCGCATGTACGACATGTCCGGCACCACATTCAACACGACTTATCTCACTGTCGAAGGCATCGATGCTCCCGATGTGGCCACGGCGAGCCTGGACTATGTCATCAACATTGCTGACATTCTCCCCGACGTAATCATTGGCGATGTCATGAATGTACAGAACGGACTGCTGTGTTACGACTATGACTATTAGACGGGTATACAGGGATCTTGCGATTTTTTGTTTTAGAGATTAGATTAATGCCTGCTGGTCTGGACTCTACCTCGCTCTAATTCGCGGACCCGAGCAGGCGGGTGTTGTGTAGATCTTCAGCCTCATAGATTCAGAGATAGACTTGGTGATGCACTCCGAGAGTAGCTATCACATATTATAGAGACGCTTTTTTTTTTCCTTGCATGATATTGCAATACTTGCCTTTGTACTTTGCATTCTTGTGACATTTTCTCGCCATGTTTCTCGATCTCAAGTGCAATTGCTTGCGTCCCTTGCCTGCTTGCAAACAATACGAAAGAATCACTTGGCGCCGAGAGGACGCGGCATGTTAATTCCGTTGCCATGAGCTTGTCGTGGGTGCTTGATTCAGCCTTGGCCCGATCTGGATTCTCTTCCCGTCGTGTCTACGCGTAACATGGGCCCTGCAGCAATCTTTTCGAGCGTCCTCTGCGAACCACAACGCTGGGTCCGCTGGCTGATGAAGTACGATTCCGTTGCCCCTGTGGCTGGGTTACGGAAGGTGGGCGAACAAAAGAAATGTGCGGAAAATAAGGATCCTTAGTGCGGGCTACTGGGTAGACCTTAAATAGATATCTCCGGACCGAGCGGAGTCCGAAACCATTAAGCTCAGAACCTACGCCGTCAAAGCTCGGAGCTCCGAAGGTTATTTCTGTACGGGGCCATTCCAAAAAGGACTTCTCCACTTTGCACTCGACGACTTTCGTCCTCAAGAACAAGTGAAACTGCAAAAATTCGACTTTGCCCCGTAAAGCCACGCGACCCTTGACATTCCTGACTAAGTTATATTGAGTCAATCTCGCGGCAACCTGCATTAGCCTTCTGTCGTAACCCTGTTCACAGATGCCTATATTTGTCCCAACCCGGACAGCCTGAGACGTTTGCCGGAATCTCTCTGTCGCGCAACATGCTTAATTCCTTTGTACTTTCAAGCTTGTGACAAGGCATTCAACTCGTACAAAAACAAACAGCGTTGTCAGGGCGGGGCTCAAAGCCCGATTCGGGATTTCAAAAAAAAAAAAAAAAAAAAAACCTGCGACTAAATTGTCGCTGGCGCCGGCATTCCCATAGCCTTTATGATTTATTCGGTATGAAACTATAATAAGCTCTGGTCTTTATCAGCCAATACTGCCGAATCCATTGTCTCCAGTTCGGGTCTGAGAAACTCCGAGTCGCCCAAACAGGTATATTCTGGGTTTATCACGAGCATTCTCGGGCGTATCGAAAATTCGTTGGCTTATGTGAAAACAGGCAATCCAAAGCAATTCGAGGAGGTCATTGTTATTATTGTTATTCCTTCTTTCACTAATAGCTGCAATTTAGTTTCAACTTTTTTTAATGTCTCCTTTCTTATCGAATTAAAGAATAAATGGCAGGATAGAAATATCTCAATAAATCCTGGTTTAGTCGGCACTCAGAGCAATCTGGCAGTTGTCAGTTGTCGGCGAAAGATGTAAGGATTTGGTAAGAAATCTGCAAGACTGTTGATTAGATGAGGTCGCACTACTAGTGACGTGCAAAAGCATTATGAAAGTACCTCTTTAGCAGAATGGGTTCTTTACCTTAATCCTTCAAGATTTTTCTTTTCTTTTTATCACCTAATAAATAAAGAAGAAAACAGAAACATAAAGATCTTGATATCGAGACAGAGAATGCGCTCATGTTGTGGCCTGGATCAAATTGACGCGAGAATATGTTTTATCCGACTTGAGACCTTGACTTCATTATTATCAGGTACTGCCCAGGTAGCTTTCTAGGTATCTTGAAAATAAGAAAGAAAAAAAAGATAACGGCTATCGTTTTGTTCCTTTCTGATCAAAATCCCAAGTTGCCTGAGCGACGTTTGTCTGCTACCTGCAGGCGCCGGCGGATTGTCTGCTTGCGAGGCACAAGTTAAACAGTTTCTGGGGCGGTGATAGAACAAAATGGAATGCTTTCCTCAGGTATAATGAGGGTCGGTAGTATATAGAGTCTGTCAGTGTAATTTTACGCTGCAAAAGATTTCAGATGATTCGAATTCATCAACCTGATCAGGGCCGTGTACTCGATCTATACTCTGGCCATCGGACCCCCTTCCATGGACTCAATGATGGGTTCCCTTGATCGGAACCAACGAATCGGCTCAATACGCAGGATACCAAACGAGGTCCTGCTCGGTATTGGGGAGCACCTGGGTGTCAGAGATGTTGCCAGCCTCGCTCGCTGCCGCCGCTCTCTGAACATGAGCCTTACCTCTCTCATCTATCAACATGTTCGTGACGATATTCAAGTCACCCTATGAGCAGCTGATCGTGGAGCCCTGGGTACCTTGGAGAAAATCTTCCACGCAGGAGCCGATCTTGATAAGGTTTGGACTCAGATTCAGGATTTTCAAGTCTGTATCCGAACACATCAACTGACGCTTCCCGAAACATCCCAAATACGATGAATTCGTTGAAGCATACATGTACCCTTCATAGAGCAGCCGATGTCAGTTTCATGCGATTCAAAAGCCAAGCACAGGACTATCCGAATGGGTCCGAGTGCAAACCAATGAGGTATACGGCATTGCACTTAGCAGCACAACAGGGACACGAGCAAGTTGTCGACTACCTTATACAGCATCAATCCAATGTCGATGTCATGTGCTGTCAGTCGTGTTCATGCACACGTCCATGTCAATCCACCTACCCTCCCTCTGATTACAGACGACCACTATGCACTTATGAGTGGACTGCTCTTCATCTAGCCATTTACCACGGTCACTAAGGTGCTCCGAAGAAGCTCATGGCTGCAGGGGCTTCCTTCTGGGTCTCTAAGTCTGGTTCATGGAGTCCCTCGAGACCAACAGCCAACAACAATCCTTACACCACAAGAAGTCCAATTGTGCATCATCCAGTTAGTCCACCCGATTACTCGAAGCCAACAGCTTTGCTTAGTGCTGCCGCCGCGGGTGATACATCTATGATTGCTACAGTGTTTTGCCACTTCTCACTGATCACTGACGACGAGATGAAACACGAGGCTCTTCTCAATGCATATACCCACAAGTGCATGCATGCATCTAGGGCTTAACTCAATCACGGCGCCAACATCGAGGATCCCAACCCTTCCAAGCCGACGATACTCATGTACGCATGTGCTTTAGATAATTTCGTTGATGCTCTATGCTGAGTAAAGTTTGATCTAGGTTGAATGGAAGTGTTGCGCGAATGCGGTAGGATAGCTAGGAAGCCCCTTCATTTATCTCGGTCCCAATGTTCAATACTAACTCCAGGACAACCAGGCTCCTCGACCTAGGTGCAGATGCAGCAAGGATGAGCGGGCAAGGAATGACACCTTTGAACTGGCTATGCACAAGAATTTCTAAACGTGGCCGTTATCGAGAGCCGAGTGAATCACCCAAGCTTCGATACACCATGGAAGTTCTTCTGAAAACCGGAGCGGACCCCAATGCAAGTAGTGCTTCAACACTGCTTCCGCTCAGTGTTGCTGCAGTATGGTGCGAAATCGATGTGATTCAACTCTTGATAAAGTATAACGCAAACGTCAACGCCCGCGATCCTTTGGGCGAGACACCACTGGAGTCAGCGTGTAACGCAAGACAAAGGATGCCCGCACAAAAAGTGATAGCAACTATCAAGGTCCTTCTAGATCACGGCGCATTGGTGAATATCACCTTTTCCTACGGAGAAACGATCCTCGGCCACATCTTCGAGATTCGCCATTGGGAAAATGAAGAGCTTGCTGCCCTTCTCAACCTTACCCTCGTGCACGGACTCTCCAAAGACAATAAAATGGAGATGATCAACTATTTGGGGCAGTTATTTGATGAACGTCGCTTGGAATGCTGCCAGATTGTCGTCAAACACGCGAAAAAAAAAAAAGAAGAAAAAAACGAATCTTGAAGAGAGCATAATTGGGCGCAGTTGTTGGTTTGAGGCTCCAGCGTTGGGGTCCCGTCCAGGAATGATTTCAAGTACAGGACTCGAGACGGATGAGAGTCCCTTCAGTCACGCGTTTGGACGCATTTGAGGAAATCTTAGATAGGTACTTCCGTGAGAGCCTTGTTCGGCCCGGATATCACTTTACTCGGGAACTAGGTTTATCTTTGCTGCTAATGGCGGCGAAATATTGTGATTGATTTTAATTGACTCATCGGACCATCCAGGTAGAAAAATGGCCCTGGCAGATATTTAAACGTGTGGTGGGACAATTCCTGGCCTTTCCCCCCAATGTTGCCTCTTCAATTTGCTAAACCAACTACCCACCTTGCCATGCACTAGGTATGCCTGTAAACCAGAAAATGGCGAACACGGCTCCAAGCCATAGTCAATTCCCCTGGCATAAGCTTCCAACCGAGCTACAGCTTACGGTCCTAGATTTCTTGAAACAGCCGACTGCACCTCCAATCAAAAGGAAAAGGAAAAAAGCAAAGAGAATCACCCTCAGGAAAAAAAGGCCGGCGCAGATTGTGCACGATCTGACGGATTACTCTCTAGTTTGTCGGGACTGGCAGTGTTTTTTCGAGCCGATCATCTACAAACGTATGACTCTTCATCAGTCGGACCTTGCAGATTTCCAAGAGATCTCTCGATCTCGTACAAGCTATATAGAATGGGTTTGGCTGCGCCTGGAATTCCCTAAGTATACCTCTCCGACTCACCAGGATCCGGAATCTTTGGAGGAGTCTCGAGCCCACAATGGAATATTCACAAACGCCGTCTGGAGCTTGTTCAAAATCCTTAGCACCTGGGAGACACGATCAAGCAGTGGCATTACATTGGAGCTTAGTGCGCATTCCCTTGCCGATGCGCGTTTTGATTATAAGCATCTCAAATGGCGCATCAATGACACGGCGTGGAAGCGTCATGATAGCCCGGGGCCGAAAAGAATACTGCAACATCCAGTGCGGCGCTGGACCCCATCACACCATCTTTCTATAAGACGGCTGTTTGGATCAGATCCAGGACTCCAGTTTGATCCAAGAGCATTAGCAGCACAAAGTGGCAACACTTTACCGCAAGTACCAGTGATAGAATCCATTTGTATCCGCCGACAGTTCATGAGAGCCTTTTCAGTGCGGGATGGCCTGGACGATATATTCCGGTCTACACCCAACCTTGCAGATTTCAGATACGAGACATGGCGGGTAGTACCTGAGAATGATCGCTTTAACTTTCAATATGGTTACAACAACGGTCCATTCATCCGTGACTGGGATCACACCTTGATTTTTTCGTTGCTATTAAGGCAAAGCAAGAACCTGAAACGAATAGCTTTATTCCAAGACGACAATGTTGCTATTCTGGGGAGAACAGATTTACCGGACCCAGCACCATTCCTCGGGTACAGTCTTGCACGAGCGAGTCACCATCTAGAGGAAATACATGTCGGCATGTTCCTTGATGCTAAAGACTTCTTCTTCAGCTTTTGGCCGGGTACACGAAGTCCTCAACAACGAAACTTCCAAACTTTGCAAGTGGGACCCGAGGAGTATTGGGGCCAGCTCCGTGATCTCTCGCTGTGGTCTGTCCATCTTCAGCCGAATAATTGGGATATACTAGTCACAGCAGCAGGTCTTGCCGCAAGGAGAATGCCTCAGCTCAACAAGTTGGAGCTATGGGGTGCATTGCGTCCAGATGCATGCATTTTCCGTTTTCGTCGAAGCGTACCCAGAGCAAAAATAGAGCTGCTCAGTACTTGGGGCGCCGAGATCACGCCCGAAGTGCACGAGGCATGGGCTCAAGTGGCAAGAGATCACGACTGCTACCTGGAGGCCGAAGAATCCCGTCTACCCCGGCACAACGTAATTGGGTGGCCCGTCAGAGGAAAGCACTGTATTGTTGAATACCTTCCGCATCTGGAGTGCAAGGACAAGTTACTGAACGAGGTTTCACTACAGGTTAGTCGTCTCTACTATTTCTTCCCCTATTGGCATGTCGTCGGGCATGTGAATTACACACATCTTTGTTTGTTCCCTAATGCGTGTGATTTACTCTTGATTTAGCTCCTCAATGACCCGAATTGAGCAATTGCTGATACACTTAAAATAGCAAATTCTGGACGAGCCACAGTATCCGTTATAATGGCACACAGCATTTACTAGGATCGGCTTGTAAAGAAAAGAAAAGCTCGATATCACTTCATTGTTCAAATAGTTTCAGCATTGTTTAATTATCTGCTTTTGCCCTCCCCGCTATTCATTTTGGTAACTTTGCATTGATAACGGAAGAAGTTTGATCGCAAATTCCCTCCTCGGATAATACTTTTTTGGCGATGCGGCAATTTTTGACTGTAGAATATTTCGCCCCTTGGTAGAAATAAAATGTATCGGGTAGCCAGCTCGTATTTTTGTGCTTCATCCAAGTGATAGGCTGATACTCTATTGATAGAGCTGCTGTATCCTGTTTTTCACACTACCAGGTAGCCCGCCTTCCATCACCTATCACCGCGCGACAGCAGGATTCTATGTCTTTAGAGACATGATCCCTTCATCCAGCAACTAGATGGAAACCGATCGATGTAGTCTTCATGCCATAGTACCGGATATACATTTTGAATGATGTCGGTGCGTCCAGCACTGGCTGTTTGAGTGTAGGATGCGGTTCAACCTCTATACAGATAACAGTAAAAGATGATGGTACGTACGCCTGAGCCGCTTGAGGAAATGATGGCATCATGATGGCAAATACTACCTTGCCAAAAGTTACATTGCTCGTAGGGGTGAAAAATATGTATGTTGATAACTTGCGTCTCTGTTGGCAAGTCGGAATCGGGTTTGGGCTCCTTGGCTTCATTATAGCTCTGTGAGTCAAGCGCTTGGACTGGTTTAGTCTGGTAGGCTTGGGGGCTGTTGCAAGTTGGTTTACGGCACAGCTGACGGTTGGGTGATACGGCCAACGTTTGAATTGCATAATTGGCTCGTGTCTGGCAAGGTGGCGGATCCCGGTCATGATCTGATTTTGCAATGCATTTCCCTAGGTCATCATGACTGGGTTGCAATCAGCAATTTCCTCAATATAATTCCATTGCAGTCAGGTCAATTGGCAACTCACACTCCGGAAGGGGTGATCTGCCCGTCGTCAAAGATATGCACCAATGCGGCAAGGTACAGAATATTACCAACGGGATTCATGGTCACATCACCAACATCGCAAATATTAAGCAAAATCCTGACTGACAAGGACCAAGTGGAATCGAATGGGCTCCCAATTTCAAGGCCTACTACATATTTGCAGGGATACAAAGGGTGAGAGTATGCTGTCCTATTATGTATACATACAATGTGAGGAACTTCACTTCTGGCCCCCGCCAGTCTTCCATTGAACGACCTGCGGAGCTCCCAGTGCTTAAGTCCGTACCATTTCCAAACATAACTGGCCGTCCACTCTGTCCTTTGACCAGGCGAGGAGCCCAGTAAGCCATTCATCACAACACCCTCGAAACCAAAATATCATACCACAAAGCCTTTTTCCATAACAATGTCTCGGCCCACTCCGCTTATCAAGTTTGATGTCTGTATCTACAAGAAGAATGGCATGCCCCAAGACGAATTCATGAAATGGGCTACGACGGAGTACCCGGTCAAGGCTGCTCCTCTCATCAAGAGGTACGGTATCGTGAAATGGACACAGGTAGGCTATGCTACACTATGAATCCCCGACTCATTTCCTGTCAAATCATAGATACCTGACGCATGACGTTAGACAATCCAGCCTGCTGGGTTCAGAAAACCTCTTCGTGATTCCCTTCAGAACAACATGGGTAGATCAGCCTGGACGGTACCTGATTATGATCTGGTGACGACATATTGGCTTAAGAGTTTGGACGATATGCACGCCTTGACAATGGATCCTGAATGGGCAGAGCTAGAGAAGGATGCATCTACTAAGAGTAACATGTCGATTGGCCATTTTGTCGTTGGTCACGAGATTATTCACTTTGAGGGCAACAACAGCACTGCGGATGCTTAATTGCAAACATAGGATAATATGTGCAGGCCATAAATAAGGACAATAGCACTTGGATCTACTTAGCGTGACCATAAAGAGACTCTATCCCACGCACATTACCAACAAGACCACAACTCTCCACACGCCGGGTTTGGCGCCGTGGATGGCCATAATATCCTGCGAATAAAGGCTTACGAAGTGGAATATGAGGCCACGCAACCTCACTCGCAGAGCAATTTGACTATGATGGATTACAGGGAGCCAAAGGAACGTCACGGTTTCGGAGCAAGCTGAGGATTAAAAAGGCGGCAATGTGCCTACCTCTAGAAACATGCATTTCTAGATGGTTGAGCATTATTATTATTTCTGCCTGAGTCAATATGGTCGCGAATAACAAATTTGATGAACTGGAGTAAATGGTTGTTGAATATTCCCCGTTGCATTGGCTGAGCATCTTTGATATTGATGATCGAATTCGCCTGTACTATGGCTCGACGCCATTTTTACACACTAACTTAGCACGGGCTGAATTCATGCCATGCAGTTCAGGAACAAGCCACGCATTTCACCGCCTCTCTTTCGCCGTCTGAGGGGGCAATTGACATGGATATGACGATACCATCACTCCCACTCGAGATCTGGACTAGGATCCTCGGACATGTCAGCGAACCACACTATCTACCCCGCACCTGGCTAAACTGCCGGCGCGTATCGCACGCGTTCAAGGCCGCCACGGAGACGGCGTTCACAGACGTCTACCTGCGCCGTATGGTCATTCGCACGGAGCTCGCCGAGATTATTGACCTGACGTTTGCCGGGTTCGCGGAGAACGACCGGTCCGTGGTGTGTTTTGCCCATGCCCCGGCCGACCGGCGCGACGCCCCACCTCGCATGCCGCCCGAACTGATGGCGAGACTGGAACAGCAGGCAGAGCGTGCCTGGACGCGCGAGCACCAACGTTATCTGAGTTCGATAGAAAATGGCTCACCGTCATTACTATATCAGATCTGGCTCATGGGTCATGTGGAAGATACCGGCTTTCCAGGTCTGAAGATGGACATTTCTAGCAGGAGCATGTGGTTTGAGTGGAAGACGTTGCTAAGTACCATGTTTGGGGAGATTGAGTACAGAAAGTGGCTTCTTCGGAAAGAGATAGAAGCGTCTCTTGGTGAAGGAAACGAGGAGAGTTGGGGAGAATCTCCGCCGCAAGATGCCATCAGTCGCGTGGCCAATATTGAGATGCACGTCCGTAAGCTCAGACCTTGGAATGCTGCCTCAAAGCCTGGGCGCGACCGCAGGCAAGAGTGGCAAGTCAATTCCCTACAAGCTTATCGACCTGATTTGGGTGTCTGGTGGAGGGAAGAAGAGAACTGGGGGGTTGTTTATGATGAGGTTCATCCTAGATATCCGCAAAGACCGCCTGAGACATGATTCGGATAAACACTGCCTTGTCATTTGTGGATTTGAACAAACCTCTCGCAATACCCCTTTATCCAGTTCTACAGTCTGGCCTCGGTCGCATTCGAATTTCCCTCTGTCCCATTGAGTCCTACAGCTGAAAAGTCCGCAATTCGAGTCACCTCAGAGTCCCAAAGTGCTGCCAGCACCGTCCTCTTGCCAACCCAAGGAGACCTGGAATGCATGACCGCATAGTTCTGCATAATTGATCAGTACCTAGTATGGAAAGAAAGACAGAAAGAAAGAACAATGAACTGTAAACGCGTACATCCAATAGTACAATGTCGCCCTTTTCCCAGGAAATCAGTACCTGAGACGCTTCGGCAAGCTCTAGCGCGAGATCCAAGTACTCCTTCTCAATCTTTGTATCGTCGCCATATAATGGTGGAGGGTGGTAAGAGTCGTCATCGCCCCGATAGGGCGGCTCCGTGGCTCCGTGATACTTGCTGCGGCCCCAGGCACTTGTTAGGTTGCCAAACCACGTCGTCAATCCCGTGTCTCTGTGGATTCGAATTACTATTTCAAATGTCAGCAAAACTATCTTTTGCGCGTGCCAGGACCTGAAGAGACTCTAACTTGGGACAATATGCGTCACTGATAGTGACCCATCCCCATGCCACTCGAAACGGTTGCTATGTCTTCGCACCTCCTTTTCAATTCTGGACCGTCTCGTCTCAGCGTCGTCTTCAGGATGGACATGTTGACCATACGCCCCCAATACGCTGGTGCCGGTATTCGATGCCACGTCTTCGACACCGTATCGGTAAACGTACTTGACTCCCTTGGCCAGAAGCTTCTGAACAAACTCGGGAGCATGCTCTTTTAGAGAAGCAGCTAGTCCGAGACTGGAAATGATTGGTGTTTCTCCTCCTTGTAACTTATTCAGCTCAGGTGATACAATACCATGTGTAATGTAAGGGGGTTATGACTAACCGGACTCTGGCACATCCAAACACGAGAATGTAAGCCAGGACGGATTGATCGTCGACCAGCCATACTCATTATGTGGCCATATGGGAAGTTCAGGCGGCCTTGACATATCTAATCAACGTGTATTCATTATCATTCTACACGCGCACCGTGGACCTTACCCTTCATTCGCAGTCTTGACATTCCTCGCAAGCACTGTGCGCAATGGAGGCCTTCCTACTTCTTCGTGGGGAGGAAACCCGAAAGCATGTGCAACTTTACTGTAGTCCTCTGCCGTGCAAATGGGGAGACCGCGGATCAGAAATGCGCCCCCATGATGTTGTACTTGTCTGAAAATGTCACCAGAGTCGGAAAGTTGGCGGATTGTCGCTATGGCCTCATCGAGCGTTGGTGTCCACCCATCCGCCGGCCTCAGAGCCAACGGAAAAGACACGCCATGGTCAAAGCCAAGTTTCGCTGTATCTTGCTGACCATTGAAGGAAAAAGCCTCAAAGCGATGCTTTGCCATCGTGGATATAGAATGCGAATTAGTTGTGGCGATTGAAGAAGAGAATGAATTCAACCACCTGCATTCAGCATGTCGAGAGGAATACAATGTGTCTCTCAAACCATATAGCTTTGCCGGTCTATACTGCAGTATGCATCCTGCCCCCGATTGAGGCGCCCACAGGACTGCAAGACCTCCGCATGCGACTGTCGGGAACCTCCCGAAATTCGTCAATCATCCTTGTATTGTCGTCAGTGTAACCATCCCCACAATTACGAATATCGAGCAATACCATTGGAGACTTATTGTCTGACCTGCAAGACCACTGGACATTTTTAAAGGACCACGGCCACCTATAGAGCTATATCGGTCGGCGATGCCTTGGTTTTTAGCACGCAATGCCGTGTGGCTTCCGGGGCGCCAGTGACCTCTCTCAGTCACGAAGTTCCGATTTGGCTCGAACTCTAATAAGTGACGTACTGCGCAACTATTATTGTATATGTAGAATTACTTGCTTATTTTCTTTCATATTACAATATTTGTGGCAAGAAATACTGGAGAATAGTGATGAACAACAATTTTACAATGACAGCTTCCAAAAATGACGCGGCACAAGTACAAACTGAAGAGCCTCTGCCGGCAAGCTCGACCGAAAAGTACTCCTGGTACAGAGGCGTCTTTTTCAATGCAACCGTCGTGGGAATCGCCGCCTTTGCCGCTCCTGGGCTCTGGAACGCCATGAACTCGGTCGGCGCCGGCGGGCAGCAAACCCCATACTTGGTCATGTCAGTCCAGTGCCTCTTACTCTTGAACTGCTTGTTAATATTAGTAGGGCTGGGAATGCTATTTTGTTCGCAATAATGACATTTACCTGCCTTGCCGGCAGCTTAGTGGTGAACAGATTCGGGTACCGGGCCGCCCTGATATTCGGGACCGCCGGCTACGTTGTCTATTCGGCGGCACTCTACACCAACAACCGCTACGGCACGGTCTGGTTCATATACCTGGGATCCGCAGCATGCGGCGTCTCGGCTGGAATATTCTGGGCCACTGAAGGCGCCATCATGCTGAGCTACCCCGAGCCGGAAAGAAGGGGACGTTATCTCGCCTACTGGCTCACGTATCGGAACAGTGGCTCCATCCTAGGTGGCATCATCAACCTTGCCTTCAACTATAAAGGTGCCAGCACGGGGAAACTTGACTGGAGGACTTACATTGTGTTTGTGGTTCTTCGTAGGTCTGGTCACATCTAAGCTGCAAACACTTCATTCTGACAACCGGAGCAGAATGTCTAGGACCGGCTGCTTCGTTCTTGTTTACATCACCTGAACAAGTCATACGAAGGAATGGAACCCGTGTACAGATTGCCGAGCGTATTTCCGACAAGGACGAAGCCAAAGGTCTTTTGCAAGTCGTTCTCCGAAAAGACTTTTTCCTCATGTAAGTCATAGATGCCAGATGCGCGGCATGGGCACTAACATTGGCAGCTTGCCGTACTTTGTCTACGTAACTTGGGAGCTTCCATACATAGGCTCGTATTTGTCATTATACTTCTCGGTCCGTTCACGAGCTCTGGCGTCCCTAGTATCGGCCCTGGCTCAGGTAGTGGCGACATTGATCTTTGGAGCCTTCTTGGACTGGACCAGGTACGACCTCAACAAGCGCGCCCGCTACGGTTACATTTTCATGATGTCTTTGATCGGTGGGTGCTGGATCTGGGGCGTTATTGTCCAAAATCAATACACGCAGCACAAGCCAGCGCTTGACTGGGACGACGTCGGTTTTGGCAAAGGCTGGGCGCTCTACATTTTCTGGCAGATCAACTTTTCCCTCACTTACAACTTTGGCTTTTGGATGATCAGCTTCCTCGCCCGCGAGCCGAGTGAGATTGCTCGTTATATGTCTTTGGCCCGTGGTGCCGAAGCTGCCGGTCAGTGCATTTCCAGTGGGATTAGTTCGACCTCTGCCCCGGTTCGTATTCATCTCGCAACATGCTTTTGGTAACCTTGCGCTGACCCTTTCGCAGCTAATATCAGCATTGGGCGTAAATTTTGCCTTGTGGGGGCTCGCAGTTATCCCAGCTTGGTTCGTGGTCCGACAGATTGGTGTCATCTACCATGGCCCGGAGAAGTCAGTTTCTCCCGAACAGGATAACGATCACAAACTGCAATCACATGTAAAAGTAAGAGGCACGTGATGCCTCACCTCGGGGCTTATGAGTGACCTTCAACACGCGATCGTGAAGCATTTGTGTAGTTGGAATACTGATGAATAGAAATCATCAATCAGTGCCACCAATGCAAAATATTTCACTGTGACTTTTTTGGACAATGGGATAACGTTTCTTTTGATTTTTGTAGTGAGGTTTCTAGATCAACTCTTGACTTAATGCAACTCTCTTGGGTATCATGGGACCAGAAATATGTCTAAAACCACACGTGGCCAAACAACGTACGGTGAGCATGGACGAAATTCATGTATATGCTTTTCCCTCAGTTCTTCATCCCTACCAGTGTGTTCATCTGTGCAAGCCACCTTCTTGCGAATTCTTCCTCGGTGAACCTCATGGAAGAGACTCGTGCCCGCTTTCTCACCGACAGGGGGTTGGGTAGAGACAGGGCCTTGTCATAACCTTGAGCAAATTCAGATGCGGTGGTTGCATGGAAACCTGGCGCTTGTTAGCTTCGCTCTCATGCAAACAAAAAAGACTTCGACATACCTGTGGGTTCGCCATCAACCTCGGTGAAGATATCAAGCTTGGGGCCACCACTGTTGTGCACAACTCCGATGAGACCAGCTGCCTGGTACTCGACGCAGCCGATACCAAAGTGCTCGTTCCACATGCCGTTGACACCAATGTAAGCCTTGCGTAGCCATTGAAGAATATCAGGCCAGCTCGCATCCAGTTGGAATGTGACACGATCCTTAATTCCGAGTTCATTGACCAGAAGACGCAGCTGGTAGACGCGTTTAGAGTCGCTGTCATCACGAACGCTTCCAACAAGCACTAGCCGGGTATTCTTCGATGCCTCCGAGCCACTGTTGACCAACTCGGCAAAAGAGTTTACAATCAAACTGTGATTCTTCTCGGGACGGAACTGGGCAATGTAGAGAAGCGCTTTCTCTCGCTGCTTCTCGCTCTCTTCCGAAATTTCAATCTCCCTTTCCAGCTCTCTGACAGCGCAAGGGGGGTAGACGACAACAATGGGATGTTCTCTAGACCTCTTGGCACGGCGGGGACCCCAGAGCTTCTTAATATGTGCCTGAGTCCACGTAGAGTTTGTCATCACCACATCTATCGAAGCTCCCATCCAACAATAGACAGCTGCAAAGATATTCCAGTAGTATCGCTTCACAAGTCCCTTGAGACCTGCTCCCTGGCCTGCATTGACTCCTCGGCTGCCAAGGGGACTCTCTGGATCGAGCGACTCAATCATGTCCGTCGAAATGGTCGGGTAGTGGACATATGCGCCGGTTGGCATCTCCGGGAAGAGCATCTTGCTTAGTCCAAGAACAAAGGCGTAGCCCATGGTATCAACAAAAATATCTGGGACCAAAAGGGAAAATGCGTCCCAACCGAGAATGAGTGAGCCCAAGGACTGTCCAGCCAAGGTGAAATGGGGCCATGTCGATGCAAGAACGAATCGTCGAGTGGAAAGGTAGAGAAATGTGACAGTCGGGGGATGAATGTGAATACTAAAGGTATTCTGTGGCAATGATTAGCTTAGAAGGGCCTAACTTGTGTGAGATTGAAATACTAACCTCTACCCTCTCAAGAATCTTGTCCTTGGTCACATCATGATCACCAGTGTAGACGACACATTTGGCCTTGGGCCACTTCTTCTGCGTAGCGCGAATGGCTGCCCACAAGACTCTCTCACCACCGCCTCCAGCATTGCAAAAGGGGTGGAAGAATCCGACAATACCATCCCAGTCCGGGTTTCCCTCGCTCTTGGATGTGCCAGCTGTCGAGGGATCGATGTGTTCCCACTCGTCGTCTAGACTGTCGCTCGGCTTCTTTGAGCCGCTCTTTTCAAATTCTTGCTCTTGTTCTCTGGAGAGTCGCTCAATAAGTGCCCGCCGGCCATCTGTCTTGCGTCGCAAATACCATCCAAGACTGGCGCCGATGGTTCTCGAGAGGAAGCGGAAGAAGGTCGGGAGTCCGTAGTTCCAGAACAGTACGGCCAAGAAAGGAGTTAAACCAATGGCAGCTGCCGTATAGATGAGAGCTGAGGATGCCATGATGAGAGAAGGGCTTTGGCGAAAGTCGGCGGTTCGGAGCAGCGCAGAACGCTCATGCGACGTTTCGAGGCTGGAAAGTCGTTCAGGTCGAGGTGACGGTGAATGTGTAAACGAGGGACAGTCTATGAAAGGAAAAAGACAATAACCTCCTGCCAGGCAAAACTGCTGGTGGTCAGTAAGTCAACATGGCCCATTGAAAGGGAAAGAAGCTTGAAGAAGAGTCAATAATTAACCTGTGATCACAGGTCAAAGGGTGAAGGTGTTGCAAAAGAATGGTATACATACCTACAGACCAGATCGACGTTAAACATTGCCAGGTCTCAACGTCGTAATCCGAGACCCGCAGTGCAGCTCACCCTGCAGCGCTGTCGGGGTCCTGGGGTACGTAAATTTTGGCGCTAGCTTCAAGCTTCAAGCTTCAAACATCATGACCACTGTGGCGGCGTTTGCATGTGCCATGTGGCTGTTCGACCCGTTCCAACACATGGAGCTGGGCTGATTATGTACACAAGGTAGAAGATATCACGATTTGCAAGCATTGTTTTACCTTTCTACAAAGCGATAAAGAAGTATTTCTATCACGGAACTTGTTGTACTATCTCGTTATGGACATTCAGAAACCATACAATTCATGCGCCGTCTCCTGTTTTGTAGAAAATCGTTTTGCATGCCTCCCACGCCTTTTCCACTGTAACCGCTAACACCAACCACTAAAACTGCACCCAGACCCGATTTCCTCGCATTGATTGGATCGTGGCCGCACCTGTACCATCCAATGTGAAGATTGAAGCAAAGTCTTTTGCCTACGAGTTGTACACAACAGCAATCGTGAGGATGGTCTGAAATGGCTGCCTCAAATCATCTTATGTTTTCTGTCCGGGCTGGAGCTCCATTTTGCAGAGTTCCGGCCCGTTCGCGACTCGCAGCCTCTCCAGTCTCATCAGTGCTGTTGACATCCCAATCGCCATCTCATCAGCACCGCGCGTATCATCTTTCCCCTTATATCAATGAAGGATGCCAAACTGCACAAGATGCCATTGTGGCCTTGCACAGCATCACGGGATTATCATGGGGCTTGACTATACCCCTGGTAGCCATTGGTGTGAATATGATAACCCGTCTGCCCTTCAACATTTACACCTCGCGACTACTGCAGCGCCGTTCTCAGATTGCTCCTGTGCAGCAAGGATGGTTCATGAAGTTGTGGCAAGATTCAATTCGTGAAGGAGTGCCCCCAGAAGAGATGAAAAAGGAAGTCGAGAAGCGAGCCAAAAAGCAAACCAAAAGGTTGTATCGAGCTCTGGGTGTACAGCAGTGGAAAACGCTCTCAATTCTGCTGGGCTTCCCGTTTTGGATGATGAGCCTCGAAGCGGTACGAAGAATTTGTGGCTGGTCTCGAGGATTACAGGCCAACACCAATGTGGATGGGAATTCAGTGGCCAGTACACCGGCGCTGCAAGCTCCATCAACGCCATTATCGGACACGGCACAAGTCGTGAGCAGCACTTCTGGGAATGCTGCGGCCGTGTCTTCCAACGCAACGACGGTCGCCGACTTGCCGTCGACCGCTGCTCAGGTCTTGGATCCAGCATTGGCCAGTGATGGAATACTGTGGTTTACAGACTTGACAGCTGCGGATCCTTACTTCATACTTCCGACTTGCTACACGGTTCTGATGGTGCTAAACGTGATCCCGAAGGACGAAGTAGCTCGAAGAAAGTTATTTGGCCAATTGTATACCTTGATTAACAGGGACAAGAAACCATCGCAATCGCAAGCACGTCCATCACTCACGCTGGCCGACAATATCGGGGTCGAACCCGACTGGCGAGTTCGACTACTTCGATCTATGATGGTGGCCTCGCCGGCTCTGTTGATCGCCACCGCCAGCTTTCCAGCAGCAATGCATTTGTATACCATCCCTTCGCTGCTCGCTACCATGGCAACGAGGTCAACACTTTCAAAGATTTACCCTATGGAACAGAGAGTCAAGTCCGCCAAGCTCAGAGAATTCTCGGTCATTCGGCCAGCGTTGGCAAAATCCCAGAATCGGTCGCCTGAGAAGCTATGATGATGAGAACGTGATTCCATCCGCAGGGCTTGAATGATCAATCGGAACTAGAGACGCCACCAACATCACAAGATAATCATCCGGCGAGAAGCGCATGTAAATCAATGTACGACAATAGCACGAAGCATGTACAGTATCAAGGTGAATCACTGAAATCTACTTCTAGAAAGAGGGACTCTACACGAGGAATATAAAGAACGTAACGGTGTGCATTTGCAAGCTCATCAATGTACATGAATATCAACCCGCTGGACCCAGAAACCCCTCAAACGCCATGAATGCAATTCCAATCCACGTTGCTCATATCATATATCCCTCGAATCACCCCAGAAAGACGGCCAAGAGAACAATAGTCAGGATTACGGCTAGAATCAACAGTAGACAACAGGCCTTGCTCCTGGCATTCTTTTGGTATCTTGCTGCGCTTCTCAGCTCGTAGTCGGCGCCTCTGGTGTCGTCGCGGATGTTGACAGCATTGCTTTCAATTGTTTCCAACTGTTCGCCTTGCTCGCTGACAATTTGAGCGACTTGACGGAAAAGGACGTTCAAATCTCCAACGCCTTCCTCAATCTGTCGGATTTCCTCCTCACGCTCGGCAATCAAGGCATCTTGGAAATCAACGTCGTCTTGGTTGGCCAAGTGCACCTGTTCTTGCTGTTGCTGGAGCAGCTGGAGTTCATCCTGTTGAGCGCCGCGGGCCTCCGAGGGAGATTCCGCATCGAGCGCCGCCTTGGCCGCGCTGACACTGGCGTTGAGCTTCTCGAGGGCCGTCCTCTGGAGACTCTGGAACTCCTTGAGACTCGCGCCAAACTCGCGTGCAAGCTTTTGCTGGCTGTATTTTTGCGTCGGTGTGATGTCTTCTCCCCACTGTTGCAGCTTCTTGACGCCCTCGCCCACGTCCTTGAACTGGTCGCGGGACTCTTCGAGAAGGGCCTGAACTCGTTCTCGCAATCGGGGGTTATCTTGCCGGGTGCCGAGGCGGTTGATTTCGGTGCGCAGCTTTGAGTTGTTGCCCTGGAGATGAAAGAGCGTGTTCATCAAATCTTGCGACAGGCGACTGAACTCGGGCGAGTCGGAGTAGGCGCCTTGACCTTGACGGCGGGAATTGCCTCTCCCGCCTCCACCAGACTCCATGGACGATAGCTGGTCAAAAGACATGATAGCTTCGGCTAAAACAGAAAATTCGGCAAGTGGCGAAGCGATTTAGTGAAAGTCGAGGCGACGATGTGGTCAATGATGCGACGAAAATGCGAACGATAATAGTGAATGAGATGGTTTATCATCTGCCTAGATTCTTGGTCACGACCTGCCTGCCACCCTTGGCTGATTACGTACATGCTCTTTGGGCCAAAAGGATGCACGCGGCACTCCCAGGTCGCTGCTGCGTGTGCCAAACAGCCTCAGTAAATGCATGATTCGAGCTAACATTCCTTTAAAAGAGCTTTTTGGCGGGGTGTCAATGCCAGCTATGCGCAGCCCCAAGCTTAACAAGCTTCTACGACAGGCGACGAATTAGCGGAGCTTGGACAGTTCAGGCGTCTCGTCGCGTTGCTCCAGAACACCCCAAAGCTCCAAAGATTTTTTTTTAATTTACTTCCGTTGTTGTCCACTTGCAACCCAACTCAACACCACGAATCGACAACAACAAACGACATTGTTCCAGACGACGGGCTTCGGGTCAAGTGTTGAGAGATCTCGGCATATAGGGATCGAACGATCATTAATTCCAACACCCCCCGTACCCGAGCCATGTCATAGCCCCGAAGCGCACAATGACAGTCATTCGAAGAGCTCCATACAAGGACTTCTTGCAGCCTTGCATGCAAAGAAGATTTGCATCAGCGCTGCTTGTCCTGCTCGCCCTTTCATATCTCGAGTCTCTCACTCTGTCCAGCTGGAACTCGATCATTTGGTCTTGGTTTCCCATTGGTATCGCTGGCATCCGTACCATCTTCATCTTTGGAAGTGTTCTCTTGGTTGTCATCCTCCGCATTGCACACCCTCATATCGGACTACGCACAAGCGACTCACCCTTCGACACTTTTACGCACAATGTTTTCTCCCTTGCAGCATACGAGACGATCGTGACATATGCCCTCTCGGCCTTTCTCTTCAGCCAGGTCTACTTGGGCTCTGTCGCGGATCAATCCAACTTGCACTGGATTACATACCATAGCGGCGACCGGGCACGGCTCAATGAACGAACTCTTTTCTATACCGTGTCGATGATTTTGATTGGCGTGGCAGCTGGCTTCCTGCATTTGTTCTTTGATGTTGATCGTGTCCTCTTGGGAACGGTCAAGGAAACAGATGAGAAACCGAAGCAGGAGGATCCATATGAGAAACTACTCTCCAAGGGACCGAGTCTGGTCGTACGATCCGTCACCATCTCGGCCATCGTCGCTACAGCCAGTTACGCGGGCCTATACTCGTGGTTGTTTCGATACACAGCCTGGGGATGGGCCATGTTCTTCCTTCGTCCCTTCTATAACCTGCCCAAGACCAATATTCCGCCCTCCGGCGCGCCATGGAGCATCTGGATGCTGGGAAGAACAATCGCAGCTGGCACTCTGTTGAATGTGCTCTGGCAATTCAGCAACGAGGCATTCACTGCCAATTTCGCAAAGGCGCCCGTCAAGAATGGCCAACCTATCACATCCGAATCCAAGGACCCCAATGGCAGTCTGCTTAATGGGCTGAAGAATAAGAAGGCGAGAATTTCGGTAAGTTGTAGTTGTATCTGCCTAATGCCGCCGCAAGCTAATAACATCAGTCTTTTGCCATGTGGGAACTGGCCTTGATTGCACGAGACTTTGACGTTCGCCGCAAGGCCATCTTTGAGGATATCGATCGGAAAGATGGTCCTATGTGGTCTCAAGTCTACAAGCTCTGCATGGACCCCATCAAGGAACTAGAGAAGCGGATCGACGATTATGGCAAACCACCCGCTGCTCCTGCCTCTGCACCACCACCTGCCCAGCCGCAATCCCGAGCGCGCGTTGTCGAACCACCTGTTAGTGCCAATGTCTGGCAGCCCGCGCCCCCACCAAAAAACCTGCGTGACTCTGTGGGCAAGTTTGTGGCAGAGGTGGCCAACTCGCCTGGCCCCAAGCCTTCAGAAAGTTTGGTTCCCTTAGCAAAGAAGACAGCTGCTGATGTCCGAGATACGCTTCTATCAAAGCAACACCAGGAACAGCTCAGCCGCCAGGGCCTTGTTGGCATGCTGCACTCGCTTCTGTTGATGTTTCCAGTCAATTGGAGATGGCTCTTCAGACATACACACAATAGACGTGTCAGTACTGCTGTCCTAGGTACGCCATTTGGAGATGTCAGCCTCTACGTCAATTCTGCCTTTGCACTCTCAAGACTGGCCGTGGCTAGTTTGACGGAGGATAATTATGGAAATGTTCATCGTGATGTTCCCACTATTATAAGGACCTTGACTACGGTCATCAAAAAGTTGGAGATTTTCCAGGACAACTTCCCAGCCCACTGGACCGATCCCGACAGTGTACGACAATCTGCTAGCGTCCAGGAAGTCCTCGATGCCTTCAAGGATGCTCTGGCTAGAGTCATTACCGCCTTTGAAACGTACAGCTCAGATTTGAAGCTGACGAGGACCGACTTGCGGCTTGCACAAGAGGCAGCGCAAAAGCCGGAACAGGCTCAACAAGTTGAGAAGCAAGTTGAGAAGCAGCCAGCGATGCAGCAGGTCCTTTAGTGGGTGATGCTGGCATTCCAGCAGCCTTTTGCAGTGCCGAAAAGACTTTATCATATCTACATAGAGTTGCTCTTCAGAAATTAACTTCCCATGCCAATGGAATGATGACCATGAATGGTTCTTGTCAATCTGGGTCGCCAAAATCGGCGTCGACGCAGAGACCCTTTCGGCAACCCAACCGAGCTGCATGGGCAAATAAAGTGACCTCATTTTTGTTATTACGGCGTAACCGAGTGGGGCAGCGACCGGCAGCTAAATTACAAGCTAAATTACAGCCTCCCATTTCCGCAGCGATTGGGGGCATTCTTAATCCAACTTCCACCTCCTGTTCATTCTCGTGTTTTGATACCCTCAAGTTTTTAGGCTGATTTTGTTTGTTTGGTTATTCCCACTCTGCCGACCGATCCTGCCTAGAACCTATTCTAAGAACCAACGTGCTCATGATTTATGATATTTTCTACCTGCATCGCAAAGCACCTAGCTTGATATCGAAATGAACCTGTCACCGATATCCAGTACGAGCGTGTGCGACAAATCAGATCGCATCGCATTCAGACGAGCCAAGACGGCCAGAACCCGCCTGTCTACCTCGAAATCATGTCTCCTCCACGATCCACTACGCGAAAGATATTCCACTACATATATAATACCGTCTACGTTGTCTTATGCTTCGTTCTCGCCGCCCTGATCCTCGTCACCCCTGGAGACGCTATTCGACAAACCTACTACAAGACACTACAGTACACTAATATTGTCATCATCGCCATTGCCTATCTGGTGACCGTCCTCATCGTCCTCTTCATATATTCGCTTCGACTCTATGTTACGCGCACGGTGTTGGCCAGTATCCCGAAGAGCTGGGCACCGCTCAACAAGGGCGAGATCAAGAAAAATGTCAGGGAGATGATTCACAAGGACCTTGGCAGGAGTGCCGCGATTGCCTGGCAGGCAAGGCCCAAAGTCAGCTCGGCTTCGTTTATGGACTACGCCGACGACCTCAGCGCTGTTGCGGAAGAAGACGAAGAATACTCGGACCGTAATGAGGATGGATCTGCGCACGCGAAAGAGTCGAGGGCGACCCCGGATCGCCGACTAAAGAGGAGCGATACAATCGAGGAAGAGATGGGTATTGCGCTACCACCGACCAAGCCCGTCTGGGGGCATATCGATCACCCTGGCTGGGGAAGTCCAGAGTCCCCTGATCTCGCCAATATTCAGTACAGTGCGGTCCTGGCCGAGTTGCCCAATCTGATAGAGGGTAAAGCCATGTCGCTTGCGCCAACCTTGCCAGGTTCATCCGAAGAAATGCCTCTACTTGACCCCGAGGCGGTCGAAGCTTTGCAGAGGCAAGCGAATATGACTATGCGCACATACATTGGGCATCTAGTCGACCTTGGGGTTCTCGAGGCATCAAAAGATACTGCCGAGTTCTTAGACGTGTATGAGCGCGCTCGGTTCTCGACCAAGCAAATCCCCGGCGACATGTTTAGGCGCCTTATGCATCTGTTTGCAGAACTCCTGCGTTCTGCGAAATCGTTGGATCGCGGGGTACTCGAAACCATGCGAAGTATGAATGAAATGTACACGGAAAGCAATGCCGGGTCTAGCTTGGATGAACAGAGTTTCTACTTTGCCCAAAGTCGTCATCGCGCAGATATTGATGATGACGCACCTCAAGACACGAGCCCCACGACACCAGCACGAAGCCTGCGTAGTCTTGACAGCGACTCCAGCCCGAGAACGCGGAACAATACTCGGCCTAGCTTGGTGGGCAGGACTTCTTCTGGGGCAAAAAGCAAGCCCGGTCGTTCAAGAACTGTCAGCAGCAAAAGACAGCTTATGAGAACCACTTCTAATATTAGCAGCGTTAGAAGTGGAAGCAGTGGGAATAGTTTCGCTCAGACGCGGAGGCCATATCTTGCTGGTAGTCTGAGCAGCAGAAGTCGCGGCGACAGCCTGAGATCAGGCAGCCGCGGAAGCGATGGCGGAAGTGTCATTCGACTGGCAACACGTGATGATGGGGTTGATTTGCCTTATGTTCTCAGGGTCACGACTACGCTATGAACAGGAGTCGAGGCTTAATGATGCATTTCACGCGAAAGACCGATAATAGCCGATGAACAATGTTCTGGCCTCCGACAATTTGAATAATATGCACATTATATATAGGTAAACCGAGCGTACCATCAGCATGTCAACCATGAATACCCAATGGATACAAACAAATTCATCAGTACTAAGCATCCCGTGCTGTCCATGACACTTCTGGGGTAGCCTGAATGTGAAATCTGAGTATGCTAACCTGCACGATCATAGTTTTCCAAGTCAAGGTAATGAATGGGTGGATTAACATGGGGCTACTATTATATTCAAGACCAGGTTCACAACGCGCCCGACTTTTCATCGGACAGGGTTCACGGTCCCGTATGTACTTGGTACAGGGACGCGTCAACTACGCCAACCACCAATAATCTCATTCCACACACCTGTGTATTTGCCAAAAGCGGTTTGCGAGATGTTGAGCCTCCGACGAAAATGAGAAGACTGTTTTTTTTTTTTTTCCTCACAATTCCATGGTCAATGAAACATGCGGCAAGTCACAGTTGAAAGAATTTTTCAAATCTTGAAATATGTACAATGCATTCATGGGGGTCTATCCAACATATACCATCCAGCCCAGAAGTATCGCCATGATATACATATCAAAAAAAGTGGCTCAGGGTCGTGGCTTCTATCGCTGTTTCAAAAACAAAAATTGTATACAAAGAATCGGAAGTGCTAATGCTCCCTTATAAGGTAAAAAGGCTTATCCGGAAAATTTGGAGAACCCTTTTAGTTCTTGACGACGTCGCGAGCGTGACGGCGCTTCTTGCAGGAAGAAGTCTTGGAGACGGCGGCGGCGCTGCTGGTGCTGCTGCTGGTGGTGGCGGCAGCCTTGGTGCTGGTGGTAGCAGCAGCCGAGGTGGCAGCAGCAGTGGTGGTGGCCTCGGCGGCGGCGGCGACAGTGGTGGCGGCAGCGGAGCCAGAGTCGGCAAAGGCCAGGGTAGGGCCGGGGATGTCGTAGCTGGCCAAGCTGGTGTAGATGTTGATCAGGATACCAGCGTCGTCCTCGGAGTAGAGGGCCTCGCCGAGGGTACCGGCGGGCGACTCGCTGCCAGAGCCAGTAACCTCAATGTTGAAGCACTGGGGGTAGTTCTGGGCACCGTCCTCCGAGCCGGCCGAGTGGAGGGCAATGATCTCGTGGCGGAGAACGTAGTTGCCAGCAGCCAGGGTCGAGGGGATGGTGATGCTCTGGGTGTAGTTGTTGGAGATGAGCTCGTCAGAGGCCCAGGTACCGCCAGAGGAGGAGCCCTCGATGAGACCGCTCTCGGCAATCTTGAAGAACTCGAGGCTGGTCTTGTCGACGGTGGTGCAGTCGCCGTTGCACGAGGCCATGTAGTTGATGACGGGGCCCTTGTGGGAGTCGGGCCAGGTGTTCCACTGGAAGGAGACGGTGGAGCCGGCGGCCGCGGTGGCGGTCAGGGCGGCGTTGCTGCCGTCGCGGTGGCAGATGATGTCGCCCGAGGCGTAGGCGTCGGGGGCGACGTAGCCATTGTCGGTGGCCGAGTCGGACCAGGCGATGCGGTCCACGGCGGGGTTCTCGTAGGGAGCCGAGCTGGGAGGGTATCCCTGGTACTCGACACCGTCAACGGTGATGAGAGAGACGTAACCGTGGGCGGAAACCAGACCGGCACCGGCGGCAAGAGCCAAGAGAGCAGAGAACTTGGAAGAGGCCATTGTGATTCTTTGTATGTTTGACAAGAGATTGAAGAGTCAGGTTTGGTTGGCAAGTGGTAAAAAAGGATCAAAAGCTTTTTAGAGAACTGGTCTCGGACTGTTTTATTCGACTTGCGTGAAAGAATGGAAAGTTTGACTGCAATCAATGCAGGTAGCGAATGTAGAAGCACGAATGAGTGTCTTGAAGAAAAGAATGTTAGAATCTGCTGTGAAGCTGAGTAGAGAAGGAGACTCTTACGACAATGGAGGAAGGATATTTCATATTATATACAGGAGGATCCAGACAGGCTGGGGGGGCAGAGGCTCAGTGCGGCTCTCCATTGCCGAGTAATGACGGTTGATCACCAACAACCCCAGCAACTGGTTTTTTTTTTCTTTCTTTCAACGTTCTATACAACCTTGAAAGGATGGATGGCATCCATGAATCCCTTCATCTCGACAGTGTATGCGATCTTGGCGATGCCCCGCAATAGATTGAAAGGAATAGAGTGCGCGCTTGGCGGTGATATATGACCTTGTTTCAAATGAGTGGGTATTCCGGCCGTTGGGGGGAGCGAGATGAGATGAGATGAATAAAGCGCGGCCCAGGATTATAGTAGGACGACTTGGCCCATGTTCCAGGCAGTTTCAGTCTTTTCCACCAATGGCGACAGACTCTTGGCTCCAAAAAGAGTCGAGGCCCTGCAGCGCATCACCGTCCATGATCGCCCATCATCCCAAGGATCCATGATAGGGGGGTGACAATCCCGTAAAGAACAAAACAAAACAATCTGGCCAGCGAGACAGCCACCCGGACAGCCAGACACACAACCATTCTCAGGCCTACCTTGGTTGGGAACCGCTTCCACTACCAGGAACACACAGACGTCCACTTACCAAGAAAAAGAAGGAAACGGTTCCCTTGGTTCCATAGCGGGTCTCGGTTATGCGGGGACTAGAAGCAAAAGAAGAATGATGCTAAAGGCCAATCAAGTTTAGTGGACATTCAGGGTTATTCAGAGCCGCCCTGAGCTAACACAGCTGAGCCGCCTAAACCGACCAGGGTGCGCCAGAAGTTAATTGAGATGGGATGGATGAATGACGACCCAAAAACCCCCCCGTGGTTCTCGGCACCGCTGAATTCGGCGAGTGGACCGAGGAGCAAGGTCAGACGAAGCGCTTCAGGTAGAGCCGCAATCTAGCAATGACATTATCGGGCGCCAGGGACGCGTCGACTTTTTCTTCATGTTAATGTTCTTTTCTGTCATTCCTAAACGAACAGATGAACCAGCCACCCAGCGTTTACCCATGGGTCACAGAACGACAGGCATAATTGTCCGGATTCGCACAAGCTGCCGAACCTGCCGCCTTGGCATGATGTCTGCATATTGAAAATAAGCCTTTCATATTGCAAAATGCAGATCTGATTTGAGATTATATAAAGTGCTATGCCTGGGTTCAACAGCCCGGACCTGGGATTTTGGATATGAGCCAAGCCGCCCACAAAGTCGGATTTAGTTAATTTCCTTGTTCGTGGGTGTCCCCGGTATCCCATCACTGACTTTTAGTTCTGTATATAAAGAGTAGTGAATTCCCGCAAAACCCCGGAAATAACAGCCATGCATTCGAGGTTCTGGACCTGGCGCCTCTCACCGAGTTAATGTCCGACCTGTGTGTCGTGGCAAGCAATACCAGGGAAGATGTTGATCCAGCGCCAAAAGTGAGGCAACATTTCTTTCCAGAGTATATCTTGTACTCCACGACTTACTTTCTTCTGCGTCTCGGCAACACTTTGTGAACCATTCATGGGCGGCCGAGTGTGCGGATGGCTAAGCGCCGACTAGTCCTGCCCATGTCACTGCCTGTCTAACCGACGCACGTGTGCAAGTTGACGCTGGTAAAAACTGTATCTAACGTCTCAGAGTACCAGCAGAAATGTCAATAGTACATTCACCATCTCGCAGAGAGTTGGTAACTTGGCAGTGGATACTGCGGAGAAAGACGAAGCAAGTGCCTAGAAGCCGTACAGGTGCGGATAAAGGAGACTCGTGTATCGCACTGTTCGCTCCGCCTTTGATGGTCCTCCTTGAGTCGAGAAAATGAAGAAGAAAAACGAGGCTTTCCATCCTAGGAATGAATAATATTGCTCCTTTCCACAAAGACCGTTGAGGGCCGCAGAACTTGACTCTGACACTACGTAACAGCTACCCTGTACAATAATAGTTAACCACCTACTTACCAACACTGAAATGATCCGTAAAGGCTCCGAGAGCAGTGTGGCCATTCCCAAACTACGGTCCCACCAATTATGCATGCCTTGGTCAACCTATCGGTCACTCTGCCCAGTAGGCATTACGCAGTAGCGTCTGCACCGCTTCACGATCGTCTTTTTCAACGAAAGGGTAAAACTCGGTGAGCCCATCCCACTCGGCGGTAGCACCTCTCTCAAGGAGCAGTCTCACAATATCCTTCTTGCCAGCTCTCGATGCTACCACCAGTGGTGTCATGACGAGAATCGTTGAATGGCCATTGACATTGGCGCCTCGGTCAAGCAGAAGCTCTGCGATGTGTTTCCAACCTCCGCGTGATGCTTCCGCAAGCGGCGTCCAGGCATCGACTCTGCCATTTACATCTGCTCCACGGTCTAGCAGTAACTCAACTACGTCTTCATGACCCTCTCTCGATGCGGCGGCAAGTGGCTGTTGGAATGATCCACCATTGACATTAGCTCCGCTCTCAAGCAAGAGCTCAATCACTGCCTTGTGCCCATTTTTAGATGACAATGTGAGCGGTGTGTCGCCATTATCCTCACTATTGATATTAGCTTGTACTCCAAACAGCTGTTCCCACCATACAGTTGCAACTCGATTGATGGAATGCGCTGTGAAGGAAACAGGCGAGAACGCTTACAAATTAACATTAACTCCCACGTCAAGAAGGAGTTTGGCAATATCTTGATGACCCCGAGTCGATGACCGTAAGAGCGCATAATCGCGGTGTACCTGAACAGCCGGCATGTAGTCAAGTAGTATTTCTACAATGCCAGTATGGCCATTTTCCGCTGCCGCAGAGAGCGGACTATGTTTATGTTGGGTATCAAACATAGGCTCGCGGTAGAGTAACATTAGTTCGACAATGCTTTTAGGGTCAATATCTGATGCGAGATTGAGCGGTGTGTCTTGTCCCGGTACCAAACACTCCGCGTTGGCTTCCATGTTGATTAGAACTTGGATGACGTCTTTGTGGCCATTGCGCGCTGCTGCATATAGTGCGGTATTCCCAGTTTGATGTTCATCATCGCATTCATGTAAAAGTTCTTCGTCGATCCCGAAATTGTCACCACATTGCTCGTTGAGCATCGCAGTGATTACCGAGTGGTATCCCAGAAGTGAGGCGACATACGCAGGACTTGACCAGTGATACCATTTTGAGTCAAAGTGTCCAAAGGGGCCATGTATACCTGCCCAGGTATCAAAAGCGCCGTTCGTCTCAAGAAACAAACGCATCACCTGCTTCTCAACGAGGTCTGACCCTTTCCCCTCTTGGAGATGACATGGCCAATACTCTGCGGCATATTCAACCAAAGGATATTGGCTTCGGATACTCTCAATCTGTTGCTCGCTCTGTAACTCCAAGCGTTGGATCTTGTTGAATGAGGTATCAACGGATGGTGGTTGATTCGATAGCTCATTCGTGAACATGGCGCCATGAGGTGTGCTTTTGGCTGACCACTCAGCTAGTCCTGGTTCCAGCAGTACAGTCAAGCATACATAAGCCATCAGATTGTTTGCATCCTGTCTACACAACTTAAAGAATGCGACTTGGCCATTTTGGGCATCCCGCTCTGATTCCAGGTATTCCAGTACCGAGAAATGGGCTAGGCGTACAGTCTGTACCCCATTGCCTGGGTGAGTATCAATTTCCGTGAATCCGGGGCACAGCTTCTGGATGGAGTCAAGGCTTTTGAGACGTCGTTTTGAGTTGAACCGAGGATTCTCGCTAGTCTCGGTGGCAAGAGCATCGATCAATTCTGGTACGGTCAGAGGCCGCATAGCACACGAGAGAATGGCCAACATCTGTCGAGCGTCATGTTTGTACATAGAGGGAATGTTCTGCAGCATCCGTGTATAGGTCTCATCCAGCGTCTCGGGCAGAGATTCAAGCAGCTGATCGAGAAAGTATTCACTATTTGGGCAGGTTAAAAGAGCCTTCAGCTGGCATTCAACCCAACGAAAGCTGTGATTGATTAGCCACGAGACGCACAATTTTTTTTCTTGGAGGCGCTTACACGCCCTGGGCTTTTTGGATGAGTGTCTCTTCTATTCGGTCAAAGAATTCTTGCCACTCTGATAAGTCTGGATCGGCACGAAGGTGTGAGGAGACAAAAGAAGCTATATCCTTGTCGACACCAGTGTTTCTGAGTGATAAGGTTTCGCAACCTGCCTGTTCAAGCCGTCTGCGAATATCGGGCTCATCCCGGCTCGTGGCCAGGAGATGGACTCCGGGCTGCGACCACGCCCGAATATCTTGGATACACTCAAGTACCGATTGGCGATATTTGTTTCGTGGGCTTTCGTCCAGAGCATCCACGAGAATGTAGACTTCACGGAATTCCCTCACCGCCTTGTAAAGACAGTCCAAAAGAGCCTGCTCAGGTGGCGTGCCGGGGCAATATTTGTCTCTCAACTCTTTCAGAGCCCGAGGCGTGTCATTAAGCTGGCTGGTCAATTGGAACAGCAGCGCTCGGAGCATAGCCGAAGCATCCTGTTTGCTCTCGTCGTTGAAGGTGAAGAAAAAGAATGCGATGCCAATGTCCTTGGCGGACCGGCGATGTCGGAGGGTGTGCTGTATCGCGGTGGAACACAAGACGGTCTTTCCGCAGCCGGCAAAACCTTGCAACCAAAGAAATGATGAAGATTGATGAAGCCAATTTGCGAAGGAAGAGCTTTTGATGAACCACATGCCAGTTCCAGCATGCTTCATCTTACATGCCTCGTTGAAATTAGTGGAGGCATCAGGCGCCTTCAGCCACTCTCGAATTTCAAAAGAGACCTGCGAGCTGCGCACCAGATCCAGCACGGTTCTGACGTCGTCGACAGAATCAGTAATGCGATCTATGGTACTGTGCTCCAATAATTGCAATGCCAGAGACAAGTGGACCACTAATTCGTAGATATCTTCATTGAGCTTGAGGAGAGTGCTTTGCCGTATCGGATATGCTAACCGCCGACCGAGCTGATGTGCAGCAGCACAAAGTCCCTCCACGGGAGTCATCTTGAACTTGTCCACTTCATTTTGTAGTTCTTGGATGCACTCGTTGCACTGGTCGACGGCAGATTGGACATTAACAACCAAATCCGTCTCATCGGCTCTGAATGAACGACATTTGAGCCGAGACTGCAGATTGTTGAGAATACCAAGTAGGTGATCGGTTTTTCGTAATGTATGACCGACGCTTGAGTGCTGGTCTTTGAGACCTGTGTAATAGTCGTAGATTGAATGAACGACTTGGATGCCCAACGACACTATTCCAACCGCGCTCCCCACAACAGAGAGTGGGTCTGCCATCGTGCAATGCTGGCATCGCCTGCACGCGCGGCATCAAGTGAGATGTCGTTGAACGAAGATTCCCGTTGCTGTTCTGGTGAAGTATCAAGTTTGCATCACGCAAAGTTGTAGCCCGGCGGCAAGGCATTCTCCAGGTATATTTACTTTACGTCGCACAGCCCAGTTGTGGACCCAAAAGTCCTACCTCGTACAAGTGGAGGATAAAAGTCTGGCTAGTCCCGAAGAGGACGAATAAGCATCTTCTGTGGTGCTGCATGCAATAATAGCTGGTGTGTGAGGCGTCGAACTGTGAATGGGTGCCTCAATACTGCTGTGGGGCATGGTCGAACATGATTCACGAAAGAGCAACATGCTCAGCAGGAATTTAAAAACCAATGGCTATGGTAGCGTTCATGGTGCCGTGCAAGCAAAAGGTTGGTACTTAAATCCACCGCTTTGTCAAGCAAGTTGAAGTAGCGAAGATATTGGTGTAAGATATGCGGTCCTGTTGAGGTCTTCACAGATTGGTCTACTCTAGATCCGACATGATCTCTCCCTAAATACCACCACCAGCACCGCTTTCAAGTTCAACGTCATTGCCCTCCGACCGCCTCGTCTCCCTCGACAAGAAACCATTGGACTTCTTTCCGAGCTGGAAAGGAAGCTTTCTCATACGCTTGAAATCAAACTTGGATCGTACTTCTCTTGCTGGTTTCCAAGCATCCGTTATCTTGCGTTGGGCTTTCGCCCAGAATGAACCCCCCTCCGGAGACGTATTAACCCATGCCACAAACAAGAAGACCATTGATGCCAGGTAGGTTCCGAGAGGTAGAGCAATCCAGCTTGCAATGAATGAGCCTGGTGTTGCCGCGTCTGTGTCTCCATCAAGCTTGCGTGACAGGTTTGACATGGCCCATAATGCCTAAACGACGTTATTGGACAATTTAAGGCGCACAAGAAAGAGAACAGAGCCATTATTACGGTTAGACTTACCGCCAAGAACCCCAGAGGAGTATATATGACTGTGATTACAGTAAAGATGATGACGAAAAGGTTGAGTGTTCGCGCATTCACTGCCTCGCGCAGCGAGGCAGCATTGAACAGCTGTCATAGATCAGCCTGCGAGCCAGTACTTGAAGTCAAAATCACGGGAAAGTTTAAAGACTGACACCATCACGTAGACTCTGGACTTCTTCCTTCTTCCTCTTGATACGGTCTCTTAGACTTTTAGCGGATGATTGCAAACGCCCCATCACAACATTCAGATTTGTAGTTAGAATGGTCAAATCAACATCGGCGTCTTCGTATATTACCATCGATTGGGCACGGCTGACAATATTGTCATTCAATTTTGTAAAGTCTGACTCTGTCTCCTCAATCCAGTCGTCAAATATTCGCAGCATCTGTAGAATGGTGAAATAAGTCTCTGAGATCTCGAAACCACTGTCAAACATGAGCGTCTGCCAATACTTTCTGTCTAGCGTGTCGGCTGGCTGTAATAACATTAATTAGTTAAAGAAGTAGACCAATCGTAGCGATGATACCACGTGTTGCCAAGCGTGTCTCAGTAACACAATACTCACCTTGACGCTCACAAGACCATCAATTTTCTCGAGTGTCTTCCCCCATATCGAATTCCATTCCTTGTAAACTTCAACAACTATTCTCAGGAGGACAGTAAATCCCTCGCCGTGCCAGCCACAGGGCTTGATCTCTTGGTCATTGGCGATCAAAGGCATGAAATCATCCGACCAGAGAATGACAGTTCCGCGAGTATCAAAGTATGTCACCGAGCACCATTCCCTAAGATCGATGCCATTTCCTGTGTTTTTGTTTAAGATGCGGCCTTTTTGGCGCTCAAACTTGATGGCACAGAGTGGTGAGATCGCCGGGAGAGAACTTGAAAATGGAGAATCCCACTGCCCGAGAGCAAAGCACTCGCAAGCACGCACCGAAAGGCGCAGAGGGCTTGAAGAGCCGGAGATCATCCGGAAAGCTGGACAGAACCGCGACAAATCCTTCATGAAGAGCATTGCGTTGTCGACGTCGACGTCGGTAGAATAAGCGGGAGAGGATGAAAAAGCTTGGAACAAGTATGTCATATCATGTGGATGAAGAAAGCTTTCCTTTGTCCCTCCAAAGTACCTAGGACACAGCAGGGTCAGCTACACGGAATGACAACCAAGAACGTTAGGGTTGAAGCATTGCTCACCACACTCGAATTGTGTTGAATCTTCGTGTGCTGTCGTAAATGTAATGTAACGACTCGTCACGAGCTGGAAACTCTTCAGGCCAAGACATTTCGATATCCTTCTTTATGTGCTCAATTTCCTGACCATGACGTTCGACAAAATAGTCTTGCGACTAACAATTATTAGTCGGGCAAGTAGAAATCTACCTATGAAAATGTATACAATGTTCAAGGATATATCGAAAATGAATCCAAATCTGTTTTCGTACATTCTACTAGACGGCCTTTGTGGTTTGTACTTACTAATGCATCGAGATCAGGATCAAGGAGTTCCATCAAAGTTATTACAAAGAGATCAGAGTCGAATCTTTTGAGCAGGTTTTCTTTTGACTTCCGAATCTCCTCTTCGGTAAGCGGATATTCCACCAAGATATCGTTGGGGTCCCTAGTTCTGACATTTATGGATCCAGAATAAGGTGATGCTTGGCTTCTTTGTATGTCGAAGTCTGAGCGGTGAACCGAATGCGTTTCAGGCTTGAGTGTAGGCGGCGGCATTACAGGAGCAGGCCCAGTCAAAGATCGAGTCTTTGAGCTAATTCGATCCGCGGCATCTGCAACATCGCTATCGTTTGGCTCGAGATGATCGGGGCTACCAGTAAGGCCAAGGACTTGCTGATATTCATCATCGGAAAACGTGTTGACGCGTTTTATAATATTGGTTTGACCATGTCTGTTGGCATCTGCAATCGCTCTGGCTGACGAACCCTTGATCCATCGCCTAAGCTCATCGCAGCCATCAGCGAGCTTTGCTAAAGCAGCCAAAAGCTCCGGGTCAGTTTCACGCGGAAATTCCTTGATGTGTGAGCTCGATGCCATATTGAATTACACATAAGAAAACGACGTGCAATGATAGATACGAGAGATGTCGTACTCTTGCTGTGAGCTCGCACGATTGTACGGATGGTCATCCTTCTACGGCTGAAACCTGGCATGCACCTGAGCTACGCCATTACGCACGCCAAGAAAACTTGGCCAGAGAATTTTTTTCGTAGTCATCATTCGCTGGGTGTGTCGTGTACAGCTGCACAATGACAGGCCGCAGTCTTGCTCTCGAAGGCCCCCAACGGCATGGAGGGATCAGCTTTGCAGTCAGCGCGTCAGGTCGAAGTTCCGTATGAATTGTGGATCCTCTCAAGTAAGCGAAGTATCGATGAGAATCATCCTAACGAAATAGGCTGCTGCTAGATTACCCACCTCTGCCTAGTAGTGAGGAATAATATACCCGATGCGCAAAACCATCAGCTATTTGTTCTTTTTCGGTCCTGAGTGACTAAAATAATGGCATCTATGCTGAATGCAAGCTTCTTAGGCAGCATGCAGTCATGTGACTGCTTTCTGTGGGAGTGCTAGCGTACCAATACGTTTCTGCCTGCCTCCTGAGTAGGGAAAAAAAAAAAAGAGAAACACCATCACGAGTCTGTTCTTATCTGATAGACATCTGGCCGAAACTCACGACAGTTCATCTTCTCGATCGTATCGCTTCACATACAGATCAATAAAGCCGACAACATGACAACGCCGCGAATCACCACCATTCTACCCTGTTCTGACATGGCCTCTGCCATCAAGTTTTTCGTTCGTTTAGGCTTTACAGCTCCAACTCAGGCCCAACTCAGTGAATGGGACCAGTATCTTGGCCTGTCTCACCCCAACGGATCCGATATCCATCTCCGCGAACTTGGACCAGAAGAGGAAGGCTGGGTGGTGCCAACTAGGAACTCATTTGGAATTTATGTGTATTCTGAAGACGTCGAGGCCTTGGGTGTCGAGTTTGCCGACGAAATCATCGAGGCGGGAAAGAAACCCGAGGTGAAGGAATGGGGTCTGCTGGAGTTTAGTGTGAATGGGCCCGATGGATGCCTAGTCCGCGTGGGGTGGCCAGCGGATGAAATTGAAAAGAAGAACACAACAAGCTGAACATCATGTCCTTCGTGGCACTCAACACGTTCAAATAGCATCTAAACAGATAAATCATGGCCGGTTTTTGTTGTTGATCTCTGTATTTGGACCACTCCAACTAGGTGATATCTAGAGCTTTGACCTCATGTTAACATGCACAGCCTTGACCGTCGAGTATGCCTCGAGACCAGCCTCACCAAGCTCTCTGCCAATCCCACTTTGCTTTACGCCTCCAAAAGGAATGCGCCAATCACTATCGTTGCTGGAATTGATCCAGACCATTCCCGCCTCGATGCGACGAGCAACGCGATGAGCCTTGGTCAAGTTGGTGGTGAATACTGCACTGCCAAGGCCGTACTGTGTGCCGTTGCACAGCTCTATTGCCTCCTCTTCAGAGCTAAATCTGCTGATCGTCACAAATGGACCAAACACTTCCTCTTGGAAGATTCTCATCTGAGGATTGACGTCTGCAAAGATGGTGGGTTGGATAAAGTATCCTGCTTTGCCATCGCCGGGAGTGTCACCACCCGACTCGAGCTTTGCGCCCTCGGCTTTTCCAATACTGACATAGTCTTTGATGCGGTTCAGCTGCGATTTGCTAACCTGGGGGCCTTGGAATGTCTTCTCATCAAAGGGATTGCCGACAATGGAGACATCCTGGATCTGCTTCTTGAAAGCAGCAAGGAAGCGATCGTATATACCGTCTTGCACGAGAATGCGAGATGTAGCAGTGCAGATTTGGCCCTGGTTGGACATGATGCCGCCGTGCGCCCATTCCACGGCGTTTTCCAGCTCTGCGTCGTCAAAGACGACAAGCGGACTCTTGCCACCTGTTTCGAGGGTTATGTTCTTTAGGTTGCATGCTGCCATCCTCATGATGTCCTTTGCAGTGGCTGTTGACCCTGTAAAGGCGATTTTGTCAACGTCCATGTGGGATGCAAGGGCCTTGCCGGCCTCGGCACCAAAGCCATTGACGATGTTCACCACTCCGGGCGGGAATCCGGCTTGTGTGATGAGGTTGGCAAAGTATAGGACTGAAAGCGGCGTTTGTTCAGCTGGCTTTAATACCACTGTATTACCGCTGGCGAGTGCAGGCCCGAGCTTCCAAGCCGCCATGGCTAATGGGTAGTTCCAGCTATACGAACGAGGTCAGCGCCATAATCTTGGGAGAAAATGCATAGACTTACGGAATGATCTGCCCGCATACTCCAATGGGCTCACGTATTGTGTATGCAAACTTATCTGGGGTGGTTTCAATGACTTGACCAAAGATCTTGTCTGCAAAGCCCGCATAATATCTGAGAGTGCCTGCAACCTCGCCCATATCCTCGTTTAGCGAGACCGAGTATGGCTTTCCATTGTCCCAGGTCTCGATTGTGGCCAGAGTCTCCTTGTGCTCGTCAACGAGGTCTGCAAGCTTGTTGAGCAATTGACCCCGTTCTGTGCCTGGGAGGTCCCGCCATGTGGGAGACTTGAGTGCTTTGCGAGCTGCGCGAACGGCTTGGTCTACATCATGCTCCGAGGCTGCTTGCACAGATACTATAGCCTTCTCGGTGCTGGGTTCATCAAGTTAGTAGACTTGCAGAGTAGAGGAAGCAGGAAATTCTGCTTACGATGGATCTATAGATTCAATTGTTTTTCCACTTGAGGATTTGACCCAACGCCCACCGATGAACAAGTCGGTTGGCTGCAGGTAGGTAACCCCGTTAGGGGCGGTTAGTTGCACGGCGCTGCCATCGGCCATTTTCTGCGTGACTTTTGGAAATTGGCTTTTTTTTTTGAATGACTTTTCAGAAAAATGCGATTCTCGTCGTATACGACAGGATGGATATGGCTTATTTGATATCTTTTTCTCGGAAGATGAATCGGCATATACTTGGAAAATCTTAGTCAAGCCAATAATCGATGACTATACGCAATTGTCCTACACTGGAGTCAGTGGACCACACTCAGTGGCCATAGGTACCTAATTGCCTAGATGGGAATGCTACGGGGCATATGGGTAGTGCTCAGGTCGCTAAACCCCGGCCGGAAAGATCCACTAAAGCTGTGCAATGGCTAAGCCCGATCTGGCGAAGAAGTCCCCTCACCCCAAGACAGCCGAGATGAAACAAGCTTTTCATGAGTCGGCCACTTTTACACTACGAAACCTCACATCGCAGGATCGCGACCAATGATTCCAGATACCCTATCGCGGCTCCGTCGCTGACGCACACCCTCTCGTCCCGAACCGGTAACTTATCCGCCGACTTGATCTAGAGCCGTTTTAGGCGAGTCCACGCGTCTCTCATCCTATCGACTGCTAGGGGAAAGGGACCTTTGACTGGTAAGTTTGTTTCCCAAGCGGCAATCATCACGCCTCGCAGCGGCATGTCATATCCGGAATGCAATTATGTATTACGGGAATGCTACTGCTCTAGTGTACGAGATGAGCTCCACCTGGGTCCGCGGTCCACTCCAGAGTCTGGGGAACACCATTCCATTTTCAAGCATCAATCTTCAAGGCATCGCTTTGCTTTATGGCCTGCCACAGGCTGAATCTGTTTTATTGTGTCTTTTGCGTACTATAGTTATCTACCACCCAAATTGACATTGTTGACCAGACGTCTATAGCTTGACAGGGATGGTTTGCTCAACACTGCCACCCTCCATTTCAGCAATTTTGCTGTGCTTTGGCACAGGGTGACTCTCGTCGACACCCTCGATCTGCATGAAACTAGTCCGGCCCTTGAAGAACCAAAAGCCCACGGCGACGATAAGCATAATTCCAAAGACGGCGATTGCGTAGTTCATGTCCTCGGGGGCAGGGTCGGGAGATCCAGGGAAGAAGAAGAACACGCTGGTGATGGCACAGTAAATCACGGCAATCCAGTTGATGACGGCTCCGAACTTTCCAAGCTTAAACGGGCCAGGCTCGAGTTTGTCGCGTCCCATGCACAGAAGCACAGCAATTGGCAATCCATAGGAGATTGTCAAAGCAATGGTGCTGACGCTGAGGATAGCCTCGAGCACCGTGCTAGAGAACGTGTAGAGCACACCGACCAGACTCACGATAATGCCCTGCGCCACAATGGCCCGCACAGGCACTTTCCAGGTGTCGTTGACATGGGCAAGGTAGGCGCTCCAGGGCAGCCCGCCATCTCTGGCGAATCCCCAGGTCAGACGCGAGGCCGAGGTAATGATGCTGACTCCCTGACCGATACCGTTGAAGATGAACAGCGATAACAGAACGCAGCCTCCTTTGGTTCCTAGAACAGAGGACATGAGATCCATGAAGGGAAGTCCAGTCACAGGGTCCAGGATATCATCCAGTGACTGAATGCAAGCCAAACAGACAATCATGAAGATGAAACCTGTTAGAGCACCGCACACGACAGACAGCCAAATGGTTTTGGGTACATTTCTGCGAGGATCGGGAATCTCTTCGACCATGTGGATCGCCGAATCGAACGCAGTCAATCCATACGCCGCCTGCAAAAGACCCATGAACCATGTGACACCATCACTCCAACCAGTCTGGTTCAGCCAAGACCCAAAGATGAAACTTGCGGGCTGGAACTCCAAGTCTCCCTTGGTGCCAACTGAGATGAGCAGAGCCAGCGAAATGACAAAGAATAGTCCGATGAAGGTGGCGCCTATGACGTTGTTGAACATGGGCAAGACGGCATCCTTTCGACATGACACAATGTTGACAATGCTCATGAGGGCAGTGATGCCAATGTAGACCACAAACTCGAGCCATCCAGTGCTAGCACCCTCCCAGTCCGGATCGAACAAGAGCTTCATGCCGAGTATAAAGTCAGTCATGAAGGCATTTTGCGAAGCACAAAGGGTCCACCAGCCAAAGGTGTTGATCCAGGCACACATATAGCTCAAGAAACGTCCTGCACGCCCAGGACATAATCGAGATATCCAAAAGGCCTGGCCAAGCGTCGTGGGCATCGAGCTGACCATTTCGCCGAGAGAAACGGCCACGCAGACGTTGCAGAACAAGACCAGCACGAGACCCCAGAGGATGGCAACTGGGCCACCATTGTCGAGTCCGCTTGATAAACCCTGTGCAAAGGTCGACCAGGTGCCCAAGACGCAAAAGCTCAAGGCAAGCAAACTCCAGATGCTGAACTTTCGGGCCAGGACCTGCTCGTGGCCGAGGATGGCAAGATCAACCTCATCTTGGTCGTAGTCGTCAATATTCTTTTCGATCTTGGAGGGGTCGATTTTCGATTCAACCATATTGTCTGGTGTATAGGCGGAACAGGGCGACGTCGAAGTTGATGGTGACTCTCATTCCCGAATAAAGGTTGTGTCAAAGGGGTTCAATCGGATGACTCAGTGAGGTTGTGGCAAAAAGTGCGAAAATTGGGTATGTCAGGCACAATTGTCGAGTGAATATCATTCGCGACGACAATTTTCGACTGATGAGCATTCGAATGAAGGCGCTTTCAACTTGATGTACTTTCAATATGTTGCATCTTATCGCAACCTTTTGGTGATCGTCATTATGTTCGCAAATGGCTGCCAAATGCGGCCATCGCCGGCCACCAGGGGCAGTGCCCTCAGGTAGGTTCAGTAGGTTCAACATCAATCATAGTTCAGCCGTTGACCTTTATCACAGCGACCCACAAAGTTGGGTCCAGAACTGGGCAGGCATCCTGATTCCCCGGATTTCGGATCAAGTGTCGTTGCTATCATATCGACACTAGGGCAGGACTTGATGCCTGTAATAGGTATGGCTGGTTTCTGACAAGCTCGCTGATAAGTGATAGGTTCACGTAATAGACTGCTATTATAGTTTTACCAAGAATCCACAACCAATAGTTTCCGACAATACGGATGCACCTGATCCCCTGCGTATTGATGCACACTTGCTCTTAGCAGAGGAAAATGCAAGGGATATTGTCATTGGTTCGAGCCTCATTCTCGAGCCGCATTCTTGAGCCTCTTTGAGTCAGGTGACATACGCATGTTATTCAACAAGCATTCGAGTCGTAAGATGGACCCACTATGCCGCCGAGACCCTGAAGATGCATGGACATGCTTCACGTTCGCCAAGATGGCTATAAAGTCTACTGAAGTATACTCGAAAGCCTCATGTTTTGCACTACAACCGACGTGAACAACGCACTTTCAGATTGAAGATCACACGACCAATAGTGACTAGAGACTCATAGTCAGCTCTCAAAATTCTCTTCGTATGCCTTACAGACTCGATTGCATGGCCAATTACACCAACTCTCAAAATGATGCAAGACACCTTAACTATTCCCGGTTACACCATTTATCGGGAAGAGGAAACTGGTTCCTCTCAAGTAGACGCTGCACCCCTTCAAATCCCTCTTCATCCTCTGGGTATGTCATCTTTCGAGTTCTTTTCGCTCTTTTCACAAGGCCATTTCCACTAACAAACTTTTCTATAGATCAGCTATCGATTGAAGAGGTTCGGGCGACTGCAAAGATCATCCGAAACCATGCTGCTTTCCACGCAGTCAAATTCAACTGCATCACCCTCCGCGAACCTCGCAAAGATGAATACACGGCCTTCAAGTCCGGCCAGCTGGCGAGACTCGACCGCCGCGCCTTTGCCATTGTCATTGACAAGACTTCCGGCCAGGTCGCCGAGGTGATTGTGAACCTCACCGAGGGTACCGTGGAGGAGACCCTAGCTCGTGAGGACGTCGCTCCGACCCTGACCCTCGAGGACCTTGACGTCTGCGAGCGTATTTGCCGCGCCGACGAGCGCGTGATTCGTGTTTGCCGCGAAATCGGCATCACCGACATGTCCAAGGTGTTCCTCGACGCCTGGGCCATTGGCTTTGACGACCGCTGGGGCATGGACCGCCGTCTGCAGCAGGGTCTGGCCTACTACCGTGACTCTGCCTCGGACAACCAGTACGCCCACCCGCTCGACTTTAGCGTCGTGCTCGACACGGACAAGGAAGAGGTCCTGGCCGTCGACGTGCGCCTGGTCAATGGCGAGCGTACCCCCGTGCCACTCGAGCAGCACAACTACCTGCCCGAGTATATTGGCAATGGCTACGTCCACGACAGCCTCAAGCCCATTGACATTACGCAGCCTCAAGGACCTTCCTTCCGCATGGAGGGCAACGAGCTGCACTGGGCTGGCTACAAGATGCACATTGGCTTCAACTACCGTGAAGGTATCGTCTTGTCCGATGTGAGCATGTTCGATATGTACGAGCAGCGCCAGCGTGACCTTTTCAACCGCATCAGTGTTGTGGAAATGGTTGTGCCATATGGAAACCCTCAGGTTAGTACTTAAACACTCTTCCTTCCCTATCTCCAAGTCAAAACAGGACAATTACTAAAACATGTTTTATCAGTCTCCTCACCAAAAGAAGCACGCTTTCGATGTCGGAGAATACGGCACCGGTTTGATGACGAACAGTCTCAAACTCGGCTGCGACTGCAAGGGTGTGATCCAGTATCTGGACGCAGTGCTTTCAACTGCCGACGGTCTTCCCGCCGTTATCAAGAATGCCATCTGCATCCACGAGGAGGACAATGGTCTCCTGTACAAGCACACGGATTACCGTGACGGTTCCGTGATCTCGGCCCGTGACAGGCGCCTGATCGTCTCCCAGATCATCACGGCCGCCAACTACGAATACGCCTTTTACCACATTTTCACACTCGACGGCACCTACAAGCTCGAGGTCAAGCTGACCGGTATGCTCAACACCTACTGCCTGCACTCTTCCGAGACGGCAGCTCCGTACGGCACCGAGGTGGCTCCCGGCATCGACGCCCACAACCACCAGCACATCTTCTCCCTGCGCGTGGACCCGGCCATTGACGGACCTAGAAATAGCGTCATTGAGCAGGACGCCGTGCCGTCCGACTACGCCGTCGGCTCTCCGGAGAACATGTACGGCAACGCCTTCTTGTCCAAGCCGACGCTGCTCAAGACGGCGCGCGAGGGCGTGCGCGACTACCGCCACGAGACGAGCCGCGCCTGGGCCATTGTCAACCCGCACAGCATCAACCCGTCGTCCAAGAAGCCCGTGTCGTACAAGATCATCAACAACAACTGCCCGCCTCTGCTCGCCAAGCCGGGCAGCATGGTCCACGGCCGCGCGGCCTTTGCGCGACACAGCCTCTGGGTCCTCCCCTACCGAGACTATGAGCTCTTCCCGGCCGGCGACTACGTGTGCCAGAGCGCCGGGCAGCTGGGCCACCCGCACAACCCGACCATTGTCGACTGGGTGGAGCGCGACGCCGACGAGTCCATTGCCGACGCCGACGTCGTCTGCTACATTCAGTTCGGCCTCACCCATTTCCCCCGCACCGAGGACTTTCCCGTCATGCCCGCCGAGCCCGTCAGCGTCATGCTCCGCGCCTCCAACTTTTTCGTCAAGAACCCGGCCCTCTGGGTCCCGCCCACCGCCATCAACAAGGACATGTCGTCGCAATATGCTGATGCCTGCGCGACTCCGGGTGCTCAGCCGGCCCCAGCAGCAGCGTCAACCTCCTGCTGCGCTGCCAAGAAAGTCCCGAGCAAGCTGTAGGCTGAAATGCCAAAGATACGCCTCGTGAACCGGGTGTGAACCAAAAAAAAAAAAAAAAATAAATAAAAAAAAGCTCCGATTGCGCTTTTAAAAGCCAAGATAGGGCTCATACTTGACTATTACGATCTGTTGAATTTATTCATCACAGTGTTCTGCATCTCTAGCGTATCCCGCTGTTTTAGTGGCGATTCTGAGCATTTTCTAGATTAGTATTAATGAGAGCACGTTCGCAATTTACGATAAGGAAAACTCATGTATTCGATATAAAATAGCTCAAACTCGGCAAATAGATAGTGAATGACCACTCGAGTATAGACCCTGAACCCCCCCCAAAATCACAACTAAACTGGTAAAACGATCCCTAGATCACCCAAATAGGGTTGTAAGACTGGTTGATGTCATGACATCCAACCAATGGGTTTTGCGTTGGGCGCATATCTCACCATCAAAAACCTCCCACGTTGCCTTCATCAATTGTTGCGCAACACGTATAGGTTTTGGTGGTAAGACTTGTTCAAGCTCTCCCAGCCTTTCCGTAATGAGCTTTCGAGCACTCGCCACGTCAAGATATGACGACTTTGACATCGCATTTTCCGTCAAAGAAGCCGTCGAAAAGACCGAGGCCAGTGGATCCGACGTAATCCCAGTGGCCACTAGCCCTGCGACATCACCTGGAATACCCATGCAACTTGTAGAAGCAGAAACGTCATCAAAAGTAAGACAGCTTCCAGCTGACAGATAGAGAAGAGGCTGGATGCAGCGTAGATCGGAGCTCGGCGGGGTTCTTTGCAGGATTGTGACAAGGTGGAGTGCGAGCGGCACGAGCCAAGCACTGTTTGGGACGAGACCGTCACTTCCAACCTGCTCAGGGATCCGGCGAGCAACAAGATCGGGGAATGTTTGGTACAGCTGGAGCAGCGATGCGACACGATAGCCTTCTGTGCTGTCGCGTAGATGCGTCCAACGTGTTGCATCCGTGCAATGGGGATCATCGAGCTGGATGTCGGCAGGCTCTACAGCCAGCAGTGCCTCCTCAAGAGCTTGCGCTGCATCAATAGCAGCCAATGCTTCCCTTAGACTCTCTCGGGTCATGTTGGTCTGCCCTCGTCGTCTTTCACACTCCTTGCGACATAAAAGAATGGCGTCTCCGAAAAGACTGAGAATATCAGGAGAAACACCAGTCCAGGCATGAGGTCGAATAGATATCTCTCTTCCTCGATTCTCACCATCTGATGCTCGTTTGGGTGCTGGAGCTACAGGTTCTCCGGCAACCTTGCGGACCATCTCTTCGTACTTCATGCAACCAGCAAAGAATTCCAAGAGCTGTTTGTCTTCTTTCGATAGACGATTTCTTCTCAGCTCGAAATGACGCATCAACTTTCTAGCTTGACGGTAGAAATGGGTACCCGTCTTCTTGGGGTCTTCCCAGCAAGTGGAGGAGCCCATGACGAATAACCCGAGCATCAGACCACATGGGAAATGTAGATCATCAGCCTCTGACGTGTAAAGTTCGGTGAGTTCTTCGCTAATGGCTTCAACGGCCAACATGGGCGCGCAGCCAATGATTTCCTTCACATCCGGCATAGTCTCCACCAGAGTGGCAGCCGACATACTCTGAATCGAGTAAAAGACTACCTGGGAAGAACCCCACTGGGATGCTGCGACGAGCCTGAAAGGGTTGCTCTCCGAGTCAAAGGCAGACCAGTATCGACATACTGAGCCAAACCAGTGTTGTACCAGAAGCGTCGGAAGGTGGAGTAAGCCAGCTTTTGGCGTATCCAGAGCCCCGAGTTGTCGGTTTGGGCAAGTCCCTGGCTCGTCTGAGATTTCTGGAGGGCTCACGGCGGGGGAGCTCATTTGAGGAGGGCTCAAAAGGGGAGTTTGTCCATCGTCAATGGTCCAGCCCGTGTCAGTCACTGGTGACGCGGAAGAAAGACTGGCGTCAATGGGGCACTCCGCTATCCTTGGCATGAGGTCCTGAATAACAACAGGTGGTGACTCTGGGACCAGAGGCAGAGGATAGAAGCCAGTCGGGGCCAGAATTACCTCTGGGGGAGGTGTCACGACATCATAGCCCTTCACGGTAGATGCGTTCTGTAGTCCAAGCCCATACTGATCAACGTGTCCCGGCGGAATCATGCCGCTGTAGTCAATGATTGGCGCATTGTCAAAGGCGCGCGCAGTGGGCTTGCTGTATCCTTCTCGCCTGACGCCGGCACCGTGAATGGCCAGCGAGGCAGTACTGGCCAGATACTCAAAATCGGCCGGACCAAGAGGTCTGGGCGAGGAGGTGGACGCGGGTTGCTCGTGCTTCGTAGACCAGCATAGGGAAACCCTGTACCCAGGACAGACACGGCCACTGCGAACGCAATTGGTACATGATGGGCGTGTTTCGTCGCAACGAATTCGTTTTTGCTTGCACTGGCGGCAGCCGGATCGGGACTTTTTATCTCTTCTAGTGTATGATGATTTCGTCGCTGTACGTTGCATAGAATGTGGGTTCTCGCTATAGTATTTGGTTTGCCGTTGATGGGCGGCGGTTGTGTACTGAGGCGTCACAAAGACGGCGGTACGGTTAGAGGTGGAGCTCCAAGAACACAAGGAGCCTGGGACAGTCGGTTGCGGGCAGGCAGTTGGTCTTAATACTACGGAGCACTATGACAAAAGGTGCACTACCGGGTCACTACATTACGGTTAGGTGCTGCCCACTGTCCGGTGAGTGGGGGCGGTCATTGGATAGCAGCGGCTGGCAGTAGGCGAAGTGGCCTGGGGCAGTTTCTCTATCTCGGCCATTAATGGATGGGAATCTCCGCTCTCGGATAGCGCTATCAGCATGGACCCAATGCCGAATGTGGCTTGGTGGAATAGTAGCTTATCATTATTGATCAAGTGAAGCGCCAACGCGTCTCAATTGGCCCTTGGGATCTGTCTTGATTCTTGAATTCCACTTCACTTCATTGCTGTTTTCTCATGCGACTGATTTCATTTTCATCTACGGATGAATCCTCCACAGGCAACCAGTAAAACCCCTTCAAGCTTGCGCACGAGGCACGTTGTTCCCTCAGATACCTATCCGGAATGTTTCTTACCCGTGGAATGTTGTCAAGGACCTGTAGCAGAGCGCGCCGGAACAACGACCCAGATACGAGATGAGTATTTCTTGCAGGAGCTAATTGTCGTATATTAGGGCAAGCATGTGCACTGTCATCATCCAAAGTTCCGTGCCCTGCGCTCTTAAAGGAGAACGACATGATATTAAATACGCACCCCTGGCGAGCCTTGGCCAAGCTCGTCCATGGATACCTAGTACCTGGTAGACGCGGTTATCGCTCAACATGGCCTAGAAGTTCTGCTCTTCAGCCCGCCGTAACGCCGATCCGAGCTACATACCTAGGTGAAGCACTTCCAAAGGTATGCACTTGAAGAGCGATCGGGCCGGACCTTTTCATCCTCGGATCATCTGACTGGCCAATCATCAATTTTTATATCTTATCATATCAAGGAAAGAGTGATTACATCCTTAAAATGGATGTGATACCTGATCATAAATTGGCCATGCTGGGATTAATTGTTAGCCAACACTATAACCAACTACTTATAGCATACTAATCTTCGGTATTAATGATCCATGATTGAGCACTGGCCTTTAAATCAACCAGGAAGTTCCTTCACCACCACGGGCATTCACTTGGCCAGAGAAGAGTGATTTGCTCAATAGTTTGAGTTCAACAAGCTGTTTTCGAAAGTTTCATCATCTCAACCGCGTCGCCTTCGATATTTCGTACAAAGAAACGTGGACTTATACTCTCACCACATGGAGATTCCTCCGGATACTATTGCTTTTTTTCCCGACAGTTGGCATCGTTCTATGAACCCTGTCAGCTCATCGTAGGGATGACTATCCTAGGAGAAAATTCATATTCATAGCAGACGAGGGCAGCGAGACCTGGCAAATCAACCAAGACGATCACATTGGCAGTGATGAGCCAAATTGTCCCCTTTCATAACGGGAATGAATGGCTTGCCCATCAAGCTAATGCCGCATGATGTTTCTTGGTTGAGATCAAAGTGATCATCAGCAAAACCCGTTCCGTGCCGCCCGTTGGTCTTGGGATCTGCCAATCATCGGGCCCGCCACACTAGGTTAGATTGTAATGCATAACGCAAGTGAGCGCACATAGGCAGTGTGCTCACATGGTAATTTCAATACCACTTTGTTTCCTTCTTGATCAGTAAAGAGGCTCTCAATTCGAATAGTTTTCAAATAATCACCCGCACCATCTTGGTCCATGCTGTCTACTGCACACTATGGCATTCGTGGTCCTCATCAGTGGTGTAAGCAAAGGTATGATGAAAGTCTTGGACTAGAGACTCACTCACAACATGTATCACGAGTAAACAAGCATAACATGAAGTCGTAGCTCACTGAGGGTATTTTAGGCATAGGAAAAGGCTTTGCGCAAGCCTACCTTTCCAGACCGAATCACATAGTGATTGGGAGTATCCGTGAGACTGCAATGTTTTCGCCTGGTGTAGCGGAATTGCGGTCATATCCGGCTGCCCAAGGCTCTAGACTGATTTTCATCACCATCGAAAGCAGGTCTCTGACGGATGCAGCAAAGGCATTGAAAGTGGTCGCCGATGCGGGTATCGACCACCTGGACCTTGTCATTGCCAACGCGGGAGGGACACCGGTTCCTACGACGCCCTTTGAGAGCGTCAGTGCCGATGAAATGATCAGGGACTACCAGGTCAATGCTGTCGGACCGCTCATGCTTTTCCAGGCCTGCCGGCCTCTCCTCTTGAAAGCTGCGTCATCGAAATGGATATCCATTTCGACAGGCGGAGGTTCCATCACCTTGATGGGAACGATCCGGTCACGGGACGGTGCAGCGTACGTGGCAGCAAAGGCGGCACTAAACTGGATCACTCGGTAAGACTATATCATATTGTCCACGTACATGTCATGCGAAGAACTAAGCAAAGTCCAGGGCTATCCATTTCACAAATGAAGATCTTACTGCAGTTGCTATCAATCCAGGGTGAGCTTTTGTATGCTTGACACTATCTAATCTCTGGCTACTAACGGCCCTCGAGGCTTGTCGGAACAGACATAGGCAATTGGATTGCCAAGGAATGGGGTATACCGCCGACTTATACCATTGAGGAAAGCGTCACGGGCATGATGAATGTCGTAAGTCTGTCATTCATAAACGTGCCACGTGTGTTATTAACCTCCACGAGATCGACGGGGCAACTCGCGAAGCGTGTTCAGGCAAGTTCTTTAGAAGAGATCCTATGGTAGAGAGTGCTTGGCAATTCAAGGTGAAGGCTTATTGCCTCTGATTGGTTTGTTGTGCATTGGAAGAAGAAAAACTAAGAAAAAAACATAGCGAAGAGGGACTGAACAGCTGCCGTAGCGATTCGCGCGTTTGACGATGACCCGAAATGGAGGGAGCTTTCCATCCAATTTTTGGTATTCGTGCTCAAGTATTTCAATGATAATTATCTATTATGCCCAGCGAACAATGATTGACATCTGGAATGTCTCAAATACTTGGCTTGCGAAACACGTCCGAGTTGCGAAACGGGTATTTAATGGTACCCGCCCTACTTTGAAACCCAAGAATTGGACAGGAAGAAAGCTCAGTATATTTACCTGAATTCTATCAGCCTAGAAGAGCAGCCTTGACAAACAGCGACAGGCACAGGAAACAAGACAGCGCCCAGATGCCCGACCTTGCAAAGCTTGCCTTGCCCTTGGCGATATTGATGTACATGAACGTGTACACGACCCTAGCGGCCAGGAAGAGAGCGGCGTGAGTATCAATGACCTCGCGGTCGACGCCGGCGACTTGAGCGGTCAGGACGGCAGCGGCGAAAAAGGGCAAGTTCTCGAGGCCGTTGTGGTGGGCGGCCTCGGCGCGCTCGAACCGGGCCAGCACCTCTGCCGACACGGTGCGCTGCATCTCGGCGCCCCATGTAGAACCGCGTGGGTTGGCATTGTTCCAGCGGCCATTTGTCGCGTTCTTGATGAGCTGCAGTGCGTAGGCGTGAGGGGCGATAGAAATGAGCCAGTGCGCCGGGATGGCGAGAAGGGAGTAATTGATGGCCATTTTTACTTTTGAAGACGGGGCGGGAAGAGGTGGTGGGTGGAATGGGCGAGCGGGCGAGCGGGCAGATTGGTATCAGGTCTCCGGTTCTCAGGTGGGGGTCAAGCGTGGAGTGCAACGTTGATTTCAGTTTCGGGCTGAAGATTGGTGGTAGCAGTAAATGACCCTAGCTAGGTATGGTGGGTTGAGATCGATTGTGCGACAATGACAATGCAGAAGCGAAGTAAGGAATGAAGACGTTTCTTGACACCTTCAGTTCCAAGTTTCAATAGCCAGGTTGCAGCGTCTTGCGAGGTTTCTGGTGGCCTTTAACCTTTTCCAGGGTGCGCCCCAAAATCTTGTTGAGCCGTTCTGCACGCTAAGCCCCAAGGATATCGGTACCTCGGCCCTCGACATGGTAGTAAGAGGCAGTAAGCTAAGGTGCAGGTGTACTAGGTATATTTCACGTGCACTCTTGTTCCCGTTGTACAGAAGCTCAAATTGACATTTGGCTGCATTGGAATGAGTAAAAATAAGAGGGTATCAACGTGAGCTTCGATTAGCATTCATTCATCTACCAAGGAAAAGCTGGGTGGCGCAAGGATCGAGCACAGGTTGCAGGGACAAATTACAGCACTTCAGGGCAACACGACAGAGGCAGCAGGGCCCTTGATGGCACTGCGCCAGTCTGCCGGGTCTGCTTTTACGATACTTTATACACGGCTGGCGATCAACAGAGATACGATGGTCACTGAAATAAATTAACCTACATGGGTCCAAAGCTTACATTAGATTCCGTGGTACTCTGAAGAAGTAATGATCCCATGTCCGATGAATGTTGCAGTAGGTGAAAACCATGACTTATCGGCTCGTAAGTTCTCATCAGACAAAGCTTTGTTGGCCCTGTCGTGATTCTGGGAAGCAGATGCTAGAAGATCATTCCTAACCAACAGCGAATTCGCCAGCCTTACTGCTTCATCGAGGGAACAGCAAATATACGTAGGTAGATTAGTTGCCTACCTCCATGTAGCTAAACTTTGGTAGGGCTGTAGGCTGGCGGCAGGCCACCGTTGCTCAAGCTTTCACCTCAAAGCTTCCAGGCCACACGCATCACTCCAACCCGCATCGTAAACGCCAACTGATCAATGCAGCCAATGAAAACACTCACATATACACCTTACGATACAAACCTTGAGTTTATGATAGAAGCCCCTTGGTAGGTTTCATGGTAAGATTGTTGATAACGTGGCTCAGTCTCTGAAACAGGTAAGCAGTTAATCTGCAGAGCGTGGCAAGACATGAATGGCAAAAGTATGTACCTAAGTAGGTAAACAACGTTAAGTTTACACATGTCTATAGTCAAAAGTCCTCAGCTTTTGCGTCATGCCGCTCGGCCAATTAACCAATCAGAGAATGCCTAATTCGAGCTGTGCGCCTCTCAGCTCACATACTCCCATCCTGGTCGAATCCTGAGCCAACCCAAGCCACTTCTCACTGTATACTTGTTTTACATACCGGGCATATCATACTTGCTGACCTAGTAGCCGAGTTGGGTCGCGGATGTGATCCGTTGCGGGACAGGTTGATCTCATTGATTCATAGGCAGAAACTGTATGTCCGTCCTCCCACGCGGGGTTTCCCCGTGACCATAAGCCCAGGAATTGGGATTACAAGATCAAGACCCCTGTTGCCTGACCCCCGTCTCCCTCTGAGCTCATTATATGGTTGCCGGCGTCTTCAAGGTAAGCTCGCGCCTCGCTGATCTATGCGAAAAACAGCAGGAAGCTTAAAATGCGGCTCATGCCATATTGCCTGGCCCGTTCTTACGACGAGTGCTGGAACTGAAAGAGATGGTTCTACTTAATAGATGGAACGCCCACAGGAACCAACAGAGAGAATGACGGATGCTTTCATATCATCTTTGTGAATATTGTATATCTCTGCACACGACTTGAGATATCAAAGAGAAAGAGCTAGTAGAACTTAATACTTGCACGTCCGATACCTACTAGGGATAGAGACTGGCAACATGTCTTCCACGCAGACAGCCTCGGCTGGGTGGGGATCCATCATGAATCTTCTCTCGGCGGCAAAAGAGGATCTGGACAGTCAAAGTGGCCGCATTGGTCCAAACTTGAAGTTCCTCCAGAAGCTCGGCAAGACCTACCTGAATAAAGGACAAGTTGATGATCGTCAGTTCTTGGTATGCATCTTGGTACCTCTCCGCCATTCGTGCGACCGTACACTCATGTTGCAATATCTAGTATGAAGATGTCATTCGCCTTGCTGTTTCACTACCCAACAATTCTGGCGTTCGCCAGGATCTATCTTCACAGTTCATCAAGACACTATGGGGCAAGCTCGAGCATCCACCCCTCTCGTACTTGGGGGACGAGTTCAAGTACAGGATGGCTGATGGCTCGTGCAACGTACGTATCGTTACACAACCCTGAACCTGAGGTGGTGGTAGTTCTGACCCACTGCAACAGAATATCAAATATCCCCAGCTTGGTGCAGCTGGGAGTCACTATGCACGAAGCGTCAATTCACAACACACCCACACCAGCACACTTCCCGACCCTGGCTTGATCTTTGATACTATCATGGCTCGCCGGGGACCAGCTCGTCCCCATCCCAACGGAGTTTCATCGTCCCTGTTTCACTTTGGAACAATCATCATTCACGATATCTTCCGCACCGATGAACATGACAGTACGAGAGCGAAGTCATCCTCCTACTTGGACCTGGGACCTCTGTATGGCCACAATCAAGGGGAGCAAGACAAAGTCCGAACGTTCAGGGATGGTATGTTGAAAAAGGATACTTTTTCTGAGATGCGTATCATCGCACAGCCTCCAGGAGTAGGCGCGTTGTTGGTCGCCTTCAACCGCTTCCACAACTGGATCGCTGGTGAACTTGCTACAATCAACGAGAAAGGCAAATTCAGTCCGCCCCCTCGTCTCCCGGGTGGTGGCGAGGATATAGCTGCCATTATGAAACGAGATAATGACCTTTTTCAGACGGCTCGACTAATCACGTGCGGACTCTACGTCAACGTAATTCTCAATGATTACCTGCGGGCCATTCTAAACTTGAATACCAACCCGTTCCCCTCGGACTGGAGGCTGGATCCCCGTGATACCACGACCAGCGTCTTTGACCCCGAAGGCACCCCTCATGGTATCGGTAACCAGGTCTCTGCCGAGTTCAACTTTGTCTACCGATGGCATGCGACAGTGTCCAACTCCGATGAGGCCTGGTTGAATGATATAAACCGCCAGATCTTCGAAGGTGTCTCCCACCCAGAATCGCTTGACACGAAGGCCTATTTTGTCCTACTGAGAAAGTGGTTTACCGAGAAAGTGCCACCCGAACCGGAAAACAGGACATTTGGAGGACTGAAGCGAGGAAAGAACGGTAGCTTTAATGATGCGGACCTGGTCAAAATCATCACACAGGCTACTGATACAGTGGGCGGCTCCTTTGGTGCCAGGAATACCCCCAAGGCTCTCAAGGCTATTGAGGTTCTGGGTATTCAACAGGGCAGAGACTGGGGCATGGCAACACTGAATGAATTCCGCCAGTTCTTCAATCTCAAGCAATTTACTTCCTTCGAGGAGGTGAATTCCAAGGACCCTGGCGTTGCTGACGCTCGTGAGTTCCCGCGCCATATTGGAGATATTGAATAGGAGACTAACAGTTCCCAGTCAGGGCACTTTATGGTCACCCGGATAACATTGAGTTGTACCCGGGCTTGATGGCAGAGGAGGCTAAACCGGTAGTCTCTCCTGGTTCTGGACTTTGCCCTGGCTACACCATCTCGGAAGCTATTCTCTCGGATGCACTAACCCTGGTTAGAGGAGATCGCTTCTATGCGCATGAGTATGGCCCTCAGAGTCTAACATCTTTCGGCTTCAAGGCCGCGAGCTCCGACTTTGATGTCGCCAGTGGTGGAGTAATGCACAAACTCCTCATGAGGGCCTTCCCTGGCTGGCATCGCAACAATAGCGTGTACGCTCTGTACCCATTCAGCATTCCCTCCAAGACGAAAGAGATCTTTAGTTCGGGAGGTGCGAAGCCGCCTCAGCCAATCAGCTATGATCCTCTTAGTCTTGTTGGACCGCCTATCCCCGTCACATCATGGCAGGGTTCTATCCAAGTGCTTCACGACCAGGAAAAGTTCAAGGTACCATGTAAGTCTTTTATTGATTCTCCAACGAGGCCAGGTCGGAGTACTGACAGACATGCAGGGGGCCTTCATATTTCCCAGCTTACTGGACACGACTTCATGCTAGGCGGCGACAAGCCTTCCAACACAGCTCAGAGGGAGTTTTTCAAAGAGAGGATGTTCCGGCCCGAGGATACCTTGGCAGAGGTCCGCGACTTTTACGAAAAGACCACTGCCAAACTCATTAGAAAGAATGGTCTCAAACTCGGCGGCTCCTCCCAGATTGATATCGTGCAAGAGTGAGCACACTACAGCTTTGCTTTACTACCTTAGCTAATCTTGATATAGTATCGGCATCCAGGCTCACGCCGAGTTCGCCGGCCGCTTCTTCGGCATTCCCATGAGGCCTGAAGGCTCCGAGCCTACCGTTCACCCATCGCTTCCGCATGCATACACGCCAAGCGAGCTCTACGAGGTCCTGGCCAAGCTTTTCCAGTATGTCTTCCTAGACCTCGACAGCGCCAAGTCTTACAAGAACTTGGTCGTTGCTGGACGAGAAACCGTTCAGCTCGGAGAGACTGTCAGGAGGGTCGTCCAGGGTATCAAGGGTGGCGAGGGTCTTCTTGTGCAACTCTTTGGCATGGTTCTCGGCAAGAACGGTTCTGGCGACGTGCACAGTCTGGAACATTTTGGCCGCGATCTCATCAGGCGACTCATGGAGCAGGGCCACGGAAGAGACATTAACGAGGTCGTTTGGGCCTTGGTCCCGACAGTCGCTGCGGCTTGCGTGCCACAAGTTCAAGGTGTAAGTAAATTGTGGCCTACTTCTCCCGCCTTTGTGCTCTGGCACATTCAGTTTACTAAGATGTTTGGACCGTAGTGGGCTCAACTGATCGACGTCTATCTTTCGGACGACTACAAGAAGCACTGGAAGGATATTGTCCGCTTGTCTCAATCCGATGATCCCAAAGCCTTTGAGCAACTGAAGCAGTATGCACTAGAAGGGTAAGTTTCACAAGTACGCATACCATATCACTGTTGAGAACTAACCTTGGACTCGCTTACAGTTTCCGGCTGTTTCCTCCCGCTTCGGGTGTCATCCGCGTGGTCGCATCCCAAGCGCCCGTGACCGTAGCATCAGCACCCAAGCCTCTATCCCCTGGCTCCGGTGTTTTTGTGGACTTTATGACGGCCGGCCGCGATCCGTCCAAGTTCCCCAACCCCGACTCTATTAAGCTGGACCGACCATACAACGCATACCTTCACCAGGGCTTTGGCCCACACTCGTGTCTGGGCAGGCCCATTGTTGAGGTAGCCGCTGCGGCCATGCTACGTCAGTTTGCCCGCAACTGTCCCAATGTGAAAGAGTCGCCTGGTGATGCGGGTAAGATGAAGACCAAGCTGTTCAACGGAGCCTTCCCCGTCTTCTTGTCCCAGAATGGGGATGACTGGGAGGCGTTCCCTGTCGGTGAGTATCAAGTCCCATCCTCCTACTCCGTAGATAATTGCAGTGTATGATGCTAACTTGTGTGACTACTAGCTAAAAAGGTGATTTATGACGGGTTTGCTGGAATGCCGACAGGTGGTGCTGGCCCAAGGAAGAATGGATTTGCGAATGGGTACAATTAGAGATGGAGTTCTTCAAGATGTAATCTTAGTCACAGTTCCACTTCATTAATATTACTTCTTTCATGCAAGACTGATACTTGAAAAGATGGCAGAACTGTGTCTTGGCAGAGTGATTCAAGACTGGTATATTGATCTAGAATTTCAAACAAGTCAAGATCACCTGTGATAAGTAAAATCTGTGTCTGCATCGCATTATTAAATTAAGCATTACCGCCTTGCGCATCATAAATGCTGAAGCCTCTTCCATCTGTCATCTTTAGACGATTCAATCACCTGTACTATCAAATAAACCACTACTGGTCCGTCTAATAGTAGAGGGGATTCTCAGGGTCAGTGAAATCAAAGACCACAGAAGAGTGCGGCTTGGCGCCTCCGCGATTGGCAAACTCGCGCGGGAAATCAATGCTGCGGTTGAAGCTGAGACTGCCGTCGTCCAAGATGTCAATGTACAGGGCCTTGAAGTCGGCCGGGGTATTGACAATGCCAATCTCGCCCGTCTGGACAAAGTAGTCGGTGACGAGCAGGTGCTTTTGGTCGGGCGTGATCTTGAGGTAGTGCGGGCCAATGGTGGGCTGCACCTCGTCAGGGTCGTCGAGGCGCTTGACGTTGCTCAGGTCGCTAATGTCGAGGGCGGCAATGTGGTCAGCCAGGGTCAAGGTGAAGTAGGCAAAGCGACCGTCTTGGGAAATGTCGGAGCTGATGAGATGATTAGTTTATGTCATTGAGTCATTGAATAGAATGTGGCAAGAGACGTACTAGATGGCCAGATTGTTGCGAGCCTTCTCACCCAGGTCAAAGAGAAGCTCAGCCACTCCCTGGTTACCGTTGGCATCCTTGCGGTGTGGGTAAATGATCCAGACTTGGCCCGGGCCAACGGCGGTGGCAATGGCAGCACCTTCGGGATTTCCAGGAATGAACTTGACGTCCTGAATACCTTCACCCTATATGGTTGTTAGCGTGTAATCTCTGAGTGGCAATGGTATCCGTCGACTCACGTTGGGAATAGTAATGGTACTGATGATAGAGCGAGTGGGCAGATCCCAGAGACGCAGGGTGCTGGCCTTCTGGATGCCCAAGGTGGGCTTCAGGATGGTAATGGGCACGACAAAGTCGGAAGTCAGGATGACGTTGCGGTCCCAGTCGACCGACAGTCCGTGAGGCGAGTGCTGCTCCCCGAGGATGTTGAGGGTGCTGGAGACGTCGGTGAGAGCAGGCCACTCGGCGATAATGTCAAAGTTGGCATCCGTCTCAATGAGACGACCCGGGGCGGTTCCGACGGCAGAGCCCATGTAGGTGATGAAAAAGCCGCCATCAGGCTTTGCGCGGATCTCATCGACAATGGATGCTAGAATGCCTCGGTTGCTCTTCAAGAACGTGGGCTGGTATGGGTTGGTAGTATCAAAGTAGTACGCAGTATCTTGGGTCTTGAGAAGTGACAAGAGGCCACCGCCGACCAGTGTCTTGCCATCCTGTGACACTCCCAAGTGGTGAGGGCTGTTGCCACTGGTTGGGACGTCTGTCACCCACAGAAGAGTACCAAAGGTGTCCTGGACAAGTTAGCCTCATGTCCATAGAATAGTGGGTTCAAGCTACTTACATCATCAAGACTGTATGTGGCAAGGAAATCAGCGTGAATGTTGTCTCCGGCTGCAGTCCAAAAGTATCCAATCTTCTTGGGCTTGATGTTGCTGGGGGTAAATTCAGGGCTAGGCAGGGGGGGTGTTGGGAGTTGCAAAATGGGCAAAGGTGGAGCATTGCTGGCCAGAGGCTCCGTAACTCCTGGAATGGAAGGGATGAGAGGAGGCAGAGATAGGCCCGCGACCTCTTGAGCAAGAAAGCTCAGAGCACTGAGCCCTTTGAAGACTCTCAAAGCCATTGCGGTAGAGGTAGTTGAAATGAGCAAATTAATGTCAAAGGTGCAAGGCCAAGACTAGAGAAGATTGTTGATGAGACAGTTTGAGTAAGTTTTTGGAGATTCTGAGGGAGAATGACAACCATTTATAATTCGTCTGGGCCCAAAATCACGACTTAATCAGACTCTTCAGCTTTCATTTTCCTCCTCGTTCTCCGCCGTTCCCATCGTCAACAACAGCTTTCGAATCGATCAACAACTTCTTCTTCCTGCTACCGAACTTAAAAAATGATGTTACTATTGTCAATAATGATAACATTCAGCGTTTTTGGCGATGATTGACAGAACCTTTCCAATCGAGGCTCGATGTGCCCATCTCATGGCGGCTTGGCGAGATGACGATGTTGGTCATATTGTCCACGACTGCAGCATGTTATTAGGACACAAGGGGAAACTATCGACTACAGCATAGTGTCTCCAACGCTCAAAGACTAGCATAGTCGCCGCGGGTAACGCATGATGCCATCGTTGAGACTGGTAGAGCATATCAGCCATAAGCTTTTGATCTGCGAATGGCACAAAAGTCAGCAAAATCCTCGACAAATGATCAACTTGTGGTACGAAATTGGTGGCGTCCACCAATGGAGGCTGCTTCATTTGACCTGCAGATGTACTGTCTGTCATCCCCTGACAATCGCGAGTTGTATTGCGATGGTACTTGTGAGGCTAGGATCGTATGGCCAATGACCGCAAACTTTGTGAAGCCTCACTTCCTATTCAAGGTGATCGACACTGACACTGATTCCGGATATTTGGAATCCGACACTATTGGACATGGAATCACCATGCTGACATACAAATGCCGGCATACATCTCGATTTCCTGGAGACCTGGTTCTGGTGGATGTCGTCCCAAAGTTAAGCTTAGTATAAGGCGAGGCATGGCGCAGATCCCACGGCACTCTAAAATAGGCTAACCTTGGGGTACTTGGCATTGTCAGTGCGCAAAGGATGACTTGGCGTCTGTTTAACGCTGCACCACCAAGCCCGTCTATTGCCAAGATATCGCGTCATATATCGTGCTCGACAAGGTGTTCAGCTTATAGGCGACAACACTCTGGGATCGGCAAACATGCATCCTTCCGGGATGACTTCTCAGGGGATGCGAGATTGCACTATTGATGCAACGCAATAATTGTGATAGTCGCAGATGAAAAGTCATCAAGATCTCGGTCGCGACGCGCATAATTGCAACCTGCCGCATCACAACATCTATTTCGTTCCATCAAGCCTCTATGGCGGAATCGCGCGCCATGGCACGTGATATCATGTTGATCAAGCGAGGGCATATAGTAATACGAGAAACGCGCCTCTTCTTTCGTTCCCGTGGGATTACAACCAAAAACTCAGTCTGTGTCATTTGAACTGTGGTGTCGCTAATTGCCCTTCATGAAGTCTCTTTTGAACGCGATTGTGACGGTGCTGGTAAGTGGCCAGACAGCCGCTGCACTTGTCAGTGGTCGTGCAGGCGGATTTGGTGATGGCCAGCCCATTGATGGAAATGGAAAAGGTGCCCCAATACTGGGTGAGTAACTCAGACTCGAGACAAGAAAAGTCAGCGGTATTAACCAAAGTAACAGGTGGCACAAACAAGGCTCTTGACCTGCAGAATCCAGATAACCTGGGTCAGCAAAGTACCGACAATGGTGTTGTGCCTAATTTGAAATGGAGTTTCTCAGACTCCAAGACTCGCATCCTCAAAGGTGGATGGGTCCGTGAGCAAGTCGTCACAGACCTTCCCGTCAGCACCGACATCTCGGCCGCGCAGCAACACCTCACCAAAGGGTCGATCCGAGAACTTCATTGGCACCGAGTGGTAAGTCGACAATCATACGACCGACGCCACTGATTTCTCACACTCTTTCAGGCCGAATGGGGTTATGTCTACGCTGGCTCTGTTCTCGTCTCAGCCGTTGACGAGAATGGCCAATACCAGGTGGCAAAGCTCGAGGTCGGTGACGTTTGGTACTTTCCCAAGGGCGAAGCGCATACTATCCAAGGTCGGTCAGCCGCTTATGATTGCAGAGAAATCGATGTCCGTTTATCTAACCTATGAGACAGGCCTCGAGGATGAGAATGAGTTCTTGCTTGTTTTCGATGAGGGCAACTTTGATGCTGTCGGGTAAGTCGCGTTGGGATTGCTACACCTGTCAATGCTGACGTCGATTTAGAACTACGTTCAACATTGATGATTGGGTATCACACACACCCAAGTCTGTGCTTGCCAAGAATTTCAATCTTTCCGAGTCCGTGTTCGGAAGCGTCCCGTCGCCCAACCCATACATCCTCAACGCGACAGTTGCTACAGAGGATGTCACGGGTGGCAATGGAGAGTTGACTGGCAATGCTTCTTATGTCTACTACGCTAAAGACCACCCCCTCGAAAACGTCCCTGGACATGGCGGTACACTGCGCATCATAGATACCAAGACTTTCCCCATCGCCACTACTATCGCTGCGACTGTGGTTACCTTGTCGCCAGGTGGACTGCGCGAGCTTCATTGGCATCCTAATGTAAGTTCATCGAGCATCACTGATGAATTGCCATAGCTAACAACACCAGGCTGCTGAGTGGCTCTACTTTCATCAGGGCCAGGGCAGAGCCACAGTTTTCATTGGAAACACCAATGCGCGGACCTTTGATTTCTCCGCCGGTGATACTGCATTGTTCCCTGACAACAGTGGTATGTAATCAATTCATTTTGTGCCATTCGGATTCTGACATGAAACAGGACACTATATTGAGAACACTTCGCCCACGGAGGACCTGGTCTGGATTGAAATTTACAAGAGTGACCGGGTCAAGGACATCTCACTTACCCAGTGGCTGGCTCTTACGCCCGCAAATATCGTTGCTGATGTACTCAAGATTCCTTTGGATGTTGCCAAGTCTCTCAAGACGGAGAAACAGATTTTGATTGAATAAGCAAACAACATTGTGAATGTTCATGATGTACAGGCAGTTGGGAGGTTTACGCTTTCTCTGGTATGGGTCCACTTGGCATGGTTCCCAATTTTAACGCAAACATGATCGACGATACTGTCAACACTAATACCTATTTATATATAATTTAATATACTCGGATGATGTTAATATCTACTCATCTAAGAATCACGAAAATATCATTAGTTTGACATCAACTCATTGTCGCACATGCTAATGCCTCAATTATCAAGATTATGGGATAAGGAGTGTACATCCTGGTGCGGTGGACTGAAAAGAAAATAACTGATGAAGAAGCGCAAAGAAAAGATACAACACCGAGGATTATTGTTATCTCGCGTACAATCCGAATTGGTCAACTTCGTCTGAATCTGTTTGTGGAAGCGGCTTGCCACTCGCCGGCGAGCATAATCGGGATTTCCGCTCGCTAAACTGCCCGCTAACTTGCAGGAATCAAGAAGACTCGAGCTTGTTTTCGCCTATTATATTGAACCATATGTCATCTGTGTCGTTTAAATATGCCAAGGACAATCTTCGTACAAAGTAAACTTTGCCTTCCATTATACTTGACTTTTAGCTCTCGTATGTGGCAGCTGATTGCTTTGCAATTCTTTCTCTCACTGCCTTTAAGATGCCAATGGACAACATTTCCAAGGCGCTAATGTCTACTTTAAATACGCAAAAGATAACTCAATATCAAATGGCCGGCGATGTCTTTAAACGAAGCTAAACACTAGACAATGGCGATGGTGTCAACCTTAAAACCAGGTAAACTTGCTGCCTCGCATGAGTACAGCTCCTCATCCACGTACCCACGGAAAAACCCTACCCGCTTGTACTGCTGTCCATCCTTCACAAGAAGAATGCCGCACCTAGACAGCAAATAATTGTCCCCCAGCGTTGTTGTAGCGTCTATGCCCAAGTAGCCGTGATCATAGTGACTAGACTTGCTAATTAGCATCGCAATCACTTGCAAAGACCCATATGCATCATCTGAAGATACAGAGCTTTGGTCATCGTTCTCCTCGGCAGCTTCGTAAGAGCCTTTTCCACTAAGGCCCTCGAGGAGAGTCTCTTTATCTGGCCAGTTGTCTTCCCAGGCGTCTGCGTAGCCTGTGAACACGATATCATCAATTGATATCTCACCTATGCCGTCACGATAATCGATGTCCCATTTGACCAGTCTTGTAGGAGCCCTGATTGTTAATGATGCAGACTTGATGCTGAAGTACTCTGTACCGACACTTGTCGGTTCTAGATTCGCTTCAATCACGTCCACGCCGTCAGACACTGTCTCCTGGCCGATGAATAGGCCAGTGTGGCCATCTTTTGTTCTGCCCTCCTTGATCCACCAATTTCCAACGAAGCAGAAGGGAGTGTCAATCGACGCCCATGACCACGACGGTGCACGAAATTCCTTCGGTCTAGGCTCTCTTGCGCCTTGCTCAACCATCCAACAAAGACCAAGTGGTAAGGTCTCCTTCCACAAACCAGCCAAATATGTGTGCTTGTTGCTGTCTCCGTAGACTTTGGCTATTGCAGAAATAGCCACGAGTCTGTCGGACTGGTTCGTCATCTTCCTTCCACTATACGAGTTTACTACTGGTTCCCAGGCCGGCATCGGTCTCCCGGGAATGCAAGGAACTGCGGAATGGTCAGGCTTGCGACACATGACGAAAAAGATGACCGCTGACTTACCATCGCCATAAAGCCAGTTATAAGTGTCAGTTACATAGAGCCGGTCTGCTTTTTTCCAGTTCCCATCAAACCTACGGGCGGATCTGCAAGACCAGCGCATCACGTCCAAGGTGAAGCGAAGTGAGCGCGGAGAGAGCAGGATCTCTTGGAAGGTCCATGCTCGAGAGTTGATAGGATCCCCGGTCAAAATATTCTCGTGATTGTCCTGGCACAGTAGTACTTGTCCCATTCGACCATCAATAGACTCATATTTGATCTGGGAAGAAACCAGTTAGCAGCTTTTCTTTTCCGCGAAGCTTCACTTTGGCCGAGTCCAAAGCGCATACCTGAGTCGGTGGAAACGAGTCATATGAATAGACAGTCTTGCCCAGGAATCCAGTTTGTGCCCCTTGGGCCCGAGCTGCCTCGATGGTAATATAGCCCTCTTGGTAGATCTTCGGCATTGAAGCGAGCTCACGTGATAGATCGCTTGTATCATCTTGGATAATGCAGAGTGCGTCAATCCATAAATATGGGATATCCAGTCCCCTGCAGACCTTGATGGCATCCACCAAGGTCTGCGGCAATACATCCATTTCAATCCCTTCGAGATGTTTGGACAGCGTCGTTCGAGTTGTTCTAGTCTCCTGTGGGCCACCCCAGACGTAGCTCAACGAAGCCCACTTGACATTCGGCCGGGTTTCCATTTCGACGAGGCGGACGCGGTTATCATCTTTCCCACCAACTTCCAGTAACCTGGTTGGCGTAAAACCAGTACGGAGATCGGCGCAGAACCGGTGAGCTGAGAAGCATTCGTTGATCCATTCCTTAGCTTGAGCGAAGGCCCTTTCGGATTGAACATCGGTATGGATTCTGATCACGGGTAAAACTTCGGATGAGGCATCCTCTGCATTGGTAGATCAGCCTTCCTAGTCCCGCCTCAAGTCGATAAATACGTCTGGTCTACCTTTGCTCAGAGAGTAAACACGAAGCGCATCGCTTCTAGTGACCCGTAATCTATTGGAAGTTGTCGGGTCGAATGTCGCAACTATTGGCTTGCCTCGTTGATCATCACGACGATACAAGAATCCTGACAAATACCGATAGTACAGACATTTCTGGGTTGCTGCGGACTATACATAAGCCTCACGGGTCTCCGGAAATAAGGGTTCAATCGACTTTGGCTATATACGCACGCTCTTCCCCTTGGAACAGAATTATTTCATGAGCCTTTTCTCTGAGGTCGGCTTCTCTGATCACGATATTCTCACAGCTCGCGCAAGTGTGGGGCTGTGCAATGTATTTAATATCGGGACGCACAGCTGACCTTCTGAACGGCTGCATATCTGTTTTGGCCCATGCAAAGCTGATTCTGGGTCTTTATATCAGTGTAATGAAAGAATAATGTATATGTAGACAGAGAAGCCCGTAAAAGCAATTGTGAATGTGCGGCTCACAAGTGAGCCTGTTTATGGGGGGGGAAATCCTTTCGGAGTGGGTATTGTAGCCAAGCATAACGCGAAGCTGCCAGTCTGAATGGGATGGCGGCACGTGATGCGTTATTTATAGCAATATGGACAAATAAATCAGCCACATAAGTACTTTGATTAGATGGTATCATAGGATTGGGGCGTGGTCCCGCGTTCCTCCGTTCCCTTATTCCCTAGATCCCTGGCCTTTAATTGGTTAGATAGCCCTGGGAAATTTTAGCCCTTCGGATTTTAGTAGGAAAATTTACTATAAAGGAATAAAAATAAGTAGGTTAAAATCCAAAAATTCGAGGTATACAGACCTTTTTTAGTATATATAGCCCTCGGATTTTACGGTTTTTTTTAATAGGGGTCCTAATTATACCTATTTTTATTTAACCTTTTATTTATTTATATTAGCCTTATTATATAATTAATTAATATACTTTTATTTTATTAATAATTATTTTATTATAATAAATTTTATATTATCCCGATTAAGCATTTATAATATTTAATAAAACCCCCGGGTATTAAATGCTATATATTAGGCATTAGCGCTATATTAAAATAAAAATATAGCGCGTAGCTATAAAGCTATAAAAAAATTTTAAAAATAATAAATCCGTAAAAAAGGCTTTAATGTTATATCCGATTTATAAATGCTTTATTAATAGCCGCTAATTAAAAGTTTTCCGGGCCTTTTAATTAACGAAGGTAAATTATTATTATTTATTAAGGCGTAATTAAAATAAGCGTTTATAAAAAGCAAAAAGCGTTTTATAACTAAATAACGCGTTATTAATAGCTAATATAAATTAGCCGCTAAAAAAAGGAAATTATTAGCTATAATTATTATAATAATAATTCCCGGGGTATTAGCCGATATAATTAAAGCTAATATAATTAAGCCTAAATTTATAAATAAATAGCTTAAAGCATTAGCTATAAAATTTAAAAAGTGTTTTAAGGTATGATTGGTGGATTATAAATTTAGGCATAGGGAAGCGTTCGTATAATTCGTAAAATCAGGCCGTAGGAGTAGTTATAGGGTTATATAACTAATTTATTAAAGCTTAAGGAAAGAATAACTAACTACGGAGGAATAACTACCTTTTATACCCATAAAATTAACCGATAAAAACATTCTAGAATATATTACTAATAAACTAGATTTATAATTAAGTTAATTAGTAATAAGGTTAATTTATAATCGAAGAAACTATCGAAATCTATAGATTTTTATAGTATAGGTTACCCTATAACCCAGGGCCACTATAGCCAGGTGCACTAGCTATATTTAGTAGGGCTGGATCTAGTGGAACGTTCCACTGGATTCCAGTGGGTTCCAGTGGCCATAGTGGCCACAACAGTCAACTATAATGACTTATTAACTGTACAGCACTGTGAACAGTGGCTGTAAGTGGTGCTGTACTGACTGTAGGTCAGTACAGGGTAAGTTCCACTGATTTCCCATATATCGTTATTTAACGATATCTCGATGGGTTTTATAGCTATTATAACGATATAATATGCGTTATAAAGCTAATTTTATGCACTATACGATGCTGTATTAACATCCGTGCAACAAAAAGGAAAAAGAAATTATTTGCCTTTAATATAATATTTTTTATTTTTATATTAGTGGCTATTAATATATTTATAAAAAATAGCGTTTTTTAGGGATTAATTTAAAACCGCTATTATAAAGCGCTAAATTAAAGGCTTTTATAAAAAAAATCCGGCGTATTATATAAAATCGCAAATATTAAAAATAAGCTAATCGCATTAAAGGTATTATTGTTCTAAGGTATAATTGGTGGATTATAAATTTAGGCATAGGGAAGCGTTTATATAATTCGTAGAATCAGGCCGTAAAGGGTAGTTATAGGGCTATATAACTGATTTTTTAAAGCTTAAGGAAAAAATAACTAACTACGAAAGAATAACTACCTTTTATATTTATAAAATTAACCAATAAAAATATTCTAGAATATATTACTAATAAATTGGATTTATAATTAAGTTAATTAGTAATAAGGTTGATTTATAATCGAAGAAACCATCGAAATCTATAGATTTCTATAGTGTGGGTTACCTTATAACCCAGGGCCACTATAGCCAGGTGCACTAGCCACACTTAGTAGGGCTGGATCCAGTGGAACGTTCCATTGGATTCCAGTGGGTTCCAATGGCCATAGTGGCTATAATAGTTAATTATAATAATTTATTGACTATATAACATTATAAATAGTGGCTATAAGTGGTGCTATACTGACTGTAGGTTAGTATAGGGTAAATTCCACTGATTTCCTATATATCGTTATTTAACGATATTTTGATGGGTTTTATAGCTATTATAACGATATGATATGCGTTATAAAGCTAATTTTATGCACTATACGATGCTGTATTAACATCCGTGCAACAAAAAGGAAAAAGAAATTATTTGCCTTTAATATAATATTTTTTATTTTTATATTAGTGGCTATTAATATATTTATAAAAAATAGCGTTTTTTAGGGATTAATTTAAAACCGCTATTATAAAGCGCTAAATTAAAGGCTTTTATAAAAAAAATCCGGCGTATTATATAAAATCGCAAATATTAAAAATAAGCTAATCGCATTAAAGGTATTATTGTTTTAAGGTATAATTGGTGGATTATAAATTTAGGCATAGGGAAGCGTTTATATAATTCGTAGAATCAGGCCGTAAAGGGTAGTTATAGGGCTATATAACTGATTTTTTAAAGCTTAAGGAAAAAATAACTAATTACGAAAGAATAACTACCTTTTATATCCATAAAATTAACTAATAAAAATATTCTAGAATATATTACTAATAAACTAGATTTATAATTAAGTTAATTAGTAATAAGGTTGATTTATAATCGAAAAAACCATCGAAATCTATAGATTTCTATAGTATGGGTTACTTTATAACTTTAGGACCATTATAGCTAGGTGCACTAGCTATATTTAATGGGGCTTAATTTAATAAAACGTTTTATTAGATTTTAATAGGTTTTAGTGGCTATAATAGCTATAATAATTAATTATAATAATTTATTAATTATATAGCATTATAAATAATAGCTATAAATAGTGCTATATTAATTATAAGTTAGTATAGGGTAAGTTTTACTAATTTCCTATATATTATTATTTAACGATATTTCGATAAGTTTTATAGCTATTATAACGATATAATATGCGTTATAAAGCTAATTTTATATATTATACGATATTATATTAATATCCGTATAATATTCTTTTTATTAAATAATATCGGTTAAGTTTAATAATTTAATAAATTTTTAAAATTTATCTTTAGGAAATGGCTTTATAAGGCTATTTATTAGTATATCGTTAATTAAAATATATTTGACTCGAATATTTTTATTTTTAATTTTTTGCTATATATAAAAATACCGTATAATAATATATTTAATACGTTAATAATATTCCGGATTATATGCTAAATTTATAGCCTTCGTATTATTTTTTTTAATTAATACGGTATTTATATTAATTCCGATTTCCGTAAAAATTTTTTTTAATTATATTGCTTTATAAATAGCCTATTTTAGCTTATTAAATTTAGCTTTGGTAATTAATAAAAAAATCGTAAATTGCCGTTTCGATTTTTAATTTATCGGCCCGTTATTTAAAGTAAATAAATAACCGGATGTTAATTTACGGGTTTCGTAATTATTAGCAAAATCGGTATCGGAATAACTTATTAATCCGGGTTTTATTTTCCCGTTAAAGGTAATTTTAAGGTAATAATAGGATTTTAAATAATTAAATACCTTTTTTACCCTTTTTATCGTGGTTTTCGATAGGTTTTGCATATATTTAACTAAATATGCTATAGGGTAAGCTAGGTCGGGCTTAGTTTAGATTATAATATATATTAATTTACCTAATAAATATTAATATAAGTGGATAAATTCCTTTAAAGCCGGTTTTTTGTTATTTTGATTTTTTGATATATATAACGATTTTGGGAATTTAGGGCTAAGTAGTATATTAGCCGGTTTTATATCGGAAAATCCGTTAATTTCTAGTAATTTTTTAAAATAAATTGCCTGGTTTATACGAATTGTTTTATTTTTTCGATTTTTTTTTAATTTATATACCGAAAAAATAAGAAATTAGTCTTAAATCTTTTATTTCGAATTTTTTCGAAATATTTTATTTTAATTAGTTGATTTTACGTAAATTAGGACTAAA